ACAATAGAAACATCGGCCCTCAGCTAAGCGGGCATTTCTCTCAGTAGGGGTGGGGCGACGACGTCCCCCGGACAAATCCATCGGTACATCACCTCCCGGGCGGAACGAGGGATGGTTCTCAGGAGTGGGTATTGATAGCTGGGGCGGCAGCACGGGGGCAGGGGCGGATTCGCTGGTGGGGGGCGAGGGTCGGAGGCAGCAGTAGCATTCCAAGGCTTTTTACTTCCTCGCTTAGCTTCTGCTGCTCGTCGCCGATTATCCAACCGTTGCAAAAGTATCGCACAGGCATCTACCGTCGCAGGGGTTTCATGGTGTATCATCGATTCATCGAGTTCCGCATTGATACCTTCCATCAAAGCTTCAATCCGAGAGACTTCATCTATCCCTGACTCGGCAGCATACCTTTGAAATTCGGCGAAATAATCGGCAAAGGTTCGATTTCGTTGGCGGATGTTCTGAAGGTTCCTTCTAGCCGTTCGCATTCGATCAGGGTCTCCGAACGCTGTATCTAGGATTTCATAAAACCGCAACATGGAAGGCAAAGCGATACCTTCTTCTCCGACGTATTGTAAGAATTGATTAGCGGCAACACCCTCCAATGGACTGAATAAATAGGATAACTTGGACTGTAGTGTGGGGAAGCGGTCGGCATTTCCCAATAGTTTAATCCTCATCTGTTGTTTGAATAGGTGTAATCTCTCTCGATCGCGATCTCCCCTAAACATCTCAGGATCTGGGAGCTTCCCCCACCGTTGGGTAGCAGCAACAACGGGTGGTATTGGAGGCGCAGGTGGGGCATCATCGCCACCAATTGGTTCTTCATCAGGGGCAACTACCTCAACAGCAACCCGTTGAGTTCGAGCAGCAGCAAGATCTCGTTCGAACATCTCCCTTGCATTTCCAGCTTCCCTCTCCACCTCCTGTAAATCCGTTGCATATTGGGCAAGGCCGTATTGGGCCCGTTGAAGAAGTGCATAACATCAGCAAGCTCGCCTATTACCCAGGGCGCAGCCCCTACGTCCTGGCGGGCATTCTGCGCCACGAGCGCCCAGCGCGTCCGGCACCGCCAGAGTACAACCTTCGCGCCAGGCTCCGCCGCAGGACCGTCCCACTCTCTGGGACCGCCAGGAGATATGGCTCACGTCCGGAGGGCACTCGCCAATGCTCTGGTCGCCTGGGCCGCCATGAGATTCCCTCCCCCTCCGGAGACGCTAGGATGGAGTGACTCCGCCCACAGCACCTAGGAACTTTTGCTTCTTTTGATTACGTCAGTAGTACACGCGAGCACTTCCCAATGCTCTCACAGTTTTCTTGAATGCTCTCACGGCACGACGAATGCTCTCACGGCACGGCGAATGCTCTCACGGCACCGCGAATGCTCTCACGGCACCGCGAATGCTCCCCCGCGAATGCTCCCGCGAATGCTCCCGCGAACGCTCCCGCGAACGCTCCCGCGAGGGCTTCCGCGAGTGCTCCCAGAGCACTCACCAATGCTCACAGAGCTGAGGCATTCGTCATACCCACTCAAGGTGAGGCAACCCTCATTGGGCTCCTTTGGATTGATACACCGTCCTCAAAGGATAGGAAGGCCGCACCAGTCCCTCAAAAGATATCTAACGTGGGTATCCTCAACGCCGCTGTACGGTCAGTCGCGGGATACTGATACGAGCACTGTCCTGTATACTGGTGACGACTACCCAACCTTTGACGGACGTGTATGTTTCTGTCGATTCGTGAAAGGCATAATTAGCCTTGAGGTTGAGGCCATGGTACGGCTCGTCTGAAAAGCTCAATGTCCATGCATAAGCAGCAAACATGGACTGGCATTGACCTCCTGGAGCGAGCTTGCTGGATAGCCAGACTCAGATACTGAGCGGCCGAAACTTTACCTCCTTCTTCCAATCCGCATGCATAGCAGAACGACACGAATTTTGAATTAGAGAGTCCAATTGGGTCTAACGTTCCTAGAGCACTCAAGAATGCCCTCACGGCTTTACAAGTATTCAACTAAATTCATTCCACGTACGCAAGTCTATCCTAGTATTTACCAACCAATTACCAGTCTCCACCTCAAACAAATGGGCCATTCCCAATATACTCCGAATATTAACGACCCACATCCTCTTCCTCCTCCTCCTACAAACCTTCAGGAGCCCATGTGAGCTATCAGCGATACCACGATCCTTTGCCTCGAGTAGCTCCACTATACATAGTCTATGTGCTCGCCCCCCACTGTCCCGCAGCTTGAACAAAGCCTCGACACGTCCTGGTAAGCGTCCCCGAAACACTCCCCACTCCTCTGAGGACGCTACCGACACCCATACCCAATCCTTTCTTATTTTCCCTTTCCTAAAAGCCGCGTTTCCCGTACACCTGATATTGTGAACCTCGTACACCTCAGGTCTTTGGAAGATTGGTATCGGAACCTGCAAACATGTGAACATCTCCACCCGGCGCTCTAAAATGCTCTCAGAGCTTCCGGCAAAGCTTTGAGAGCATCCCGCATCCTCTGCATACTCCTTTATCAGGCGATATAACGTGGTATGGCTTATTTGCAGTCCATCCGCAATATTGAAAAGTCTTTCCGATTTCGTGGAGGGGTTGCAAAGACGCCTTAGAGGCAGTCGGCCTTCTACTATGGATCGTTCATTTGGTGTTTTTTTCCGGTCTTCGATTTTAAAAATCTCAAGTAACTCCTTCAGGTTATCTCGATGGCTCCAAAGGATGTCGTCAGTGCTCTCAGGACCTCCAACAATGTCTTTCAGATTCAGCATTCGAATCTCTAACGCCAACCGCCGCCCCCCATAGTCCAGTATCTGCGTTGCAGCATCGACCTTGTTGGATGCTCCGTATGCCTCTTTTATCTGACGTACATGGGCGAGTTCGCTGATGTCGGTGGAGTACTGGGGAATGCTCCCAAAGCGCTCGACATGTTCCCGATAGTGCGTTAACACGTGCAATTTGATGAAGTTGAAGTGAGACCTTTCCCGTATCTCGCGAATCTCCTCCAAACCTCGCTGAGCGCTCTGGGAGCCTGAGGTCTTCACAGCTTTTGTCCGATCTCTCGCATCCTTAACCGTCCTCTTGTACGCCCGGAATTCTAAAAAGATATCCTTGTGCTTATGGAAATCCTCGAGATAGCTCTCCATATAATTCAGTGTGCTCGTCGTATGACTCCCATACTGCGCCATTAAGTGGAAGTCGATTAAGCCTCGTACACATTTCAATGCCTTTGCGAAGTCGCCCCTGACAGCCACCCCCGGGTTTCTCAAAGCAGCCGCGAGTGCTCCAAGAACGACCCGCCCCAGATTTCTCATCTCCTTCCCTTGCCATTGGGTTGTGGCACGATATGCCTTGTTCGGTACTGCCAGTCCAGGGTAAGGCGCAATCGAGGCCCAAGCCTTGTCAAATTCCTCCAATCGATTGTGCTTCTTCAAGAAAGCCTGAACCCACTCCATCATGTGCTTCAACATCCCTAGGTAGATATTGTGCAGAATGTCCGGTTTGTTGAGATCGTATGGATTAACCCTCGGCATACCCCAGAAAGCATTGAAGAGTGTCTTTACTGATCTCGCGACAAGGTATTCCACCGGTCCCAGGTTTCCCGGGTTCTCCCTGAATAGCTTTACCCTCTCCCGGTAATCCTCGTGATCGCGCGTAGGGCTCCGGCGAGTGCTCCCAAGACTGTGGAATTCCACCTCGCATCTTGGACAAGAGCTAGTACTAATATTTTGTAAGTTTGAATGCTCAGGTTGATCAGCGATCCAACCCGACAACACCGGAAAGCATAGACGTTCGTACCCGTCGGCGCATGCGATTAGCTCGCCTTCCTGAGAGCACTCCCGAATGCTCTGAAAGATCTCCCCAAGGGCGCGATGCAGCGCCATTTGACTCTGACGTCGTAAAGCGGAATTAGCGAGTGAGTTCTTCCCGAGCTTAGGTGGGACTGGCAGTAGCCCTAGGAGAATTAACGAATGCCCGGTGGGCTTGCTCCGGACCGATGACTTGATGTTCCCGATGGTAAGATAGATTGGCCAGGCTTTCTTGTCCCCACTAAAATTTGTCAAATGTGTGCCATCTGACGCGCATATAATTGGTACCACAGTCGACCCCTCCGGTAAGGTATTCTGTCCAGAAAGCATTAGCGACTGCCTCTAGAGCACTTGTGAGGCTTACCAGACCTGCGTCTCCCACCACCAATCTCCCGTATGCATTTCCCCGTACATTCTCTCGCCAGATTCATTATGCTCTACCACTGGCGCGTACACCAATGACTCCCGAAAGGCCCGTTGGCCTAGAAGATATCGCACAATTACCATTGGATCCCGGTAATAGTAAGGGATTTTCTCTCCCCCAATATCCACCTCCGAATGATGCCAGCTCGCCTTTCCCAATATGTCATTCATTTCGTCCAACCTCTTTATAAAACCTCGCCCAGTCCTGTAGGAGCATTCGCCACTGCTTGACGGAGCGTGTAGAAAGAAACTGTCGATATTTCCTTGTGAGGCCTTCGACAGTATGAAATAACGTGCCATTCTAAACTCGTATGCTGAGTTGAATGGGTGCCACGGGTATCGGAGAAGGTTTTGTGAGCATTCGTCGTAGTCCTCCGAGCGGTAGAGACGCTCCCCAGCACCCTCGTAAATCGTTGTCGCTGCCTCATGCCTATTTGCATCTCCATCTGTCTCTTCCATCATAAAATATGATTCGGATTCCAGATCTGAATTATTATCGGGATCTTGGTCATGATAATTGATACTGTTGCTCTCCGAACTATCCGAGTCGTCATGGGCATCTGAATAGGAATCGTGAATGCCTTCCGGGCTGTCGTGAGTGTCATCGGGTGCCTCTTGATCGCGCTCCAGGAGTAAAAATTGGTTTCCCAGCCATTCATCTGCTTCAAATGGATGTGTAGTTCGAAGATGTTTATCGAAGTTCGCGGAGGAGCTGTACCGCTTGCTGCAAAAGGGGCAAGACGATTTCATTGAAGTCTCATGATGCTAGCAAAGCACTCCTGAGTGCTCTAAAAATTTGGTTTCTGCCAAGGCCGAGGAGGCTCTTTCCTGCAGGTGCTGCTGCAGAGTGCTCGAATGATTTGATTTGTCAGCCAATGAGGCTCCTCTCACCTGCACCCCGGTCGGCAAGGCTGATTTTCAATACGAGTCTGATGTCATACATCACCAACCTAATACAAACATCAACACCAACACGAAGAAACACCCACCACCCCAATCAGGCGGCCAGTTATGCTAGATTCTATCGCCCTGAGCATCTGCACTCTCTCCCTGAGCACTCGCGGAGTCTCTTCAGATCGAGACAGTGTTCTCAGCGCCAAATTCAACACTAATATCGACTACGAGCTCAAAGAATACATTCTCTCCGAATCAGCTTCCTAGAGGACAGAGTACCAACACCAACAAGAACACAAGCACCAACCCCAACACCAGAATGTTATCGACGTCACCATTGGTACCGTCAGAGCATCCCCGAGTGCGCCTGGAGCATTTAGATCAACGTCATATATTGAAGCAAACATTGAGTACGAGCACCCTCGAGTGCTTCTAGAGCATTCGTGGGTGCTCTCGGAAGCGTGATAAGCTCAAGAAAAAAGCTGATCGTACTCGGTATAAGAGCACCCCTCCCTTCCTTCAAGTTCGTGAGAAGTTCCTAACCACCTTCAAGTTCTCCTCTACCTATCACTTCAAGTTTTCCATTGCTTTCAACATTACCTGTTGAAATCTCATCCTTCAAGTTCCTCCGTTTTCAAGCGATTTAACCTTTGCAATCTTTATAAATAAGATGGTATTTCTCTCTCCTAATCCAATTAATTTTAGAACCATACTCACCACAGTGATACATTAACATTATCAGACTCCAAACACCGCTCAGAGCACTCCCGGTAGCTCACAGAACATAAATCAACTTCCCAATAAGAAGCGCTTGCGTGACATAGACGAAGACGATAACGAAAAGACCCACCGAAAAACCAAGAAACACAAATCGTCCCGAAAACATAAGAAACACCGAACTTCCTCAGGTCGCAAATCGTCCCGCAAAACTGTCAAGCCTATCCCGGAGGAGATACCAGAAACACCCCCTAAGCAGTCGCCAGTGCTTTCCGGGTTCACCCCGATCAACAAGAGCCGAAAACAAAACCCTGTACCTCCACCAATCCGGACTGAAACCCGGACTCCGCCAAATACTAACCTAGCTCCATCGGACACTGAAGGGATCTTCCCGAGTAACTGGGGAGCAACCCTAACTGATTCCGACTCCTTTCCCGACTTTAGTTCCGAACCCTCTGAACCATACATAAGTGACGATCAAGACCCAGCAACAGGTCCAGCAACAGGCCCACTAGCAGCAGTCTCCACTGCTTCCTCAGCACGCAGCAGTGCTTCACCAGAGGCCCTTGTACGGACGACCGTACTTAGGGTTAGTGCTACCCCACCAGCACCCGCTAGTGCTCCACAAAAGAACGTTGCCCGGGAGACCATAGTCCCAAGTCAAGTTCTCACTCGGTCCAAGTCTAGTGCAGTCCGCTCAACAGGCCCAGCAACAGGCCGCTCAACAGGCCCAGCAGGCTCTACTACTCCCTCACCAGCACCCGTCAGTGCTCCACCGAAGGTTCTTGCACCGGAGACCCCTACATTCAAGCCCCGACGCCCCTCTCGGTTATTTTCTAGTGCAAGCCCGTCCGAACTAATAGACCACCCCTCACCAGTACGACAGAGACGAATTAGACCCGAGCCATCGCCGATTGTCCAAGAGACATCCCCGAGTGTTCAAGAGACATCCCCGAGTATTCAAGAGACATCCCCGAGCTCGACCGCATTCAAGATGACTCAAGCAAGCAAAGCGAAGATGACTTTAGGTCTACTCAACCTACCTAAAGTGTACACCAGCATCCGCAACAGCCTAAAGGCGGAAATGCAAAATGTGGGTTGGGTCAATAAAAGCACGTCCGGTATGCTGCGTTCAATGCCCTATGCCTTTACTTGATGAACTTGCCCTCCCTCAACGGTTTTCTGCCAATTTGGACTGGGGGTGACTCCGATGCCCGTAGAGCACTGGCGAGTGCTCTACAGTGGCTCATCGCAGATGTTGGTATGAAGGATAGGTTATCAAGGGGACAGGGAGACCGTCAGTTCAAAGAGGCTGCCGGTGATAGTGATGATGATGATGACGGCGGTGGTCAGGCAGCCGGAAGACGCTCTCGCAAAGGGAAAGAGCGTGCAGTACCTCCGGAACTCGTGCGACCTTCCATAATGGTTACCGTGGTGGACCCCGATGCTCTAGGGGCATTCTTTATGCTCGTCCCACACCTACTTATGACTGGAATGATCCCCTGAACGAACCTTCGTTCATCGGAATTTTGACCAAGATAACTTTCCCCGAGCTATGCAACTTGATCCTGAAGCACACCGCACCCGGCAGAGCAGTCAGGACTATCTGGGGGGCAATTGAGAATGTCCCCCCGGCAGCTGTTCCTCCCGTTCGGCCGGTGGAGGTACAAATTACCGATTCAGAGGAGCTCGAAGGTTGGTTGAAGAACAGCAATGCCAGGCCTCGGAGGATATTGGCGGTCCTCCACAGAGCAGGCGCGGGTGCTAACCTGGGTGGTGCGGAATCCCCCCCGTTGAACCCGGCTTTCCCTCACGTTGAGGAAGATGATTATAGCATGATCGATATTCCTGCAGAGGATTCGGATTACGAGGAGGGAAAGCACCGGATAAATGCCAAAGGACTGAGGGTATATATGCCTAGAACTGATGCCAGTAATCAAAGGCTAATTCAGACTCTTGTTAGGCGTCGCGATAGACAGCAGGATGCTATCGACGATTTAGACCCCAAATACCTTAGGAAGTATCCTTTGGGTGTCGGGGTTGCTGACCCAAACTTCTTACAGGGGACGATCTGGACACCTGCCGGGATAGCAGCCAAGAGAGCTGCTGACGCACTCGCGGCTGCTGGTGCTGGAGGTGGTGGTGGTGGTGGTGGTGGAGGTGGTGGTGGTGGTGGTGGTGGTGGTGGTGGTGGTGGTGGTGGTGGTGGTGGTGGTGTGGTGGTGGTCTAGGACCTCCACCGCCTCCGGGCGGACCTCCTCCGCCTCCGGGCGGCGGTGGTGGTGGAAACCAGCTGGAGGCGGTGGTGGTGGTGGTGGTGGGCCAGCTGGAGGCGGTGGTGATGGTGGTGATGGTGGTGGGCATCATTAGTTCCCTTTGGTATAATCTCTAACTTCCCTTCCTGCGGAATTGTCACTAACCTTTTAATAGTTGTTAGGATTACTCCCTGAGCACTCGTGATAGCTATTGAGGTGCGGTACGATTTGGTGTTTTGGATTTCCCTTTGTCTTGCGAGAGTATATCAATGGATGGGTCATATCGGATAGGATTAGATTAGATTAGATTAGATTAGATTATTCCAGGTAGTAACTGCACTGCTTTTATTTCAAAGTCGAATCAAACTCCTAGATTGCTCTCAGAGCACTCGGTACCACTTCAGAAAGTGCAGTAAAACGAGTGATGATAAATGATGCGGTTGAGTGCAGAAATTGTGGTAACATAGGATTATCCCTGCCGTAAGAGGATTAACGGTGCAAATTTTTCTTGATTAGCGGCGCAAATTTTCTCGCCAAGAATTGATTTCTAATCGAAGATATCGCGAGTGCTCCTAGAGCACTGCGGATATTCCTGCCAGTCATCAGAATGGCTCCCACCAAGCGCTCCTCCGGTTCAGCACCTCTTGCCCCAAAGCGCCCACGACTCCCAAAACGACCTGAAGAACATGAAGATTTACTGACTGACGAGTCTGAAATATCTTACCGAACATTGACTCCACTGCCAGCCCGCACTCGGAGTAGTCAATCGACCACCGCCGCTCAAATAACTCGGAAAGGTCTTCTCCGTTCCTCCGAAACCCCCACTGGGAGGAGCAGTCCTAGGAGGGTAGAATTTCATCTCCCCGAGGACCATACTGATAATTTTGAAGCGCAGGAGGAGCCTGAGGCAATTGAGGCGCCAGAGGCAATTGAGGCGCCAGAGGTGGAAGAAATAGTTGATACTAGCCACTCAGACTATGATGATGCTCCGGAGAATGACCACGAGAGCTCTGAGGAGGATGAGGATGAACCGGAGGATGAACCTCAAGCCCCCCCCCCATCTTACACCCAGAAGTCTCAGACTGTCGGAAAGAGACCTCATACAGTTCAGCCGACTACTGCCAGAGCACTGGGCAATGCTCGGAGGAAACCAACTGGCGCGGTAGCGGAGGTAATTGCTTCTTCCAACGTGTCGGTGGACGTGGTGCAGGTTCGACTCTATCTCGCCCATTGATGCTTTTTAACATGTAAGTATTAGTGGCTAACGATTCAGAGGGGAACTCGACCGGGCGCGAAAGTAATACGTAAACAAGGTCAAGGGAGAGCAGCACCCACTTCAGCACCCAGCCAGAATGCATCCCAGAGAGCACTCCCGGCATCCCAGAGAGCACCCCCAACACCCTCACAGTCTAGGCCCTCTGCACCTGTTTATGCTCATGAGTATACCTCTTCTACGCGCCATATCGATTTTTCCTCGATGCGCTCTCGATACGGGGAGTCGTCCCCCACTTACCGGACATATCGTTCTTCACCGCCTAGCGAGGTAATTGGCGAGAACTCTGTGAGCAGTCGTCAGATTCCTTCAAGCCAACTTCACGGTCAAGGTAGATCGCGAAGAGTCTACGAAATCGAGTACCTTTCCTCATCTAGGGGGGGGACGAGAGTACTCCGATGCCGTAAAGCGAGGGTATTTTGATTCCGGGAAGCGAGGTTAGTATTCCGGAGGACACTCACGACGTCTTTGAGAACACTGGCGACATTCCTTCGAGCCAATTGACTCAGAGGTCTGTGGTCCCTAACTCTAGGAGTGCAAATGTGCTGTCAGTGCAGGCTCAGAGGATTGAGAAGGAGTGTAGCGTGTTAATCGGGGAGCATACTCTTCTACATGAGCCCTTTCCACCTGCAGCAAGACTTTCGGTACTGGTAGTGAGCATGTGGGCAACTGCTAGTCGCCGAGTGCGGTGTAGAGTAGACCTTGATGAGGTCGTTATTAAACAGGTGAGTGCCCCCAAAAGGATTACGAGTGCTCTGGAAGCATAATTGAGAATGATAGGTCAGAAGTCTGCACTCCCGTGTCCGTTCCCACTTGATGCACGAGGTGAAAGGGCGCCTGGCGGACTCTACGATATACGGGCTTGGAAATTTTGTGGGGCCTGAGGCGAGGGCGGCTCAAGTGGAATACCTTTTGAAGAATGATCGTTTCTTGAGCCCCCAACAGCATTACGAGGTATGATGCCAGTGGATGCCCAGAGAGCACTCGGGATAGCCGGTAACAGATTCTAGACCTACCGACTGCGCTTCCTGGCTCCGGAAATTATCGATATATTGTATTTTAAATACTTCGATGGGGTAAGAATGCGAGGGGTTAGGGATCCCGAATTTCTAGAGCGGATAACCCCTACCCTTATTTGCCTGATATCGACGGCGATCTGGCACGGCATTCGGGCGTGGTCAACAGGGAGTTACGTGAAGCCTGATAATTTTCAGTCGCAGAATGAGAGTGTTGTGAGTAAGTATGGCCCGATGCCCTCATTGATATGGCGAGTGCCTTGGGAGCAATGACGGATGCTCCTAGGGCTATACGGAATTGCCAAGCTGACATCCAAACACGAGTAGAAACGTTCAACAGGATGAGCAACACTTGGAAGGGGAGAAGTAAACAGAACCAGGAGGCAACCTTGGAGGTAATCAAAGATAACCTTCGAGAAAAGGTATGATACTTCTAGATGCCGGTAATGCGAGTGGTATTCTAAATGCTAACCCTAATAGATACGAGATAAAAAAGGGGTAACGATTGAGATTATACCGGAGGAGGGTTTTAGCGAGGACGATGAAGCTCTGGCTGCGGATCTTGCCGCATTCCGAGATGCTCGGAGAACACCCACGAGTGCTCCAGGAGGTCGGGTTGATTCCGACAGCGCCCAGTACGAAGTGATTAATGCCCGACTTCGCGGCATTGACACCGAAGAGGAGGGGGAGGAGGAAGAAGAAGAGCCGGAATTACCTGTAGTGGGGGATTACGAAGGGGGGGGGGAGGAGGATGTGTAGAACAATCACGAGTGCTAAGGGAGATAGTGGGGGATTTCTTCTGATTCGTATATTGTATTAGGGTTAGTTAGGGTGTTAAATGGCGTATTGTATTTAGTATTAGGCGGAGGATCACGGTGTTGAATACACCAATTCTCAAAGTGCAGTCGCGAGTGCTCTGGAGACAGTAGAGATCGTCGTGCGAGTGATGTTTTTGTAATCTCATGGGGGAATTGTGAATACCAGAGGCCGGAACGGCGGAGAGGTGTATGCCTAGAGAGAACGGGGCGCCGACATGTAGGAATCGGTACGTCGGGCATGAGCCAGATTTCAAAGCACCCCATCCGGCAACGTCAGGGGGAGTCAGGGCAATCATTCTATCCCCAGAGCCCGCTGGAGCAGTGAAGAGTGCTCCAGGAGCAGTCAGGATATCCAACCGTGCAACTGGCGTTCTCTGGCGGGTAGAGTGACGTCCTAGTTACACCGGGCGCTATTATTTAGTGTCGGGGCCCGTTGTGCGGACTAGTGTGCGCTGGGGCGGAATAATGTGCGCCAGACCTCGCCAGGAGCACTGGCGGTATCTCTGGAGAGGTAGTTTACCTACCGAGCGCCCTGAGCGCCCTGAGCGCCCCGGGCGTCTGGCGAAGGCTACAGGTTTGCTGATGTAGGCATGGTTTAGTGGGGCTTGTAACCTCCTCTTACTCCCGCTAATGGTTCCACAGACAAGCTGTTCCTCGAGGTTTGGAGACCTCGACCTTCGACGGCCATTTCAACCAGGTTCCGTTTCTGACTCGGGAGGATTTCCATCGTCCTTATCCCTTCTTCCAACAAGGGGACAGGAGTGTTGGTCAGGCTCGTGTCCGTGCAGCAGCAAGGGAGAAACGGGAACAGGTACGGTGGATGCGGGAGGAGATCGAGCGAGATGGGAGGGGAGCGGAGTGGATGCGGCAGAGAGTGGCACAAGAAGAGCGGAATGAGAGACAGAAACTGGCACTCGAAGCGCATTACGGGGCATGGTGGCGTCAGAAGAAAGCCAGTTATCCTCCTCTTCCGGACCCTACCTGTCGTCATCGTGGACGGAGGGACATTGACTTTGGTTGGGACTGGGGCCCAGATGGGAAATGGGGTCCTCTGACCAATGGGGCTATCAGGATTTTCTAGGAGCGGTCCTAGATGTGGTCTCCTTTCGAGCGAAGCTGGGCGCTATATCCCTTTGAGCGAATGTGGGCGCTATATCCCTTTGAGCGAATGTGGGCGCTATAACCCTTTGACGGATACAGTGGAGACCATGTTAACGTGTTCGCCTCTCCCATGCCAGCCCGAGCTGAATAAAAAAAAGCTAACTGCTTGGTTATTTCAGCGTTGAGAGTGGTCCCAGATGTTCCGGTAAAATTTTTTCCTTTCGTCGGGGTTCTTTAAGCGAGGAGCTTAAAGTTATACTGTAACGGGGGTGCTAGGATGATACACGACCGTGACTTCGATCTGACATAGAAAGGGTAAACGGGCAACGATGGATTCATTGGGCTCGTTCGATCGAAAGATGGAGTTTATTTGTTTGATCGTATTTGTAGTCTAAAAACTTAATAACTTTAACGGGTCTCCTCGCTAGTAAAGATTCCATGACTCCCCGAGTTCAAACTGGGGGCAACCGAGTACTTTTATCGAAGTTCCGCCCCTTTTTTCCCGCTTTTTCTCCCTAGCCCGTTCGTTTTTTCCCTAGTCCGGGGACACCGCGACTTTTTCTATGAGGGGCGAGAGGAGTTGCTGCCACACCTTGGACGAACTTCCGCCCGAGTCAAATCACGCAATCTCTGCCAAGAGCTGGTCGGGATCCTAAGAACTAGCGGAAACAACCGACCAGATAGCAATTGCTTATTCAATTTGTTTTAGAACAGATTTGGTGTTTTGTAAAGCGAGGTTTGCTTTTAGTAGCTTGGGTCGTACTCCTACTCCCCCTCAAAGGTGCTCCGGGCTGAAACAGGAGGGTTCCGGCGGTTCGACGCTCCGGGGGTTATTTTTGGGGTCTAAAACGTGTTTATTTGCAGTGTTTCCTCAACTCCGCAATCCGTTCATTCAACCACCCCAAATGGACCGGAGCATCTTCAGGATTATTTCTGACGTAGTAAAGCATATTTTCCGAGCATCGGTTGCTAAGTTATTGCGCCTCAAAGGTTGACTTCCAAGGTAGGGTAACTTATGTTTGGGGTTACCCTTCCTTATTTGGCATGCTCCTCCTTCTGCTCTAGTTTTGGTCCAGTCGTCTAGCTTGACTTATAAGGCTTCTTGCTCGCCAGGATCCCTACCCTTCATACCAATAGAGGTAGGGGTCATCTGCCCTTATCTTCACCCATCGATGAAGAACAAGCGGTGATTACCCTAGGGTCGTATGGCTTGAATGGTAGAACAGGTACTTTTGTAATAGCCCTACTGTGGCTCTGTTACAACAGCCACCTCATTCTATCGGATTCTAGCGATACGTGGAAAGACTGTCCCCATTACAGTCCTTACTCCCATTAATAGATCCTCCTCCCAGCGCTCAGAATGTAGTTACTCTGACAACTTGAACTGGTAGCTAACCACACTACTTGTACCTGCATGTTACTGTGCAACTGGCTTCTATCAATAACTCTCAGCATGTAGTAACCGGGCCCTGAATGTACTCATACATCAAACAGTTGAAGTGGCTTCATTACACTTAGAGCTGCTAGCGTAACAAACTGCAGGTGATCATGATCACTGGTACCTTCTGTAACGGGGGTGCTAGGATGGGCCACGATGGTGACCTCGATCAAAATACTAATGGTAAACGGGAACGATGAGTTATGATTGGGCTCGTTCGATCGAAAGATGGAGTTTTTGTTTTGATCCTATTTGTAGTCTAGAAACTTAATAACTTTAAGGGGTTTCCTCGTTCGTAAAGATTTCATGACCCCCGAATCCAACCTGGGGCCACGGAGTTCTTTTATCAAAATCCCGTGCCCTTGTTCCCCGCCTTTTCTTCCCTGCCCCGTCCCTCCGTCCCCTAGTCGGGGACGCCGCAACTATTTTCTATGAGGGGGAGAGAAGAGTTGCTACCACACCTCGGACGAACTTTCGTCCGAGTCAAATCACGGAATCTCTGCCAAGAACGGGTCGTGATTCTAGGAACTAGCGGAAACAGCCGACTAGACACCAATTGCTTATTCAGAGTATTTAGAATAGATTTGGGTGTTTGTAAAGTGAAAGTTTGCTTTGGTAGCTTGGGTCGTACTCTTACTCCCCCCCCCAAAGGTGCACCGGACTGAAACCGGAGGGTTCCGGTGGTTCGACGCTCCGGGGGTTATTTTTTGGGGGTCTAAAACGTGTTTATTTTGCAGCGTTTCCTCAACTCCGCAATCCATTCATTCGACCACCCCAAATGGACCGGAGCATCATCAGGATTCTTTTTGACGTAGTAAAGCATATTTTCCGGGCATCTGTTGCTAAGTTATTGCGCCTCAAAGATTGACTGCCAAGGTAGGGTAACTTATGTTTGGGGTTACCCTTCTTTATTTGACATGCTCGTCCTTCTGCTCTAGTTTTTGGTCCCGTCGCCTAGCTTGACTTGTAAGACTTCTTGGTCGCCATGATCCCTACCCTCTATACCAATAGAGATAGGGGCTCATCTGCCCTTGTCTTCACCCATCGATGAAGAACAAGCTGTGGTTATCCTAGGGTCGTATGGTTTGACTGGTAAAACAGGTACTTTTGTAACAGCCCTAGTATGGCTCTGTTACATCTTCCACTGTCTATTGGCTTCAAAATTAAGTCTAATAAAGTCACGTGCTCCTACAGGTTCCAATAGCTCAAACAGTTGAATAAGTTGCGGTAATTACATGAAATATATCTCTCAAAATGGAACGTATCCCTTCTGTACTCATATCCCAAATGAATGAAATCAGTCCATCACACAACTTGAACACTTCTATATCGGGATAACAGTACAGGGGAGGAGAGTATATCAGTAGAGTTTCCCTTCACATAATGTCATAAGTAGCCCTGTTATAAACAGGGTTGCCATCAAGCCCACTCACTACATATAATACTTAAGTTAAACTCAGCAAAGTGAATCTGGAGGTATTTTGCTACAAATTCCAGTCAAAACCAAAAGCTCTCTATGATTTCGCTCTACATATAATATTAAATCACTTCAATCGAAAAATACACATATAACTCTTTTGCCTGCATATACATAATTGGGTTTGTTGAGAATTTTGATTTTCGTCATCAAAAACCAATTTCCACAATTTTAAACTACCCAATCAAATAAATTAATTTTTCTCTATAAACCTAGTTCTTTACCTGGATATTACCTATAGACCTTAGCTTTGTATAAAGAACATTTTTTCTTTCTTTTGCGAAAGTGGTTTACATTTGCGAAGACCTTCTTTGCTGTGTTGAGCGTTATTGCGCCATAGTTGTTACAACATCCACCATCAGATATCACTCGATTGATTGCTCTGTACCCACATGACTGCATGTATGTACATGCACGCAGTTGGAATTGCCTAGAAATATTCAAAATTTACACTCCGTGGTACTTTCGTCCGACGGTGATATCTAATATGCTCTAGAGAATTTGTTCTGAATTAAAATTCTCAACCCTCATTGAGAGGTTTTGTCAGCATGCAACGCCCCGCTGACCTTGTGACACAATAAAATACATGTAGTCCGGTGACAGGCGTCCCATCTATTAGAGCGGATCAGAAGTTACATTAGACCTAGACGTCCATCGCCACCAATTCAGGAAATGCCGAATGGCAACATCAACCAGGGAAATCCAATCCCAAGAAGCCAATAAAACCAGCAACTCGCAGTCGCAAGATCGGCCACCCCAAATTCTTATCCACACCACAACTTTACGCGCTTATCAATCCAAATCAGTAGAAAGACTTTATTTCATCTCATAGTTGTTTCGGTTCCTCTAGCCGTTCACTTGAACGGGTTTATATGCGTGTTTTTCTTGGCAACAGACGCTGTCTTTCAAGATTCCTTTTGATATGACGAATCGTTGTATTTTAAGATGACCCAATCGCATTATGATATACTGTCGCGTGTACTGCGCCATATTTCGTGATGGTTGTTCCTCAAGCGAGTGATAGCGGATGGAACGCCGTTTTTATTGCGCAATGGAAATGGGTGGGGCGCGAACCGATCTTTTACTGGAACAAGAACTTGTGCCTTAAGTCTTGGCCAATCATCCTACTGTAGTGCACATGACCCGAACGAGAAGATTGATAGTCCACCCCGAAATGTCCGGAACCGCCAATTCGTACCTTGCAGTAGTGCCTCCCCATTCCTTCCTTTTACAACCATCCACAACCACCACCACTCATTTAAGACGCATGCGTGTAATGATATCCATTGGTACTGCTCTGAATATTTGGTTATACTCAACTATATTCTGTAGCTGACCTTAGTTCGCCACTGACATTGAGATTGGTCATAAACTGACACCCTTATAATTTACAGTATCTAAAGGGCCGCCTGACCGACAAGCTTCCGAAGCAGTTAATGAAAGGTCCAGATAAGGAAGCCACGAAACCAAATGAATTTCGCGCCGTTAACTTAGCCGGGGTATGAGAAGGGTTCTATCTCGCTTGGCAGACTTGCATGCAACTAAGCCTAAATTGTTGGCTAACAAGAGTTTATGGGGGAAGGGGTGATGATGATGGTGGGGTGGTGAAATAGTTGATGGGATAGGTGGAGGGGGAGGGACCATCAATTTTCATTAATTACTGCCCGCAATGTTAATTTCACGGGGGCATGAGACCTTGTGTTCCCTCAATGGGTGAAGCCTGGCGATAAATGCGAAAAAGACATTCCTCGTGCCGGAAGCATACTAACTACATCTGCTTCAGTACTCCAGACTATGCGGCTCAAATCTGCCTACGAGAACAAGGCTTTCCCGATTTGTTTGCGGAATTTTCACATGCACACATGATATCTCGCTTGTTAAGCTGCTCGAATCCCACACTTTGTAGATGTAGTACTCTATGTACCCACAAGGCGTACCAACAGTAGAGAACCCCTGTGTCCTCACATTAGATTGTTAGGGTTACTCCTCAAAGAGTGTACGATCATTGTATTTATGCGTATATAGTTAATGAAGACAAGTATATCATGTAGATACATGTACTGACGCATGGAATAGGCACATATCCCATACCCTAGTCGATCAAACTTGTGCCTGTCCTAGCTTCATATAGCAAAGAATCCATGCTAAATTACATGTATTCAATGCCCTGTCAGTTCATTCACTAGTTACAGCCGCCATTTTTCGCCATAATAAAACCTGTCTCAGTGCCGGGCCCCCTTTTCTTTCTCATCTTTTCTCTCTCCACACCTACCGCAGTACTTCTATCTTCATATCTACCTCTATTGCCTCCAGGCGTCCCTTCGTTTCTGCTCTACATTACAAGTCTGTCGCTCTTTGAAAGTCACTCATTTCTTCTCGTGATCACTTGTTATTCACGTAGCCTCTCTCTACAAACCGCTCTCTACAATTCATTGTGTCAACAGTTTATCTCAATATAATCAAAATGCGCTTCACCTCTACTCTCGTTTTGGCAATTTCTGCCTTGACCTCTATTGTTGCCTCCGCAACCACAACTTCATCTGGCGAGAATCCTATCACCTATCCTCTTGGCGGCAGTATCAAGGCGGGTTCTGATGTTACTATCACTTGGTACGTCCAATTAATCATTTAGTGCAACATATCGTTCATGTGCAATTCTCTTGACGATCTCGCTGACCTATTGGATTTCAGGAGCGTTACATCTGGCACTTCTTGCGACCTTATCTTAAGGAAGGGCAAGGACACTGATTTGGACGAGGTCTTGAATATCGCAAGTGAGTATTGAACTAAGTTTTGCTATTATATTCAGACATGAATAGAATATTTTCGCTTCACATTTTACTAACATACATGTGCCTTCCAGCTGGTATTCCTAACACTGGTGCTTTCACTTGGTCTGTCTCTCCTAAGATTCCAGCTGGTAGCGACTACTCCATCCAGATCGCCGCTGGTGATAAGGACAACTATTCCCCCATGTTCACCATTGAGTCCGATGTGACCTCCTCCTCTTCCACCTCGGTTTCCTCTACTTCAACTTCCTCCAAGTCGTCGTCTTCTTCTTCTTCAAGCACTTCTTCGACTACCCTTTCTACCTCCACCACCGCATCCACTACCGTTTCAACCAGTGCTACCACTACTGCAGCCAATACTTCTACAACTGGAACAGGATCGTCCAACTCCTCTGCCATCCTTAGCACTACCCGCGCTGCTTCTTCTGCCACTCCCGAAGCCACCGTCGTGGCTGCCAATGTCAACAGTGGTGCCCACCTTGCCTCTCCATTAGCGTTAGTCATGTGCATCTTCGCCGGTCTCATGTACCTCAACTAAAATGTCAACAATATACGGTTGAAATCGTACTTATATGAAGGAGGGAGTGGATGGTTGATTTCTAGCTTAATGTTTCTCAAGTGATTGTATGATGGTACATTTTATTTTCTACGGTGACACGCATTCTGTGAAAATGACAACTATGCTGCTGTTCCATCGGCTTAACTGACTCCCTACTGGGATTCTGTTCGCCATTAGTTCTTTGGAAATATTTTATATTCTTCTACTATTTTTGTTGATTCGGTGTTTGTAGGGAAATTAATGATTGAGGTTGAAAGTCCAACTGTTAAAAGTTACCACGAAAACCTATTGTGAGACCAGAAGTAAATATCTGCGCACTGCACCAATTTGGAGCCAAACTTCCTCATGAATTGTCACTCGCCTTGCCAAGTCGAGCCTTGCAGGTGTCTAGGTATATATGTATCAAATTCGAGACATACAGGAGAGCTTCAGCTCCTCTTGCGGCTTTCTGGTATTTATAAAAAGATAATATTATGTTACATCCACGATGAGATATATAGATACATGTCTGTAATCTTACCCCAGCCTTCCAATGTGTCACTAAAAATACTTTAAAGCTTGTGGGGGTACCCAATTACTCGAGATGCGATGTGACAGGACTACTATCATTGCACGGTGACTATGTTCATCGGTCGTAATACAAGCATCCTGTTAGTTATATAAACTCGATATTTTTATTCGTTAGGCCTTCTTGAGCCTATGTGAGTAAAGAGAGTTGTTTAACAAGAGAAAGTGCACCAAAATCCCATGCCCTATCACCAAGAGCCAATCCCTTTCCCTTTTTCTAATTCAAGTTCAAGGTATTATCACTAGAATTCAATTAAGTACCGTCGAGTGATAATTTATGATTGCGCGCATCAAGAGCGAACTTGTCTAATTACTAGGTAACTACGAAATGTACCACAGGGCTGGGCTAGTCGATGGATTTCTCGTGAATGGCACACGTATGTACGAAGTCACCCTTCGGAGATTGAGTCTGAATAGAGCGAGTTTTGAAATACGCAAATAGAAAGGTTAGGCAGGGTGGAGAAAACTTTAATACAGTTATTGGAGTAGGGCACTATATCGCCCCTAACACAACCTTTCCCACCACCGGAAAGCTACCAGTCAAAAACAACACAACTCTGGATATTTATTCAATGATCTTAAATAATGAACCCGTGAGTTCTCATCCCTCTTGAACTCCCGATCACTTGCGCAACTCTACGTAGTTTGCAGGCTGCCAATGTGTTAGCGATTAAAAAAAAAAAACCCCCCCACGAGGGAAATGATGACATACAAAGAGGCCGCGCTTTCCACCGTATGTTCCCAACCACCAATCATCGTCTGGAAATTCGATATCTTCGATGATTGCCTCATCAGGGAAGGTGAGTTCATTATCTTCTGTTGCTGCATAGTCATACTGGGCAATCGCCGACGGGTTGTTGGTGGCTTGGTGTTCTTCCTCCTGCGGTGGAGGCGATTCTACAGAAGGTCTATCCTCTGGTCGAGAGGGTGGAGGACCTTGTTCTTCGTCTCCCTCGATAAGCTCAACATAGTTGCTGGGGAAGAGACCGCTCTCCCCCTGTACGTTGCGCCCAGCCCACCAATCCTAGAAGAATTAGCATAAACGGCCGTACGTTATCGCCACGTCAAAAGAAATATATACCTCGTCTACCATGTCGACTTCTCCAACAATCTGTCCTTCGACCAAGTTTATTTCGTTCGGCTCGGTTGCTTCGTAGTCAAACAAGATGAGTGCACGCCTTCCTACGCTGCCTTCAACGGTTTCACCTCCTGCACCTACACCAACTGTTTCCGACCTAACCCTTGCTGGTTCTTCGTCCTCAAGATCATCTTCTTGCGGAACTACCCTACTCAAACTCTCTATGGGAATGGATGATTCTGGCTCTGGTTCGTGTCGTGTTATGGGATCTTCCTGTCGCCTAGATACGGGCATTGCGATCCTAATAGGACTTCCGGGGATCTCAGGAGTGGGGGGGTAGGAGATCTTGGAGGTTGCGGCGGTGGGTGTGGAATTCCAGCTGCGTTTGTCTCATCATCATCAGCAGGCTTAGGAGGAAATCCAGGGAGTGCGACGGCCCCTCCCGCGACGATAGTAGGTCTGGAAGAGATATCAACGGGTGGAGGTGGAGGAGCACGGTCTCCTGTAGTTTGCTGGAACTGGTAACCGCCGGTCCTTGGAGGGCTCTTTGGTGATGTCGGTGCCCCCATCGGGGGCGCGCCTGAAAATTTATTTCTCAGTGCGCTGATACCACCCGCGGGGGCTTGTACATCCTCTTCGTGGTCATCCAGTTTTTGTTGAGCAAGCTTATTTGACAAGCCATCATTACTCCCGGAGCTACGGCCGGTGTTTGAGGTGCTAACAGGGGGGTATTGCTGGCCTGCGTAAGTCGGCGGAGTGGTTTCGCTGGCTCCTGAGAGACCGCGCTCTCTAGCTTTCTTTTCGGCCCATAACTGGGCGGGCGTTTTACCACCGGATGAGCCAAAGTCTCTACTTGCAGCACCCACAGGCGCAGCTGCTGGGACAGAAGGATTCAATCCGAAACCACCAGGCGTGGGTGGTTTAGTACCAAAGCTGGGCGCACCTGTCCCAAATTTCTTTACAGGCTTTGGTTTGGGGAGAGAGGTGAGTCGCTCACTTTGCGAAAATGCAGCTGATCTCTCTGATACTGGTCTTGGTCTTTCTTCATCTTCTTCATGCGCCGGAGATGGCCTCGCTTGAGCTCTGATGGCTGCGATATCTACTTTACCAACCGGCTCGTATGCACCCTTGACAATCTCCGGACGCTCAGATTTCTGCTGCGCTTGAGCTCTAATAGCGGCAATATCTACTTTTCCAATAGGTTGATAGGCTCCTTTCACGATATCCGGTCTATCGCTAGCAGATGATGCACCGCCATAACCAGATGTGGTGGATGTTGGCTGAGCTCGAATTGCAGAGATGTCAACCTTTGTCGGTTTATAAGCAGGTGCAACCTTCTCCAACTGGCTCCTCGTTACAGGTGGGGCATCTGCTCCCCAGCCATCACTGTCCGTCTGCTCCTCACGTTTGTAGGGGGCTCGCGAGCCTGTAGCACCGGAAACTCGAGTAGGTGTATACGCAGGTTTAGACGATGGAGCCGGCGGCTTCGGGGCAGATGTCGGAGGAGCGGTGGAAGTGCTCGCAGACGAATATTTAGCTCCCGAGGCATCACCAACCTTCTGGACTATAGATTCGGGTGAGAGGTCGGATTCAGACCGGGCAGTGACTTGTACATGGTAACCCTAAGACATCGATGAGTAAATTTCGATGTGAAGAAGAACGCATAGCTCTATCGGGCAGCTACTCACATGCAAAACTTTGGCGGCCGCGTTTAGATGACCGGTGAAATATCCCTTAACTCTCTCCGGGACGCCCTCGCCACACTTTCCCCAATTAGTCAATGAGGTTGTCCGGACAGTGATGGGACTGGAGAGCTTACCCAGGCAATCAGAACAAACTTGGGTAACCCAGAGTTCGGATCTTTAACCTTGACAAAAGCAAATTGCACTTTGCCATCATTGAACTCTTCGATGAGCTCCTCAAGCTCACCCTCTACAAGAACAAAGACCGCCTATGTCAGTGTTCGTTTTAAGTTAAAGTAGCAATGGGCAATGAATGGAAGGAGTCGTTTAAACCTCCTGTGCTATGCACTTTCAGCGTGCTAGCCTTGGATGTAGAACTCGCAACAAAGGCATTCTGCAATGGTACTGAGACAGCAAAGACAGCCCACTGAGCTTGAGTTGGGGACTTATTTGCGGGGGCTGAAGATGAAACGAGGGTTTTATAAGAACGGCCAATCTCGGGAGAGATGTCTAGGGAAGCCATGATGTTGTGAGAGAGATGGCTGGATGTATATGTGAGATAGATAGCAAGTAGGTCGAGAGCAAACTTCCGGTAGGATTAGTGAAGTATGATGGAGAGGAGAAAGGGGAGGTCGAAGAACAGGGACAACAATTAACAGGGCCACAGGGTGGTGGTGGTGATGAGCATTCATACGCTCTGACGACAACAAGCATGTGGCGGGACCACAGGCTGTGGCTGTGCCGACCAATTAGTATTAGAGTTTAGGGCTCGAAAAATAACTCCTTACCCTACACCGGGCGGGATTTGTACTATGGAAGTTCAAATGAAGACGTTATATATAAATCACTAACTCAATGCTAAGCTCCGGGCAACGTTGAAAACAACAAGCGCGCATAATAGCGATTTCAACGGCGCCCTCTCGTTCCTTATACTACAGATACTGTTAATAATATTAATTGGTGTGGATGACTTGTCGAGGAGTTTGGACGCTCAGACATCTGACTATGGTTGCTATAGAGTACATATATGATCATATGCATGCAAATGTGTGGTGCCGGTCACGATAAATCAGCTTTCCGGCCATTGGCCGAGGCGGAAAAACAGTTTATTAAAACATATATTTTAATCTCAAATTTTAAGTCTCGATAAATATTTTACCCGAGAAATTGCTTGGTTTTAGGACCTTTAACTATGTTATTGGTAATTTAATTAACGACAGCGCGCGACTCCATATTGCACATGATGTAGGTTGGAAGGTCCTACCTGTAGTTTTTTGAACCCTAGATACATGTACATGTATGTACATGTATCTACTCCTTCAAAATAGATCGAGGAAGCTGAAACAGAGAATATATAGTCCTAGTGATTACCTACAGGTTGTCTATCTTCAAACTTTGAATTTCTTAAATGTATTTTTGAAGGCTCGGATATATAGCTACATGTAGGTCAGGAGGGTCTTGGAGCCAGGTAGGTACATGCACATACATACTACATGTACATATATTGATCATTGATCGTGACCGGTACCATATATGTGGGTATATACATGTAGGTATACGTATATGCTTGCTATATCGTAATATTTATTTTTCGTGATCGTCTACGTACTCCGGTTTACATGTACTTTATACGTACGCGTATATATTTCTTTGTCAAAAGTTGCTCTAGAAATATTGGGGATGTCCATTACATTCAAGGACGAAGTACATTTATAACGGATATCGGCATCGTCCTCAGGTGAATTCAATAGTAAACTGGCATTTATGGTACTGCTTCATTCTATAAACTATAAGTTATTCCAGCCGTAAACTACTTGTCATCTCCCCTGCTTCCAGGCGTATGAGCCACACATACACAACACCATCATTTTCTATTTCATCATCACCATTACTTATAGAGTAACTCATCAACATTTATCAATATGATCCACTATAAACACATTATAGGTTCATATAGGAATTCATCATAGAATGAAAAAATCATGGTTAAAAACTATTCGATCCCTGGATATCTCTAACTAAGCAGTGAGAAACAAAAATTCAGGGACATATTGATGAATTGAATTATTGTAATTTCTAGTTAATTAGATCTCGTTCAAGTGCGTTTTGAAGATCAAGGAGTTGTGGTGCTCCAATACAGGTTATACGTATGGCAACAAAGATCTAGTGTATATAATCAAAATTGCATCCAATGCGTACCAGAGCTAGAGCTGAAGACACATGAACATGTTAATTTATTATATAGATGTAGCTACATGTAGCTACATATAGGTCTGAAGCTGAGTCTCTCTAACCAACAATACATACATAAGAAAATTGTACATCATACAAGTACGTAGTATATAAGTACTACCTAGCCGGTAGTACGGGAAGTAAATCAGTACGGTGTTTCTAAACGTTACTCACCGCGTTTACCCCTGTTTTCACAAATATTACGGTAGAACTGTGATATTTTGTGTTATATTGCGGCCGTGGTACTGCTATCTACGCGTACGGCCGTATTCACAGCTTATCACTCGGAAAGTTCGATTGAATGGATGGGCCATGGGAACCTTGAACATAAAGTATCACCTTTCTAACATCTACTCCAACTAGGCCTTCGGGGAAATTACGATGTCAAATTTTATGCACTATAATCTTATACCTAACATCACCAACAGTGATAAAAGGGATTCGGGTTATATGTATTACGTTTCACTCGAACAGAGAATGGGCAGCAGACATGTAACCACCAAATTCCAATGGGAACAAAGTTCTTTAAAAGGCGAGGTACAGGAGTATCACTGAGTTAGATACGCCATGCCCGTTTTGGGCCTACTGAAACCTTTCCCAAGGCGCGGCTATTTACTAGTACCTTGATGAACTGGAATAAACGCTGGTGAAAGGCAAGAGACTTCGATCAAGATGCCAGAGTAACGGCATTCTAGATCTTGTTATCCCTATGTATTTATGCTTGCCAAATTGCAAAGCCACGCAACCTCAATATCAGTCATATCCCCATTTGCGAATATATTTCTTGTAGGTTTGTTGAGATCTCTAGGTTTTGATTACTAGTACAGCCCAATTACATTTCAATACAATTTCTATGACCCATATCATCTATACCAAGTTCACAACAGAACACGATCAGACACGTAACGGGAAAACATCACCTTGCGTTTCCCTCTCCTCCAACAGAACTAATTATTTAGTCTGTAATTTGTTCAAAGTTGCAGCGCCACATAAAGTATAAACTTTAACGTTTCTAGATCTCTAACTCATATCATCCATGAAACTGAGGTATTTACAGCTCACAAGTAGTCTTGATTGTCCACGCCTCCTTTGAACCTCTCACTAAGGGTTCTGAACTTCGACAAAAACGCATCCACGTCCACATATGTCCCCTTCAACCACCTATCACCACTTTCCGGATCAAACTCCCTCCTCCCATGTACTACTCTCCTATTATTAAAGATAACGCACTCTCCCTCATTGAGTTTAAGCTCAAATTGTGATTCCGGATCTTCTATACTCGTGCCGAGATTACGAATTGCATGAAGCCAGCTCCTAAAGGCCCTATTGTCTTTACCATTCGTATCGACTTCTATTGGTGCCTGAAACGGCGGCGACCAGTTCATATGGTCAATGCGTGGCTGGCGGAGGTATGTGTTCTTCTCCAGAACAACCGTTGGGCGGCTATAGTGGTAATGGTGTCCATCATTCTTATAATGGAAGGTAACAGGGAAATCGCATAATGCTTTGAAGAGCGGTTCGGAGGTCATCCGAACCGTCTGCGCAGCACGAAATGCATCCGCGAAAATGGAAGAACCCCCTGTGACAGTGTTGCGGATGCAGTGAAGGAATTGAAGCCCAGGAGGCGATTCAAAATAAAGGAGGTCCATGTGGAGGCCAAGATTGAGGGGAGTGTAGCTGAGCTATTATCAGTGAAGCGTTGATATATGAGGATATGTGAAGTACTAACGCTATGTTTTTGGCATCTTTGACATTCTTGACGTCCCAAGTCCTCCCGTAGAATGTTTCTTTAATGTTACCTATCCGTTTGGCAATTCCTTCGACCGAATTCTGCCTCGAGTTTTCCGGAACTTTACGAAGGAACACCAACCCATATATAGATAGGTGTCGAACAGCTTCGAGCAGCATCTCGTCGGACTCCATATAAGTCTGGTAGTCAATCCATAGCACATCTTGCTCCATTAACCGCTTATCCCATAGGACTTGTCGTCGATCATTAAAGTTACTCCTAAGCCTCCACCTCAGGTTTGCCTGAGTCCGAAGAAAGTCGAAACTATAGGTACTTATATGCTGACCGTCAACTCCTGGACCTATATCCCACTTGATAACGAGTGTGCCGTCAGGGAGCGCTGTTTGGAACTTTGGCTTCGTGTCGTAGTTTATATCGGAGGTCTGGATAAGCTTTTGTTGCGTTGAAGGGTCGACACACATATGGCATCTGCAAGCGTCTCGGAGGAATATATTGTCGAATGCAACTTGTTCTCCCTCAATGTCAACCGTGACATACCTGGGGGCGGTTGTTTGAATGACTGAAAGACGGTTTATTGCCTTTCTCGTTGGTAGAGGAGCCCATCGTTTCTCTTCCGGGTATTCTTGTTGGCGAGGAGACCATGACGAGGCAACACCTCTCACCAGATTGTATTGGATATCTCTACTCGGGCGCCACACAGAGCTGTCAGCTGACGCCGTGGGCCGGAGTTTTTGGCAAGCTGGCCTTCTCAGAAGCCCGAGTGGGCTTTGTCTGAGGATTGATTTCATCATGGCGGGAGAGAAAGTGTAACTTGAAAGCGGGACAAGCTTGATCACAATATCTTTTTTTCCTACGCACAACCTCCGTTCCTCCGTTGAGGCTCTTTAGACATCCCTTCAACCTCAACACTCAGCAACAAGCGCGAAAAGAGCTAGCAGTAAAGGAAGAAAGGAACCCTTCCAGAAAGATATCATAAACGAGCGGACTTTGGTTCATGATGAGCCGAGTCGGGAAATCGAAATACGGAAATGAAAATGCAAGTCTGAACTCCTGATCTCATGCTCACGTCTCCTGTGATGTCATAGGTTACATCCCGCCAACAACAAAAAAAATGCTTCAATATCGGCAGTACTAACCTATGTTTGCAGGCCTCGAAACGAAGCGTAGTAATTGCTGGTGCCATTGCAGGTCTGGTTTCACGGTATATTCTGCACAATCCCCTATTTATCGTGTACCGTCACATTTGGCGATGTCAAAATACAGAAATAGGCTAACCCACTCCAGGTTTGTAATAGCACCTCTCGACGTCGTCAAGATCCGCCTCCAGCTCCAGATCCACAGCCCTACCGCGAATTTTACTCACAATGGGCCATTATATCGCGGTATCTTTCCGACAATGCGGAAAATTATCGCACAAGAAGGAATAGCTGGACTCTGGAAGGGAAATATCCCAGCAGAGGCTCTGTATCTTGCATATGGCGCTTCTCAATTTCTTACATACCAGCAAACACATCTCATGATCACAAAGTCAGGTTGGGAGGTTCCTGAGAGCGTAAAATCATTTATTGCCGGAGCTACCGCAGGAGGCCTTGCAACAACGGCTACATATCCTCTAGACCTTCTCCGAACCAGATTCGCCGCACAAGGCCAAGAAAAGGTTTATATTCATTTTTTCTTTAATCATCATTCTTTCTAACAGCCTCGAAAATAGGTCTACCAATCTATAAAACACTCGGTTCGACATATTATCGAAAACGAAGGTGCTTACGGCTTCTTCCGTGGCCTTGGGGCCGGCGTAATTCAGATTGTACCTCACATGGGCCTATTTTTCATGAACTACGAATTTGCCCGTCAGTACCTCTCTACTGTACAACAACTCCCGAGTGGGTGGTCGGATGCTATAGCTGGCTCCTTTGCTGCTACCGTTGCCAAAACAGGCGTATTTCCTCTTGACTTGATCCGGAAAAGACTACAAGTCCAAGGTCCTACCAGGCAGAAATACGTGCATAGAAACATACCAATCTATGCAGGCATCTTTAGTACCGCTAGAGACATCTTAAGTGCGGAGGGACTCAGAGGACTATATAAAGGGCTCTTTGTAAGCTTGGTGAAAGCAGCACCGTTGAGCGCAGTCACGATGTGGACATTTGAAAGGAGTCTAAAGGGATTGACATGGTTAGAGGAGAAGAAGATTGTGCTGTAAAGGTTGAGTTGGTTCAATGTTTTCGGTGTAGACTGGATGGGAAATTTTCATTACGGTGTTGTGGGTTAGTTAGTATATACCTTGTGGGACCAGTTTTTCAACGGGAGGCTGGGCTGGATTGCTGGAGTTTTTTCTTCCTTTTTCTCATTAATTTGGTGAGATGGCATTTGATTTCATAGGGAATAGAAGAGCGCACGATGGAGGATATTTTATAATATTAAGCCGTCGATACCAAAATTCCACTAATTTTAGCTTTAGGCCGTTACATACATGTAATACTTTCACTTAGGACAACTTCATGGGATATCACTCGGTAGTCTTGGCTCGCACGATGAAACATCTCTGCCCTAGGTTAGGATTTAGATCTAGCCTATTACGATAACCGAGTGTGCGGAGAACTGAAGATTGTATCATTGACACATGCCATTCACCCATCGACAGCCTTGTTTTTACGGGTTTGGGATTTCATTTCCGCCTGTCCAACCACATACCATAACTCAACCAATAAGAAACGGTCTGTGTTCCAGGAACACCGTGTCTGTATCTGCAACAAAAAAAACCTGGTCCTAGGAGGTTCATAAGCTCTTGAATCACAAGGCCTCCTTAGGTAGAGCTACGCACCGGGACCGATCCGCCCCTCAACTGCTTAGGTAGAGCTGTAAGGAGCTCAATCTAATCTGCCCCCAAACCACTCCCAACTTCATTTCAGCATACATACATTTCTCAAACGTTTCAAGGTATGCACGGTCTATCAGTCGTGCCCGATGCCCCGAGAATAAGAAGCTTTGCGGGGTGTAAAGAGATGGACACGTGACCGATGTCCTCATATAGTTGATCCATGGATTGCCGGCCGTAGCGGATGAAATACGGATGAAATGAAAGAAAAAGAAAAGAAAAGAGTGGGTGAGAGAGAGGAACTTCACTCTATGTATAGGCAGGTACGCATAACTCGGATCATCGTGAAACCCCATGACCGTAACGTGTACATCGTTCTTGTGGAGATGACTAAACTGCCTAACTGCAGGACATTGCCATTGCCATTGCCAGACACCAGACACCAGAGACCAGACAGACAAACAGAAAGCTCTGTGCACCTTTTTTAATCAGACGCGCATTCCACCACACAGCGGAGGAGCTCAGTTAAAGTAAAAGTGATCGGGTAAAGGGTTAGGTGGGGGGTGTTCGGCGAGGATTGCCCTAAGGATATAGGGTCCAATAGGGCGTTTACAATCATCCGTCACCCCTGGTCGCTTGAATCCCCCAGAACGCCGGAGGTTTACACTTTTAGATAGTTTCTGAAAGTTAAGCTCTAGGCCCAATCAGCGGCATGACACGCAAGGATACAACAAAATCTTAATAATGTGGAATGTCTACTCTACACCTCTTATTACATGTATTGCGTCATGACAATGGTATTCTCATGCAATAAACTTTCGATACTTATGAATTTGATTTTAGTGTAGAGAAAACTTCTTTACCATACCCCATAGTTCAACCGCCACGATATACGGGAAAAAGGTCACCGCGGGGCCATATTTAGGACTGCAGCAAGGACATCATAATATCAACCGAGAACCCCCAGACCAGACCATCTCAGTGAAAGTTTTTTCTTCCGTACGTACCGGAGATTTTCCCTACCCCGCTACTCCGGCGGCATTTCCCAAGGTACTATATTGTAGATCATGCCGTTAATTGTAGCCCACTCTTTAAGTTTTGGAGGTGGTATTGTTGGCTGGATGATTGGTATGACAGCTGCTGCATTGCAGATGCTGTAGACTGGACGCCCAAACCACATTTTTCACACTTTTTTCGCTGCACTTTCTGCTTCTCCGGATTAACGTACTGATACGAGGCCAGAAACCAGATCTCTTCCGTGATTGTATGTACCTTAGATATTGTAGATACTTGGCTAGTTTCATTTTGTGATGTGCTTTGTGCACCTTGCGGGGTTAGTATAGTAGGGTACTGGCCTGGTCCGCCTGGATATTGACTCTCAATCAAGGCTTGTATTACGACTAATCCTTTGGTCGGAGAGGGGAAGTTGTATTGCACTTTCACAGCCATTGTGCTATCCAATATCAGTGATAAGCTATATACACCGGTGACGGATCTGTAGTTGTCCATCTCCGGCTCCGTCTGCGTTAGATACCGCAATCTGGTGCGCACTTGTGGTAGTACAACAATCCCAGAATATATGCAATGGACAATTGGATTCTCTATGTACATGCTTGGATAAAGTATGTAAATACATATATAATCACTCTAGAAATTCAATTATCGACACCATAGAGCACGTGACACAATGCCGGGTCAAAATGACACCTTGCAAACATCATTGAAGAAGGCACTTGTTAGTACTTGCAAAAGAACATCGTGGACTCATTCGGTAGTTTGTATATAGATGACGGCGGGAAGAACCATTATTTTTCCTACAAACGTCCCCATTCTGAGGTACCACAATCATTATGGTCCTGTAGTATACAATCTAAGAACAGTACATTGCGTTTAACATATATCTGGGGAATTTCCCAAATCACATATGTTCAGTGGCTACAGGATGTTCTAAGATGGAGATTCAGTCAGTAGCAATACATAAGCAGCTCTATGATATACAATATTCTACAGTTTTATAAATTAGTCTTTACAGACAAGTCCTCTATCGCCAAGCCCTGGCCGCTTTTCAATGCGCCAGCACGACCGGCTTTCCCTTCTCCCACGAATTCAAACTCTCCCTGATATTCACCCAGTACCTCAGCCTTACCGTCTCAACCTTTGCATTCTCCAAATCATCCTCCTTGAAGAGCTCTCCCAGCCTCTTCAAGCTGCCCCTGATCCTTTCTTCATTAATGACCTTCATAGGCCATAGATCCTCCTCGCTCTGGGCCTCCTCGATCTCTTCTCTGGCCTCCAGCACCTCCATCAGCAGCTCCTGGTCATCCATCTTTAGATTCTCGTCCTCGGCCACGTCGATCCCACGCAGCTGGAGGATGTACTGGGCCCGGTGGAGCGGCGAGAGCAGCGTGCTGTAGGCGCGGTTTAGGTAAGCTGACCCTCCCTCGGCTTGCCGCTTTAGGGTCGGGTCGGTGACGGTGTCGGGGTGCGTGAGCTGCTGGAGCTTGAAGAACTCTTGGCGGAGAGCGCGTGGGTCGAGATCGAAAGGCCCGCTGGGCGGAGGCCCGAGTGGGAGCGTGTTGGGGAAGAGAGAATAATAGGTTGGGGGCACTTTTGGCCCGTTGGATGAGGAGCGGCGAAGATGCTGCAGAGGCTGGAGCCTTGGGGACTGCCGTAGTAGCGGGCGTAGAAGCTTGCTGATTGCCATTTTCCTGCCCGAACTGTAGTAGAGATGGGGTCTTTTTTCTTTCTTTCTTTGTAGTTCCTCTAGCTAGAGTTTTACAATGCGCAGGTGACGTTGTTTTTGATATCGAAAAGCCCGGGGTTTACAGCTTCCAACTCCGCGATTATCAATTGGCGCGCGACGGTTGCGCGCTCATGAATCATGAATCATTTCTCCAACGTCAACCAATTACCAGACTTGTCCAGTTTCCCGAATTTACATAAAAGCCTTCACTGCCGATCACTCTAAGCTCCATAGATATCAAACTCCATCCCACGATGCTCTCGCACAGTGGTTGATACATTGGTACATGTACCTCTCCCAAACCAGGCCTATCACAACCACCCACAGCCACGATCATGATCGTTCGTTGTTGGCGGCTTGCCTACATACGCCCACCGCCCCTGGATGGATGTAAAAAAAACAACGACACTTCACTTTACAGGTTGCGAATGTTCCTTTTTCTTCTCCCGCCGATTTTTCTGCCTGCGTAACACTATCGTACTTGCCATTGCAAACTCCCCCGCGGGGATCGAGATTTTGTTTCTTTTTTCTATTTGCTTCTGTGATGGCTTGCTTTGGTTGCTTCCCACACAACTCAAAACACGGTAGAGGCAGGATGGGATACGAATGATCAAGTAGATGTTATGTATGTTAATTTCCCCAGCCTGTGGCTTTGAGGAGGTGCTTTTTGTTAATCCTATTGTACAAAAAATAATTGTTTGTCCACCAAAAAAGTTTGCCCACCAAAAAAAGTACCTACCATACCCCCCTTTCCGTGATGACCTGCCTGCATCTGAAGAAGATATTTTCCCAAAAGAAATAGAAACCCGTGATAGAAAAGAAAAAAAGTAAATATGAAATGAAGCCCCCAACCGAGAGTGGAAGAAAGAGAAAAAAATCTGAAAGAAAGAAAGAGGAGGGTAACCCTTACCTTAACTTTCCGTTCTACTTATCCATTCGACGCCAGCCGGCCGGTAGAAGGTCCTTTTTTTGTAGTGTTCTTCGAGTTTCCCATAAAACAAAAAAATCCAAGTCCAAACAGCCATAAAGAAACATGAGGAAGTAAAAAAAGAAAATAAGAAATGAAAAACAATACAATTATTTTAGAAATTTAAAAGCGAGGCAAAAAAAGAGAAGAAGTAGTGCAAGAAAAGGATGAGATTACAGCAGCTGCTACATCACGTCAATGATCGTTCAACCACGTACTCTCACCCTCTTCGCGCCAGGCTGTGGAAACGCGCCCCACGCCGCAAATGGCGTCTGCTGTTGCTGTTGCTGTACATTCTCCTCTTCATCGTCCGCCCATCTCTTCCTCTTGCTCACGCCGCCGCTTGGCGCTGCCGCGGCCGCCGCAGCAGCAGCAGACATATGCATTTCGAGCTCCATCTCCATCATCATGTCGTCGCCGTCATGCTGCACAACCACAGGCGCAAAGCGTTCATCACCGCCAGAAACATCAATCATTTCATCCTCGACGACTGAGCCTTCAGGCGAGGAGCCCAGCTCGCACTCGGGCACCTGCGTTTCCGCTGGGGTCTGGAGCATACGCCCGCCGTGGTAGGGGTACACGCAGTCGTCGTCGTATGACGAGTAGTCGTCGTCTTCGTCCATGCCGCCGTTGTCGTTGAGCAGAGGCATGGGGTTCTCGGACGACGAGAGCTTGTACCCGGTGTTGGCGCTCTCGGGACGCAGCTCCTTCAGAACTTGTTGGTCGACAAAGTCCCAGTCAGGGTCACGGGCGCCGCAGGAAAAGCCGGCATAGACGTGGCGTTGGGTGGAACGCTCTTTGTAGGAGAGCCATTGATCTTGCTTGTAGGAATTCATAGTGATTGTAAGGGAATTGGTAATTTTATTTGGTTATGGTAGTAATTGCAGTAATTGCAGTAGTGGTAATTGTAATTGTAATGCTAGAGGTGGAGAGAGTAGATGGTGGGTAATGGTAGTGTAGATAGGCTGACGGATGAAGAGTGGGTAAATATGATGTAGTAATAATTCGTGTGAGGAGGTATGATGGAGTGAGTGAGTGAGGGTAAATGATGGAAGAAGAGGAAGAAGGAGAGGGGATGATAAAGGAAGGGAGAGGAGAGGAGAAAAGAAAAAGAAGAGAAATAGCAAGAGAAATAGTAAGAGGACAAGACGAGTGAGAGTGGAAGAGGGAGAGGTTAACTTCAAGTACGGCATGAGGAATGGCTTCCAAAAAGTGACAAGTGCAATGTATTATTATCATAAGAGGTTAGCACCATATCAGAAATGGACAAATGGGGAGGCTGGCAGCAGCAAGCAGCAGGCAACAGCCAGACGACAATCTACGGACGGGGGAAAAGAGACAGAACGGACGAGAGTGGGAGCAAGACGGACAGTCAGCTCTCCAACTTACTCACTTACTAATAACCTGCCGATAGTACCGGAGGGGACGAGGAAAGAGAGGGAGGGTAGGTAGGGGAGGGGCGAAACAGGAGCGCAGTCTGAAAGCGGTAGCGAGCGACTCACACCGTCTCTCTCGCTCTCCTCCAACACCTAGCCTAGCTATGCGCGATGTCCATCCCCCACCGATTCGGCTACTACCGCAGAGCCCCAAAAAAGACGACCTGTGATTGGCCAGAAAAGGCACCTAATACTACCCCATACAGGGCTGAATCAACAGAACAGGAAAAAGTCGACATGGTCTCTGCTCTCTTCTTTCTGCGATCCTCCCCCGCCAAATTCAAAGATCGCGTCTTTCAAGAGCAATTTGACCTCCCTTCTTTTCTCTTGCGTCCTCTGACACAATCCGGAGGGAAGAAGCCCAGCCAGGGAGGATCGCAAATATCACCCGCATGCGGCTTCTGCTAGCTGCTTCTGCCTACATGTCTGTCTGTCCAAGTTTCGCCCTGTTTGGCTAATACGGGTCCACGATCTACCGGGTTTTACAAAACAACGATGGAACGACCAGAGCAGGCCAAATCTTGGGTTTCCATGCCAACACCATCATCAACCCTCAATCTTGTCTGTCCATTTTTACATTTTTACATTTTGGCAAAGCAACCGGAAGGGAAAAACCCATCCATCCCCTTGAAACGGCTCGGCTATGTGCATTACACAACATGTTTATCAACTGGGGGTCACAAGCGAGGGCTATTCATACAAGCCAAGCCAAATTCTTCCAAGGGGTAAATGTGTTTTTTTCTTAGGCCCATTTTACAATTTAGATGAGAAATAGAAACGACAAGAAAGAAAGAAAAAAAATCAGACCAAGACACCACTAGACAGACAGCCTGAATCAAAATCGGCAAAAACCAGCGAGGGCTCAGGGTTGCCCAAAAAGTGAAAGAATGTGGAGTGTCATCTCCGACTTCCCGGGCGGCTAGTACCAATAAGGGCTCAGGGTACCAGTTCGATTTTACGGAGACCCCCTTCGTTCTCACACCTCACTCTTCTAAGAAGATAAAAACCCCAGGCCCTAAAAGGACATAAAGGACAGAGGGCTCAGGGCTTCCTCCGCAAACCTCCCCAATGCACCAACCCATACCAAATCCACCCAGACCACGTATCCACTCCCGCAGTCTCACTCTGGACGCTCATCAAGCCCGCAGTCCAAAGCCCATATCAAATCCATCTAGGAGTGCAAAAACGCCTTCACCCTCCTTCTTGAACAGAGAGGGCCAAGGTAATTTCACCTTGTCCGGATGCACCTAACCGTTCGAGGTGATCTGCCGTAGACCTTCTCCCTCACTTTCGTACCACACCACTACCCACCACACACCCACATAATTGACCCCGGGGGGAAGAAACTCTTATCACCGACGCATCATAGACTATCACTCGGTAGGTGTTCTCACGCTAGGCGCCGCGTGTAACACACTTCATATCAAGCTCAGGGGCGCCGGGCGTTGCGCACGTAGAAATACAGGTAGGCCCCCCTCTACAGCATACAAAAGATTCTCTAGATAGGGGAGGTGGTCACCTTTCGCAAGTGAAGAAAAAAAACGCAAAAAGGAAAGAAAAAAACATCTGGCGGATGTCCACCGCCGCCGCCGGCCGGATAAGGGTCTGGCCGCGCGCCGTGCGAGCGCTATCTATCATATCGGTTTTTCCCTCTACACTATCCACGACGGACGCGTGGGGATGAAAGAGAAGAGGGCGAAAAAAAACCGGATCGTCCCTGGCGGAGCTCCGGGAGGTAAGGTGAGAGGGGGGGTGTCCCTGTAACGTTGGGGCTTGGAGGTGAGGCTGGTTTAGGAGCCCGTATTACTTTCCTTCAACTACCCACGCCACCACCACCACCACCACCACCACTACATGGCCAAAGAGGGGGGGAGAAAGCAAACAATGATATTTATCACAAGGCCCCTTGACTGCGCATGCGGTGCGTAGCTAGCAGGAGGGGTGTGGGGGGGCCTTGATAGAATAGAGTACGCTAGGAAGGTGCAGGGGTTTGCCTGTGAGCATACTCACTCAACTGCCTAGAGTAGGTTGGTTGGGTTGACCTCGAGCCTGGGGGTTGTGAACGCTAAGAAACTATATATAGGCAGACCGAGGTTTACGTGTAGGTACGTTTGACTGAGTACATGTACCCAGGTGCTCACAGTAGCTGCAGTACTGTGCCTAGGTAGGTTTAAGTACTGCGGGCTCTTATTAAAGCATTATACGTATTGGCACCCCCTTATCTCCGATAAACTGTGTCAGGCATGAGGTCAAAGTATCTACTAGGAGTAGTACCAGTGACGGTAATTGGACATAGCAATACTCAGTGAGCTCGAGAGCTAGAAAAACATTATAGTCAGCCTTGTACCACCAAGGGTGTAGGCTATACACGCGTCGATATGTTCAATGAACACTGGATAATATGCCATCCAAAGCCTATCTAGAGTACAGTAACTACAGCCGTTCACGAACGGACTCATCTTATTCAACGCATAGTGGTCATGAGTGGGCATGGGCATGAGCTGGCGGTTTTGGGGGGGGGGGGGGCGATGCTTTGATATTTCTTATCATCTAGCCTCGACTTGTCCACCAAATTGCAAAAGTCGGTATTTGTATTGCATTTACGAGCAAGGTGTCCATTCTTGACTAAATCTAGAACCTAAAACCGTTGTTCTCTATATAAAGTTTGACTTAAGCGCAGGGGCAGCGCAGCCCGCCCACCTACCGGCCGTTTTATGTAAACTAGAATGGAATTGAGGGAGGGAGGTTAGCTGCATCACACCGATATTGTTTACATAACGGCGTTTAGTGTTTCACCGCCAGTCAGTGCAGAGCAAAGGCCGACCGGCTCTTTATATAAGGGCGTAGGTACGTGCTTTATGCTTAAAATTTCGTTCCTGTAGATCCCTGTGGGGTAGGTAATAACGGAGGCGATTTTGTTTCCGGCGCGCTTTGTTTGGCGTGTAATTTAAGAGAAATGATTAAAGGGTATATGAAGGATATAGTGTCTGTTGAGCAAGGAGATGCTTGGTTTTTGCATTGTATGCTGGGGACACAACTTATCACTCGAATAGTATGGCCGGGCCAACTGGAAATATAGTAGGGCCCGTCCGGCCCGGCCCGGCCCATGGAAGAAACAGGCGGACCCGTCGTTCCGTGGCCAGCCCAAACCGCCCTCTGGTACCTCATCCACGAGCATACATGTATATATGCTTAAATCCCAAGTACAGAATTGAGCGGCCCCAAATCGAGGATCATGGGTGCATTGGCTGCTTTTGACCTCGACTAGAAAACCTCGGATGCGACTTAACACGAAGATGTCCCCTGGGAAGCTAGCCGGCTTCCGGGTATGTTACGAAGGTGAATGCGAGTGAGTGTGTCGTGTGTGCGAGTGCGCCTCTCACCTCCGGCCTTGAGGGATGTAGCTTTTAATTTACACATAAACATCCGGTATGTACGGAATACGGCATGTACCCAAACATACCGTGAATGCATACTTACCCAGCATTCTGGTATAGCAATTATCTTCAAAAGATAGAGGGTCTCGAGACGTACTTCTTGCTGTGTTCTTGGTAATTCGGTATTACTAGGTGGCCTAGGCAGTTGGCGAAGGCTCTTAGATAGCTCATGTTCGCGACCGTGAATAGACCACGGCACACCGCACGGCACACCGAATTATAAGCCTAGCTACATGTACTCAACCATAAACTACGCCCAAGCCTCCCACTAGAGAGCTCTTATGGTAGATGCAATACATACATGTATGCAGTGTCTTTTGTCTTGCTCTTAAGAATTTTTAATTACCTATATGGGCATTGGTGATTAGATATTCTAGTTCTGCTGGTATATGTTCTAGTGGGTTTGGATCGAAGCTTTAGTAGGGATGGAGGGATATCTACTGGTACTAACAAAACACGACTCGGAACACGCTAACCAAACCTCAAAAATACTAAAAAAAGGGCTCGGGGTATTTCTGGCGGCCTTGGGTGGTTTGGGAGACCTAGTTATTTTATGTCCCCAGTGTTTGGTTGTGCGGGCGTGTACGTGAGAGGGCGAAAGGGCCGCCCCTGTTCTTGTTTGTCATTAACGCTTGTAGATATGCTTATATTAACCCGGCATGTAGTGTCTTTAGAGGCGGGGTCGCGAATTGTTTTGCTATTATGATACCTTGTGGCAGACACCTCGCTCTAATCCTCTCCCGAAGCTGCCTGTTTTAGCACCGAGTGATAATATATGACTAGGTAACAGACACCACAAGAACTGGATAGCCAGATATCTAGGTGCGATTTCAACTCGAGAATTGCCATGGTTTTCACTATAATCTGGTGGTATATGAAGATACCTTTCGCAAGTCTACGGCTCGCAGCTAATCGTTCCAATCACTAGATTCACCACAATTAATCAGGCACCCCATTATCCAAAATAGTCCATCCCACCCGGTATCAACTACAAAAACACGAAACCCCCAGGCTGTAAACAGGGACAACAACAACACGTCCTCCCAGAATTCACCCCTAACTACAGTACTCACAACGGTCAAAAACTCAACCTAGCGGTCCACGGAAGAGCCATAGACACAGAAACGTTCAATTATAAGGAAGCGGAGTATGAAGGGATTTCTAGATGTCGACGGTTGGAAATGTGGGCGCCCCCCCCTGCTAGTTCGATTGGTTGATCCACTGATAACTGATACCCCGCGCTGCACAGGCGATTGCAATCCACGGTTAGCACAACTGAAATTTTCGGCTTATTTCATTGGTATATATATCAAGGTGAATCACTAACACTTTAATCCTGTGTTTGCAATAGACTCCCTGCAGTCGAGTGCACCGTCAGGAAGCGTAACCATAACCATGGTCGTAAATGTACCCCCAACCACTCCATGAAAATCTGGATCTGGATCGTTAATATATAATCCAATCTCACAGACTACAAATGCCCCAATATCGACACAGGCTGCGGGTTATTCCTCTGGAGATCTGAGGCCATTAGCCGCGAAACCCACCCAGACCCCGAGCCCCTCTCACAGGCCTACCCATCGCTCACTCCAATCCCCTCCACATGCACCAGAAGACACACCAGAGCCAATCCCAATCCCGAGATCGTAGTGGCGACGCCCTCTAAGCGTCGCATCATTGAAGACCTCACGTCCGACACCGAGCCCGACTCGGAGCGTGATGAGGATGTAGAGCCGTATATGAACTGGCGCGAGCCCTCACGTTCCTACAACGGCATGTCAACCCCGCGGAAACAGCGAAGGATTGATACCCAGACGTCGCCTTCCAAGTCAAATAATGTGCGGCTGCATCGTTCGCGTCTTTCATATGGCCCAGCAGAGGCGAGCTCATCCTCAAACCCCCACGATGCGCTCTCCCCACACCCCGCACTAGCACCGCAGCTGGCCACCACCACCAGCCCCAGACGCAAATCTCCGCGCCTCCACCCCGAAGCCGCCACCGTCCAAACCCCGTCTAGACCTCACCCCTCGGTCTCCTTGTCCGACAACACCCCCACCACGGCGCGCACAAATTCCGTCCGGCGCACCCTCTTCGGCCCGCGGCCGCGTACACCGCCGCCGCAATCCCAACCCGCCTACGTGCCCATCACCCCGAGCTCCCGCAACCGCAACCTCGGCAGCCCCGGGCGAGGACTGCAGGACACCCTGATCGCCGACACATTTAAGCTGCTGGATCGCAATGGCGTGAGCCTGGCGGCGTTCTCGGCGGACCTCACGGCGGTACTGATGCGGCATGTGATGCAGAAGGAGGGGATCTCGCAGGGGCGGGATATGCTGCGGATGAAGCTTGCAAGGAAGGATCTCGAGGTGGCGGAGATTGGGGTTAAGATTAAGGAGGTGGAGGGGGAGAATAAGACGCTGGAGAGGGAGAATGGGAGGATAGTGGAGGAGGGGGAGAGGACGAAGGCGGAGGTTGCGGAGATGAGGGTTAGGGTTAGGGAGCTGGAGGGGGAGAACGAGACACTAGAGAGAGAGAAGACAGCGTTGGTGGAAGAGAAAGCGAGGATGCTGGAGGAGGAGAAGAGGATGAAGGAGGAGATGGCGAATTTGGCGAATTTGCTTGGTAGGTGGATGATCGACTGGATACGATTGGGGAGCAAGAGAGCTAACTGTTGCCTTATCATAGAACGAGTGAGACTCGATTCGCAAACCCCACAGCGGCAGTTTGGGATGCCATTGGATACGGCGTATCTCCATATTAAATAAATCGGAAAGTGTCAGCTCTTGTGGGAATACTGATATTTCTAGATTGGAATTGTGGCCGCATTCGAAGGATATATATTAGTTCAATGGGCCCGTGTTTTTGATATAACCATCCCATGTTTGCTGATAACCATCATTTGATGAACGAGTTTTATACTGGTAGCGTCAGCGTCTCTTGGTTTTTGTTTTTGTTTTTGTTTTTTGTTTTTGTTACTTTGATTCTTTGGTTCTTTTTGGGGCATTGTTGAAATGGTGAATGGTATATCTGACCACCTCAAGGGCTGTGGAAGTGAGAGTTGTGAAAGTACGCTAGCGTAAAGAGCTCGACTGTGAAAACAAAGCCACATAGGCCGGCTCATGGTCGGCCGCATAAAGAGGTTTCCATGATATGTAAATTCGTTGAAGGTCATAAATTATTGCATGCATACGTCATACATATAGTAGCCACGGCCTATAAAATGATCGTTAGAGAAGTACAGCTAAAACACACAGGGTAGGTACTTTCAGATAAATCGATATATACTCAGGTTTTCAGAACTCTGTTTTCGTCCGTTTAGCTAGGTGGGGCTTTTCTGTTAACGGATCGTGATGAATGAGAATGATATGTATTCGACAGTGCATTACCAGTAAGTAGAGGGAAAGACAGAGACTAGACCGTAGCCAATCTAACCACAGGACAGCAAGACAAAGGAAAGTAAGACAGAAAGACAGCAAGACAGGACCACGAACTCTCTTTACAGGCAACCCACATATGAGCAGCCAACGATTATTTCAACATTTTCGGCCCCATTGGTTTTTCCATAGAGCAGTTAGTGTTTTCTTCAAGGAATTTACGGTTAAGAGTTCAACACAATCCGTGTACCCTCGAAGTGCACCTATTCTGCACGTAACCACTGGTTGGGATGAATGAGCAGGTGTTATTGGTCGGGTAGAAAGAGAAGTGAGAGAATTGAGGGCCCTTGCTGGAGGGTTTTTTTTACACTCGTACAAGTCGAGATATTCATATTAAGCACTAACTGCCGCCCTTCTATCGGCGGACTCATTCAGACAGACAAAAAGAATCATACAAGGTAAGGTAAAGTAAAAATTCAGTACAAGACTGCAAGGCCTTGTCCACGTTATTCGAGAATGAAAAATATATAAGCAAGAATAAGCAAAAAAGAAAAGAGTAACAGAAACCACAAGAATTAAAGTCATTAAAAGCTCCTTACACCCTACACCCATGTGCCAATCATCATGCCCAGCACGTTTTGCACACAAAAACAGACAGTCCCACAGAATCAGACAAACAAACTGTAATAATAATCGTCATCGACCCCCTCCCTGCTCGGCAAATCTGGTGGGTTTGTATGGAAGTCATCCGTGTACCTCACATTCAGCAGCCGGATCTTGAGGCCATAGTTCGTCACCAGGTTGATGAGTTTACTGGTCTCACTGGTGATCGGCTGCTGGTTCAGGAGCATCAGAAGCCCATCCAGCCACTCGGACGCAACGCTATGAGTTTGCGGGTGCAGGGTCAATAGAACAACCTCTCTGGCATGTTTACGGTCTGGCGAGTCGTGCGGCGGATACCCATGAATCGTTATCTTGGTGGAGCCGAGCTTTGAGGCTTGGGTTAAGGTGTTTGTGGACGAGTTGGAGACGATAGACACAGGGACAACGTTTGAGACTACACTAGAGACTATGGAGAGGTCGACTATTTGCAAAATATATTAATAGGGATTCTGGTAATCAAAGAAGGATGCGTAACTCACTCTTCTCGGGAAGCTCTTCCAGTTTCGGCTCATACGCGGTCTCCATCTCATAATCGCAGTAATGCAGATATCGGCGATTATGTGACAGTCTCACATAACGCCACGCCGTTGAATGCGCTTGGGTCTTCTTCTGCTCCTTCTGCTGCGTCGTCCCATTTTCTGTCCGTGGAGCAACCGTCACAGGGAACCATGCGCCATGCAAGAGACACCTTATCCGCTGTTCTTTTACGAACTGGAAAGCCTCCGATTTCAACTCTTCCCTGACCTGTTTCAAGTGATTCCCCCACGCACTCTCATATGACTGCTCTAGTATCTCCATTTGCAAATCCCGCAGCCTGAGATACTCAAACAGCGTCAATTCTTCCTCTACTTCCTGCACTTCCTTGGTCCGAGGCGCTTGGCCGACGACATGGTAGATTAGTACTCTTACGAGTTCTGCAACCTTATCAAAATCTTCTGCGCTGGCACCTGTTTCGGTCCATAATCGAAGGAAAGCTTGGAGGCCCGCGGTGTGTAGCCGTGACCATTGAAGAAGAAGAGGACGAAAAGCGCGCTCATAATTCGTTCGTGATTCGAGAACAGCGTAGGTTTTTGCGTCATCAAGATCGGACTTATCCACTTGGAACTGGTGGTAAAGGATAAGTGTAACAGTGATACTAGCACGAGCAACAGGGCAGCGGAAGTCTAGTGTTTTTGCGTTTTGCTCAAGTAAAACCTGTCAAATCTTAGAAACGTGCATACCTCAAGGCCGAGTGCAACTTGATGAAGCCAAGAAAAAACAAACCTTCCGGAATCCATCCTCGTCTTTTCTCACAAAATCTGTCAAATCCATCATTCCCAAAAACCCAACTTCTCCAAATTCCCATGCTGGTGATTCAGTTTCGAATCCTAGTCTCCTCCATTTCTCAGGGTTGTGTTTCTTTTTTGTTGAGGAAGGATCTGAAGGTTTATCTGGGGCACTGGCCAAATGGAGGCCCTTCAGAGCTATCCGGTGTTCCTTCACCTCCAAATCTACCTTTACATCTCTCCATCTTCGTAGTAATACCTTTGTAAGCGCTTGGAATTCAAGCAGCGGGTGGGCAAGATCTTGTAGGGCCGAACTTTGCATAAGGACCTATCATAAGGCAGTCTAGTCAGATATATGGTCGGCCAGCTGGATAGGTAGTTGGATCTTACAAAGACAGCCTTAATAACTCCCAAGTCCTGCAACCTTTTGATAAACCTCGGCCATTCGTTATCTGCATCATTCGTGATAGCATCTCGCATTAAAGAATTGATTAGTTGCAGAGAGTTCGCACAAAGCGCATGATCAGCCGACGATAGCCGGCTAACCAGCATCTCCAAGAACTGCGGATGTGCCCCAATAGCTGGTTTCAACGCCCGGAAGCCGAATGGGCCAGTGTATGAACCACGTGCTGAGGTTATATGTGGATGCGATACAATAGAAACCAGGATCGACATTGCACCGCGGAGGATGTTTACGAGAGGATGGGTAACTATTAGTTCAACCACCTTTGATGATAATTCGTGTCAGTCCAAATTCCCAACTCTTCTAGCCAGCATTCCGAGTTGAAATTTACCCGTGATATAAGCTCGGCATTGACATAGTCCCATCCTTTATCGAGTTCCAGTAGTCGCGAGAATGAGGTGAGTGAATACGCCAGAGTATTACCGCTTGCTGTCAACGCCAGTTCCCGTAACTTCGATAGGCCTCCCTGAGCAATGAATCGTTCCGCGAATGAGGGGTCCCCGATATTTGATTGAAGTTTGAAGACTGCCATTTTCTTGACGGCGTCCTGTTGATGCTTAGTCAATGCATGTATCTTTTATCCCCCCCGACACCTCCGCCTGCTCCTATCCACCGCATAGATTGGAATGAAGAGAGCTATGCAGCAGCAATAACCTACTTCATCATTAGATAGCCGCTCGATAAGTTCCGAAATATTATCCATGTTTCCTGAAGAGCCGAAGCTCGTAGTATCGGTTCGGTTCCGTGGGGCGAATAGGGGCGAGCCAGAGGAATGTCGAAAAAAGAATGGAAGCTAGAACTGTACAGGCACAGCAGACGAAGGTAGCAATCCCAACATGTAAGGGATGGAAATCCCCGTGATCAATTCTCCGAGGACCAAAGGTGTGAAATTTTCAGTGAATCGAATGAATGCGCAAGCGGTGAACGAAGGATAACACTCTTTTTTCTTGCGGGGACAAGCGGAGCTTCCCTGTCTGTGCCCGATGAAGTCGAGTCGCGAGCCTCGCGATTGGCGCACAGGCCTCGCGTCCCTGCCAGGGACCTTCCTCTCCCGCTGTTGTTGGCTTCCTGCAGGTCCGCAACTGAACCAAGCAACTATTGGGCAAAAGATACTATGGAGTAGAGTAGGTAGCTTTAAAGGGCTTTATTGGATGAAATGAATCATTAATTTCAGCTACTACTACTAAGGCTCTTCTCAGGAAGTGCCGAGATTGTGTTCTCTGAGTGACATTATATGATGTGAGTTCCTCCACGATGAGGCAAGTTAATTACACCAATTAGTACCACCTTAGTAAGATTTGCAGAGATTATTTCATCTGCAATGTAACTTATTTGCGCCGAGACGCAGTTTGTCCCCAGGATCTCTCAAGTCTCTGCAGCTTCTGCTGAAATCGTTATGAAAGAATCTGGGTGCGAGACGGCTTGTAATCAAAGTTCTCTTATATGAACCACAGTATAAGTGCAATATAAGCCTTAAGACTAAAGCCACTTGTTTCCTAAGTACATGTATCTGTTTTGAATCAGAATAATAATTCAGACGTCTCAGTGGACAGTTGCTGAGTATTACAAAGGGGGGGTGGTTCGATTCACGACTGTGTTGAGTTAGTGTGAGAGCCCCCTTGGTAGTGTGGCTGCAGCAATGGCGGTGCTGTGGCTTAGTTAATTATGGTTGTCAAGAGGACCAAAAAAGAAGAAGTGTTGTCCTTCGGGACATTTGGTCAATTTGAAACGATACAGAGAAGATTAGCATGGCCCCTGCACTAAGGATGACACGCTTCACAAAGATGAGCTAAACAGTTTTTTTTTGAAATCGTGTGGTCGGAGGTTCGACTTGCAAAGAATCCACACATTTTTTCACAACTTATTTTTCGCTATCTCCTAACACTCACTAAACTCCCGTTCACTTTATCCCTTTCATTCCACCCGAGATCCTCCGCAACATCCATACAAAACGCGGAAACAAACCACAATTGGCAGGAGTCAAGTCTACACACCCACAGCCTGTGCTTCACAATATGGATATACCAAACCGCCGCGACTTGTTCGAGACAGGGCCTGAAGTACCTTTTCTGTTTTTTCCCCTCAAAGGGTAGCGCTCTCAACAACTTAGAATAACTTAGAGAGCCATGTCGCCACCATAATAAAGAATTAACACCAGATTTTCCTTTACAGGTCGAGTTGTGTGTATTAGAGGCCCAAGAACTATTTACAGAGGCAGGCGTGGCCCAACGTCGAGTAATCGTGCCAGACTCTCCAATACATATATGATGATCCGAGAACGAGCACAAGCCTAATAAGCTACCCGGTTGAAACGTGGGGAAACCGTTTAACATTCGAATGTTGAGTAGCACATCGTATCATTATGTATCCACGGCAGATCACTCGCTTTTGTAACTTTCTCGCCGAGCTCCAGAAAGCTACATATGTACCCCCGGCCCCCCCACCCCCGCCAAAAGGATAACACGGGTGAAGTATTATGAAACCACAAGACATCAAAATCATTACTTCTTCTGGTCAATGACATCTGATAATTCTGCATACCCCCTGTACGATTTTATCCGCAGAAGGTTACTGGCAGCCAATCATGGATTCGGAGACCCTATAATTCCAGTATTAAGACTATTGGATTGCGGTACTACAATGCATTATATTACTATATAGTCAATATACCATGATCTGATTCCAACCAAGTGGCCGTCGAACAGTCCACATTCACGAAATGTCGACGCGTCTTCACCCGACGCTAGTATTCCTCTTGTTATAAAATCCCCATAAGCCTCCCGAATATCTTCTTCTTCTCCGGCCGTAGCTATCCACAAACTCTTGAACTCCACACATATAAACGCCAGAGTATAAGACACGACTAATCAATCGACCGATCATCACCCCACACTTTTTTACCTAAATGGCAACCATCTTAAGGAGACTTGTTGACCGTACGTATCTACATATCTACACTCTTTTTTTGCTCTTTCCAACCAAAAACAAAATCTAACCCAAAAATAGCCGGCTACGCAGCTGTCATGATAGCCTTCTGTCCTCTTGTTACCGCACTTGCTGTCACTGGTTCGAGTGGCGCGAAAATGAAGCACAATATGAACCTCCTCCTCATGCGAAAAGACGTCCCGCAGTCGAGGACCGCGATGCAGGTGTTGGAGAGTAGGGGGGAGAGGAGGTTCGACGAGTTTTATGTTTATGATTAGGGTTTGAGACGGGTTTTGAGGGAAACATTGGATGATTGATCATAATATTATGTTTGTTTTGTTACGGGAGTTAATTGGTTGGGCTACATACGGGGATTTGTATATTTTTACGCTTTGGGTTTGGGGTGGCTTTTCGATTTGGTGTTTTTCTCTAATTTGCTTTTGGATATATTCCATATAAATCATTCTCCGTCTTTTACACGGATGAAATCAATCAGTCAATCATTCTCTCTGCCTTTGGAATCGTTAGGTTCAACATGAGATTAAGGTATATATGGATTCCTTACTTAAGCTCAGCTTCATTTAATACTATCAGTGACCAAAAAAAGCTAATGGCCGGGCAAAGCCTTGTCGATCCAATAAAAAAGTTCCGTAGAGACATGAACCGGAGCCTTTCTACCATAGTGCGTTGTTGGCCATGGCGTGACTATCATGATCGACCACGGGAGGAATCTGCATTCCGATGAAGTAGAATCCACACGTACGCATCTCCTTGCACAACCAGTCTGCTATGAAATGAAAGAAAAAAAGACCACTCAACCCTAACCCTGGCCGTGTCATGGTACTTATATTATCTAGCGAATATGCCAATGATTAAAATAACCGTATTTAGTGCTAGCATCCGGAGGGTTGAAAATATTCCCCTTAGAAGACCTCAGCCCCCTTCTGATATATTAATATCATTGTCCTGGCCTAATTGACTATGAGAATTAGTGCCTCTAGATAATATACCAAATATGCAATGTGGATTTAAAAGGTTAATTTGATTGGCTGAGTTTTGGATTCTTTCTTTTTCTCGAGCTATTGATTTGAGTGAGTCATGATCAGTTAAAAAGAAAGATTAATATTTTGGTTATTATATTGGAGGTTCACGTTTCTTTTTGTTGCTGCTCTGTTGTTCGGTGATTGTGATATCTCGTTATGATTTGGTATTATTTTCTATGTTACCTCCATCTTTAGTAGGGCAGAGCAGGGCAGAGCAGGGGTAGTATACCTCTCTAGTGACAATACAGTGACACTTTTCGTTGTTCTTTATTTCACCGGCCTTCGGCCGGTAACGTAACTGTTTGTATATGTATATACTAGTGAGGAGCGGCCTCCGGCCGGCCGCATATGAAACTACATAAGTCATTAGTTCAAGGAATCGCTGATAACCAAAGGAAAGTGTATAAGATCCGGCCCTATTAAATGGCTCGGATAGGCGTGGGGTTCCAGTGTAATGGTGTGAAATAAACATCGATATGAATATATTAATTCACGTACACACACAGTCGGGGCCGGCTTAATGCAATTGGCCCTCCTTGCTCGCGTGAGGTTTTAATTTTGGAAGAGTAGAGTCGGTGTTGACCTTGGACAGAAGACTATTATGTATCATGACGGTATACATAGTGCTTAGGGTTTGCCATTTAAAATGGAGATTTGAAAACATGCATGTAGTCTTCCTTAAATTAAGCACCATTCTTTAATCGTCTATTGACAGCTATAACCCGCCGGACCACCAAAATAGGAGGTATCTAACCACCCAATTGAAATCTTTCGTGATGACAGAGATATCTGACTATTCTATTTAGGCATGTAGCTATAGTTATCGATATATATATCTACGCACATCCGTGGAGGGCTAGTATGTGTGCTGTGGCCTATTTAACTCAGGATCCCTTATGAATCTCTAGTTTCAATTAATTGCAATTGCGGCTTCAGAACTAAGATTGAGAACTTGTGCACTCTTTTTTATCGACGGTTTTTTTTTTTTTATACTTCTTTCTTTGCCATATTTCTTCATGAACATTGATTGCATGGTATGATGGATACCTTTTTTATTCTCCCATTCGTATTGTCATATGGCTAGTATTATATTAGATCCATCTGCGTGCACTCGGCCACCCGTTAGCTACGCCTAATCGGTCCATCCTTCCACCACCTCCGGTTCGTGACTATGTATAAAAAGAAGATAGGTCATTAGTCTTATTCTTCATTAATTTGGGCGCCATTGGTCACTGGGGAAGTCTTCTCTTGGGGGGTTCTCGGTGGTCCACCACGGTTACATATGGAGAAATGTCTCACTCCGAAATCGGAATCACGAACACTTTTGCAGAGTGGCTGTACTAGTGCTACTAGTATGGTTATCGATAGTCTCAAGAGATTGTATACACCGAGAAGACGGGGTGACGTGTCGACCGGTATCAACGGTGGTTGTGATCAGATTCGAGGCGAAATGAAAGCGCGGCCCGGGTTGAGAGTCTTAAGATGCAGCGTGAGCTGCAAAATATAGCTTTTTAGGCCATTAGTATTAGAGTAGAGCTATGAAGCCGCTCGATTTTAGTGGACTGCACTGGGCCCGGGTGTGTGTAGGTTTAAATTTATATTTTTATAATAGAGGGGTTTGATCAATGATACCTCCTATCACAGTACTGCTAATCAGTGACGATCAGCCATATATATCCTGCAGTGAATTCAAGAAAACTGCGTTTGAAAGGAGCATCTAAAGAGAAAAATGATGCGGGGGTAATTTGAAAGAATCGACGTGCCCGGCCGGTCGATGGAGCTGCCGGTCTAATTCTTTTATGTATCGACAGTCGATCGGTAGTTGATGATGTCGTACTGATAAAATGATTATGGTGCTTTATTCTCCCATATACCCCCGATATACGCCTCCAGATACCCTCTAGCTCTGCCCATCATGCATAATAAATCATCGCCGGTAATCCGATCGACGAACCCCGATATCAAGGCCTAGTAGTAGGATGATCAAGTCTCGACAGTAAAAGCCTAGAGGACGACCCTACGAGTCCCCCATCATATCCCGAGTCCAGTATCCCCGCCAAACCCTCGTCAAACCCTTCAACAGAGTAACAGGCGGGTCAACATCATCAGCGGGGTATAAGACCAATAATAAGGCATATTTCTAAAGGCAGGAGCCAGAAGAAAACCCTGTATCAATGGAGTCCATGGACTTGTCCACGTAATGAGCGCTGGTGGGATAGGGTTGGATCGAGTGATATTCTGTGATATGAGCTAACCATATCATATATATAGAGTACTAGGCTCTAGGATCATATAGCCTTGCGGCCTCGAAATAATACCGGTAGTATCTAGGTACGTGACTGAGCTGTCAACTAAGGCTATTCTCAAATCGCACATAAATACTGAGGTCCTTGAGCGATACATACCAAGCGGTATTCCGTTCTATATATCACAACTGTTGATTTATGGAAGGGAATAGATAGCGTGTCAACCTGTCCCCGCTAACGTCATATAAAGCTAGAAACTCTAGCAACACATTATCATCTTCCTTTTCATCTCGTCATTGGAACACACAACAGTTACTTAGTACCTAAGATTCTAGAGTGGCTCATCTTGACATTCACCGGAAATTACTAGGGAAGTAAAATCATAACCCACTAATACATATATATACTTGAAAATCCAAGTACCGGCAACTAGGCCAGTTACATCTAATACTTCAATTCGGCAGGTAGAGACCAATTGATGGTACCTGGACAAGAGCTTATGTGGTCTCGTCTCCAGACTTGGATGCTTTTCATCACTACTTCTACCATTACCCTTACCTTGATGGTCTTTTTTGTTCGGAGACTTTCTATCCAGTGATACCTCTTAGGATTGTTTAGACCGATCAATAAAACCCGTTATAATATCAGTTTACATTCAAAATACTATGTACACGTGCATGGGCTCTTACCAACGAACCCGTATCGATCATAGGATATCACTCTCGCTGGTTCGCCGGCAGCCATCGAAAACTAAGCCAAGATCTGGAATCTATTGGTACAATGAGGCAAGTAGTTATTAGCCTATGAATCTTTACTGTCCATGGAAGTTCTCTTGGAATGGTATGGAGTCCCCTGGATGGACAACCCGCCCAGACTTGTATCTAAAATACGGGCCGCGGTTGCTTGACACAATTGCGAGGCAAAGATTTTTGGACTGGTATTTTAGCTCCTAAGGCAAAAAAGCCAGTGGAGTGGACCATTCGAGCCTCCAGGGATTTCCGCGGAAATTTGCTAATATTTGGCTTCTAAATATTCGAGCTATTACTCTAGGTCATAAGAGATTCTGCTCTGCGCAAAATCATGATGTGTTTCGGCCCGCAATTACAGGGCAATTGGCGAGATAATATTGATCAAAACCATACCGTCGAACCCCCAACGTTACTGATTAAGATTGGGTTAAGGGAATAAAAGGGAATGAGACTATCGCCTTGCAATTGGCTGGTGGGTTTACAAGCATTCTAATAGTCGATAGAAACGATGCTTCCGCAATTCCACGTCTTTACTACCACAACCAAAAAATAGTGGACCACGCAAGACACATGGCAGTGCTATCATTGTGTATTGATCCCGTATGCCTTTGGTTTCTGCAGGTCTCGATATGTTGAGGGCTTTTGGGAGTAAGAATTAAATTATATTTTATTCAAGCTACATAGCTGAATAAGCGATTTAGGGAAGCCGAGGTACTAACAATAGCCAGTGAAATTACCTAAAGCTCAAACAAATTGACTAGGGCGAATATGAGGGCTATGGTATACAGCCTTGAGCGTGAAGGCCTCAAGCGAAAATACCTCGAGATAGAACCACAGTGCCACTAGCACAAAGGAATATATTCCCCACGAGTAGATGGAAATGATACCATGACCAGCTAGCGATCGCGAGCGAGCGGTGCTGGGGGGGGGGGGGGGGGGTTGAGGTATATATTTACCTGAACACGGAGGCCAGAGCACAATAAGCCCAACTTGGCCGGCCCGTTCGGCATCGTGGTTGTCGAGGTTTGAGCTGCGTGAGATATAGCATTCCGAGAACTAAGGCGTCATATCCGGCTCTCGGGCCAGCATGTCTCACTTTACTTCAATCATAGAAACTCACTCACCCACTTACTCACAGACGGGTCCATATCACCTGGGCTATTTATAGACCGACATATATACTATACCATTACAATACCTAGGCTCGAACTTGCCTATATTCAAGCTTTAAGGAGGAAGGCCCGCGCCTGGTAGCCGAAACCGCTTCATTGGATACCTGGATTTCTTACGGGCGCAGAAAACAGCTCGAGCTGGCCCCGGTTGATCTAGGCCGCACCCTCACAAATGAGCGAGTGATTAATGAAGGAGATAAACCTGAGTTCCTGGGCTTGCTTGACTCATCAAAGAAAAATGCCTCAATACAAATCGCGATGACATTGTTCGCTAAATATTGAATCAAAGCTAGCTGCTAGCTGGCCCGATCCACAGACTAATTGACCGGTAATCCAATTACCACAACCGCAATAAGATACGCAACGGCATCACCAAGGTGCATAATGTACATGGAAGAAGATCATCTCCGTGGTGGAAGTGATGAGGATCTGGTGTGCAGCGTCACTATCTACTGGATGCCAGGGCCAGCTAGCTAACTATATAAAACTCACTCCTTCGATTTAATTTGAGCTCCGGGAAAGATGCTCGAATGCCGATTTATTGCTCGGATGCATTGTGCTTGTTCCATGTTTCGTAAAGAGATTCGCGGGGCGCATATATTACATGTGCGAGATAGACTTCCATGATGATAAAGGAATCAGCTACATGTAGATAAGGGACAGCAGCCTCATTGCTTATCATCAAAGAAGAGTACCGAGTGATATCTCATGCTGCGGCAGAACAGGGAGGCTTATCAGAGGGATACATTCTCCCCTGGCCCTTCCTTCTGGGTGGACCTCCCTGACTGATCGACCACCCCCATGCTGCATGCTTTACACCTGCACTGCAGAAAACGCATATAACGAGATCTATAACTAGATATGGCAGACCGCATTGTGATCCCCCCCCCTCCACTCTTTCACCCTATCTACTCCTCTCCTCCGAGGGAGTTTTATTGCGAACGGACCTCTGTTGTTTCTTGTTTTTCCTTTTTATTTATTTTGGGCGGTGTTTTTTTTTCTCTGGGCACGCATATCGAGATGAACTCCTCTGCATGGTGGAGTAGGTAGAGTAATTGGCCTCGATCAGAATCCGAGCTTTCTGCTCATCACCACCGTCTGCATGTACCGCCATTGTACGTCTAGAGTAGGCTCCTCTGCTCCGGCCTTCGGCGCACCTACGGCCGCGGACGAAAACCTGGGGGAAACGCCTAGGTCCTAGGTAATGAGTAGGTAATGCCTATGCACGACCGTTGAACTTCACTCTATCAAATACATGTACCTACCCACTCTTGCCGCGACGTCGTGTATGGGAAAATAGACCAAAAAAACAAAATTTAAAACTGGCGTCGAGACAAAGAACCTGTCGTATCGGAAAAACGTTAACCCCGCACCTAGCCTGCCTGGTCAGCAACAACAGGTTTTTACCGGTGGTCTAGCTAGCTAGATACCTCCTCGTACTCTATACGGCACTTTTGCCTGCAAACGTAGTGAGGCTTACTTGTTACTTTACCAAGCAGCAGAATGCTTGATTGCCATTCGATGGGACATGCGTGATATTCCCAGGGTTAAATAAATAGGTAGGTGTCGTATGGATATCTAGGTAGAAAGGGTGGTGGACGGCTGGTAAAATCCATCAAAAGTAGAGTACCTAACTAGCTCCTCTAGGTTTCACGGCAGGCAGCTCTGTCATAAGCACCCCTGTCTGTCTCCCTGGGATAGAGTATGTACTTCACCATCCACCTAGAAACGGCAGTGGGTGTAAGTATAGCTACACTCTAGAGTGACAAGCTACCCACAGCACCCCGTTGACAGGCCCCAATACCGGGCAGTGCCGAAGGACGGAAGAGAAGGAGGAGGGTGGAGGAGGAGGGTGGAGGAGGACGGAGGAAAGTGGCACAAGTAGGGTACCAGTAACGGTATCGGGACGTTCCTAATAAAGGCCCCATCCCAGGGTATACTCTCAAACTCCCCAAGCGAGCGGTAAAGAAGCGCATCAAACGGAAGATCTACCAGCCTGCTATCCTGATCCTTGACCAGCTAGCCACGGTACGGTAGCAGGGTTCTGATGTGCAACCAGCTACTCTAGCTTCTCTCACGCTCTCCATCGGACTTCACGACATCGAGATTCGAAATCGCACGTTTTGCTTGGAGGTGGGGGCCGCCACACACACACACACACACACACACGTACAGTATTCACGCTGCATACTGTATACTCCGCAGCATGGGGCAGAGTATAATATTGCACAGTCTTATTTCAATCCCTATAAAAACACATACCACACACAGAGAGACCAAAAAACACCCCGGGGTATATACCAACATTATTATTCGCTATTCCTTCCCATTCTCCAGTCCCCAAGACAAATAAAAATGAAAATTGGTCATGTCCCACGTATTACCCATAATCACTCCCCCTCCTTCTGCCAGTTCAAATCAATCAATGGGCTTAATCCATAAGCTGCTTGCAGGGAAACAATAATGAAATATATAAGGAAGAAAAGGAAAAGAAAACGACACACAGAAAAAAATACAGTCAGAAAGGATTTGTCAAAAACAACTTTTATACAATGTTTTCCAATGCCATATAATACTTTCCCCCCACCAGCAAGCACTACCCTTTCCTTAAAAAAAAAAAACAAGAAACCCCCCCGCCCCGAGAGAAAAACCCAACCGACCGACCGACTACTGTAGGAGACGATACAATAAAAAAATAAACAAAAACAAAAAACAAGTGCCACGCCACCACCGATACAGAGTAAATAATAGAGTGGGTAGAAATAAAAGCAGACTGGTAAAAAAAAAAAAAAAAAAAAGGAATGCGAATATTACATGAAAACAAAAAAAAAAAAAAAAACACAGCAGTAATATAAGAGAGCCAAACCAACCCAGCCTATACCAAACAAAAGAAACAAAATACAAAAAAACCAGAACCGCACTGTAGATCCAATGAAGAAAAGGAAAAGAAATTTGTCGAATATTGTACGATGTGCTATGCCATCCAGTCCCAACCCGACCGCTTTCAAAAGTCTCAGAGAAAGATTCCGCTAATCCGGCTGTCGAAAAAAATGATAATTCGACACCAGTTAAACGCCCTGCCTTTGCCCCAAAGAGATAGGCGGTGGGTGAAACTAGTTTGGTGGAGAAGAGAAGAAAGAAAAAAAAAAGGGTAGAAACGCCACGACCAGATACCATAGAAAAAAAAACTCCTCCCATTTGATGTATTAACCGAAACCGGAAGCTATAGATCTCCATCTCCGTACGCGCGAAGCTTGTCGGAACCGAGCTTTTCCGGCCAAGACTACCGAAACCCAATCCCGGCCGCACCCGCAAATCGCACCATTCCCCAATTACCCCGTTCATCTACTCCAACCAACGTTCCAAAGCACATGCGCAATGTCCCTAGCAGTATTGACTGCATCAACAGCTCGTCCAAAAAGACCTGCTGCCGTTTCATCATCCTCATCCTCGTCGTGCGTGTAGTTTGGTAGTTCAAAGTCCTCATCCTCTACAGCAGCTGTGCTGGCCCCAAAACCTCGAGATCCAAAGCGGTCTTGCGTAACTGCCACACTATCTCTTCGAGTGGCAAACGAAGAGTGACTTGGCTCCCAATCAAGTTCTGCCATATCCTCGTCGTCGTCTTCCAAGATGTATGACTTTGTACCGACTACAGCCAAGCCTTCTGATTTATCCGTTGCCTTGGCCTCCGTTGAACTAGCTCCAAATGATGAGAAGAAGCTGCCAATGTTGCTAAAAGTATCGCTCTTCTTGACCTCTACAACTTCCTCAACAGCTTTGAGTGTTGTGGATGGCAGCATGGCGATCGTCTGGTGATCGCTGATGCTTCCTCTTGAATTCAGTTTGTTTGATCCCTTTTTCGGCATCATAATCAAACCATCCTCATCGGACGAACTGTCCTCAATGTTCTCCACCTCAAAGGCATCGTCCTCATCTTCATCCTCCTCATCCTTGTCAACGGCAATACACTGCTGCACCTGGTCGTTAAAGTGAATATGCTTTGCACATGAAGGTGACTGGGAACCGGTTGAAAGTGCTGAAGGAAGCTCCTTAGTGCTGATGGCGCTAGTACTCTTAGAGTCCTGGAAATATGTCGAAAAATCGGAGTTTGCACGTGAGACCATAGCGGGCCGACTTAATCCCGATTGCTGTGATTCAATTGCAGCCGCGGCCTGTTTGAGCAGACTCGAGTTTGACAAAGATCTTTGCAACATCACCTCAGACATGCTTCTTTTCTTCAAAATAGGTTTCTTCACCAAGAAAGACCCTGATGTCCTTAATCGTGATTCTGTTGGTGAAGCAGTTGGTGAAGGCGGATCAACCAGCAGCGAAGATTTCTGATTTCCAGTAGATAGAGGTCCATACAGCCATGTGACATCGCAATCCTTGAGCCTATATATTCCCATAGTCAGTCAAAAATGTCATGCCATATAAAGTTTACCTCGGCTGAATTTACCAATTCAAAGTCTCTGGTGACACCGTTCTCAACTTGAATTTCGATTTTGCCCAAGTCCTCCATGAAGCATTCTCTAACCGGGCGGCATTGCTATACACCTTTCTCTTGCCCACCATGTACCTCCACGACGCCCAGATGTCCTCCTCCTTCCAATCGTGAGACAGGTAGTCGACATGACGTGATGGCTCATGCCTGACAACGCTGTCATCGGCAGGCACCACAGCCACGTGCGGGGGCTCAGCAACCAATGGATGGCCGAGGGGCGTCGTTGTCGGTGTGGGGTAATCACTGATACTTGGCGAAGAAAGCGTTTCCGACTCTGGAGACAAGGAGCCAGTTCCTTGATCGTAGACCGGGAATAAAAGTTGATCATCAATATCTATAAACGAAGTGGTGGTATCCAAACAAATGCTGCTTGCAACTGACGAAGTGACGGAAGAGCTTGGAGAGTACGAGACGCTCGAGAGCGGTGGCGAGGACGACGCGATTGAAGATGGTGGTGGTGACAGTTTGCTGGTGTCGTAGTGACTGTGGTACTGCGAGCGAGGCAGTGAAGTACCGTAGGAGGGCACACTGTGGTATGAGGGTTGTGGAGAACCACATCGAGGTGACGATGAGTAGTATCCGTCCAGAGAGTGTATAGGTGCAGCCATGACTTCGGCCATTGTTGATTATCTTTTTTTGGTTTGGTAGTGGGGGATTGCTTTGGTTAACAATGGGCGCGGGATAAGATGACAGTTGATGAGATCAGTAGTGGGGAACTTCTCAGACAAAGGCAACCGTTGGTAATAAAAAAATCAATAGATTGAAAAGTCAATTCGAAATAGTCAAGAAGGTTAACCGTTGTAGGTCTGGTGTAATTTTCCAAGTCCGCTGCCTGATTGACAACACAACAGGAAGAAGTGGTAGAAGTGGCAGTAAGAACGTTGTAGTTGATAACGTTTATTCTCTTCACGTTCTTGGAGTAGGGGCTCTCTTTAGTGTTTTTGCTGTTCCCTTTTTTTTAGAAGAAAAAAAATAAGGCGAGGTGGTGGTGGTGGTAGAGGTGGGTATAAGGCGTTTGGGGCGGGCAAGCAGGTGTTTTGACCGGTTCCCAGCAGATGCGAGTGTTGTTGTATGATGCACTTATGCGAGGGAACAAGAGACCAGGTGCAGAGAGTCCGAAGGGGCAGGCCACTGGTAGTAATAGTTGCAGATGGTTTGTGGTTAAATGCCGAGACTGGAAACGACGCAAGGGGAACAGCGGAATATCAGACTGTACAGCGGCGGTAGCATTACTTAGTTACAGGGCGTATGTGAGTGAGAGTGATAGGGTAGGGGGGTAGGTTGGTGGGAATGGAGAGGAAGAGGATTGATGGGGATAGAAAAGGGACAGTGAGAGAAAGGAAAATATTAAAAAAAAAAGAGAGTAAGAGCACAGTGAACGAGTGGGAAAGGACGTGGTGAAGAGCGACGCTACGGAAACCGGAAGGGAAGGAGTTGGCAGCAGCAGAGAGAAATCCAAAAGAAAGAAGCAAAAGAGTGAGCAGCAGCTATGGATGCAGGCGCAGGTCATGGAAGGAACGCTGAAGTGAAAAAAAGAAAAGCTCCCCGAAGCGAAATGTAAAGCTAGGTTTCGGACAGGGATTGGGGGCGTGGATGGGTGGATTGGATCCTCGTCCACCTGGAGACAACGGGTTACGGGGGGGCGGTGAAAGACAAGAGGCGTTGTTGGGTGTGGATGCCTCAACTGTTGTTTTTGGAATATCCAGAGTAACTTCACCACGAGGGCATGTAGAAGTGCTCTACTCATCCACAGAGAATCTTACCATGACATATCTTAAGCAAGTGTATCATCTACATACAATACACACTCATAAAGCTACTCACTTACAGGTCTCTCTTTCGCAATTCCATGTAATTCGTTGTGATACTTGGCCGGATAGACCCTAGGAGCAAGCCATCACCAATGGTCACTCAGCCAAACAACGTCCACCACTGATCTTCCCTCCTTCTTTATTCCTTCTCTAGTACGCCTATCTCCACCCCCCCCCCCCCCCCCCGAAAAGACTGCACCATTACGTTGAGATGACCGGTACTTTAGCGAATATCCTGTACGCACATCTACCCCTTTGTCTTTGTTTCTCTGGAGGGGATGGGGCATATTTTATACATACTCTAGAGCAGATAGAGTAGATATGCTGTGGTATCCTACGTAGACGGGTTCCTACTCCCTTCTCCAAGGAGCTTTCTGATCAGCAAGCACAAAACTTTATTTTGGCTTTGGAGGTGGAGTAACTGTGCGATAACGGACGGCATGGCATCCTCGCAATCCATTTCTTGATAGGGCTGGCCAACCAGCCAGACACACAACCATGGTCCACAGTGGTGGTAGATAGATAGGACTTTCCCGTATGTGCGGCGGGCGGTTACGGGTCAATATCTTAACAATCTACACCAGGAATGGAGTGTACATATGAGCTATCTCCGTGTAGGTATGTAGATACAGCACTCCTCTCAATATCAAACTACGAGTTGAGGCAGGAGAGAATAAGAAAATAAAATTTAAAAGAAAAAAACCATCAAATTCCAATCCAGACGAAAATGTCAACACAACTAGTCGAGGGAAACACTCTTTCACCGACGACCTCCCACGATGGCAGTTGAATTCCAACGGCAATAGGTAGTAGAAAAGAAAGAAAAGAAAAAAACAACAACTGTGGAGTAGGAGATAGGCCTACAAGTCGGGGCCGTACAGACTGTACCTACTCCGAACGGAGATTCTTCCCTGCGGGCTTCTGTTCGCCGCTTTCTCAGGTTCAATCACTCACTTCCGGAATTACTACCCCCCTGTAACTGTTGTATCATTGTCTCCCCCTTCCACGATCCAATCGTTTACCGTCCCCTCAGATGCCCCCCTCCCCTGCGAAAAAAAAAGGTTCCAATTGGTATATCGACTGCGTCAATATGCTGTCGCAGGCAGACGCAGGAAAAGAAAAACACCCTTACTACCTTGAGTGATAAGTAACTCAGTATCAATTAATCGCGAGCTGCCCTGTTGCTGTTATTATTTCATTAATTCCGGGGCGCGCAAGATTGCAACACTCTATCGTATATCTCGTAGCTTCCTAGATGCCTACATGTACCCAAGTACCTGCCTACTCTCCTTTCTCTCTCTATGCCCCCTGGAATCCTCTCAAATTCTGGCCTTGCAAAGTCCCCAATTCCAAGAATGTCAAGAGCAACCCAGTTTAAGGCTTACACCCCTCCTCCGAACTTCCATCCCCCACCCCCGCCCCAAGTTTTTTCATTAGCAACATAGATGCCAAGCTAACACCTGTACGGTGTACCACCCCTGTGGGTTCAACAACCGCCTTCTCAACCTTTTGTTGAGTGCTCTCAGACACAACCAGGCCAACGAATGGCCTTGCGAAGAGCGCGAAAGAGGAGAGAGAGAGAAAAACCCGGGGAACCCGCTTTTCTGGTTTGACGCCACATCGACGACGATCCCTTTCCCTTCCCCCTCCAAAAGATGATCTCTGTGATGTCGAAGTACCTTGAGAAGGTTCTACGGAAACCCATACAACGTTCATCCCATTACGTTTCTGCCCTTTTTTGACTCTAACTTGCCGCAACACCCCCCGGCGGAAGTCACGTTTTGTTGAGGTCCCTCACCCCTAATTAGCTAGCTAGCTAGGCCGGTGACCCAACCACGATGATGCTTCGTCGTCGATTTCTCTCCACTCCCAACGGACAGAAGGTCTGTTCTCACCCGTGATGGTTCTATTTAGTTAGTAGGTAACCCACAAACTCTGAACATTGCGGGGGCGGCCCCAGGGATTTTTGGGGGGGGGGGGGGGGGGGGCGAAGGAAACATACTCCTGGGGAGCGGGTTCCTTCCGGCGACGGGGTTTGAGGAAACAACACACCAGCCAGCATGGACGTAGGTGGAGGGTACTAGAGGTACATCCGGCTACTGTATCCTGTAGGTATCTGCAAACAAGCCGGAAGTCACACCTTGTAGACACCTATCAACATGAGCAACCCGAAGCCACAGAAAGCATGTTTTATTATTATTATCACTATTATTAACCATTTTAACCACCGCCATGAGGCATTGCAGAGGGAAGTCCACTAAAGTAGGTAGATACCTGCTACTGCAGCAGCAAGTAAGAAGGCGAAAGAAGAGAGACGCAACGTGGTGTTTGTCGGAACGAATCTTGAATAGGTGCAGTTTCAAGATCCTAAGTTCATGTCGCCCATCACAGCAACAGTGACAGCAGGAGTGGCAAGAGAAGGGTCCACAAATTGAACATCCATGGGCCATCACATCTGCAGGGCTGAAATGTCACCAAGCACGTAATGTTAAACCCTCCTCTCGTTCTTCGATCTGTCCGTTTGTCCGGACGTCGTTGTTCTTGCGTTTCTTTCTTTCTCCCACGGCAGCAGCTGCGAAATTGTTTAGGTTTAGGGGTAACTTAGCCTTGTGCGTAGAGTACGGTTGCGGTTGCAGTAGCAGCATACAGCCTAGCATGCACCGTTGCATTGCTGCTCTGCTAGCGTGGAGGGGTCAATGATGATGATAACAATATGTAGGTTCGACGGACATGCCGCTAAGAAATTCAATTCATCCTTTTCCTAGAGTACTACCTGCTCTACTTTGACCCAAACCTATCGGTATCACTTCTCCCTTTGCAGTCTAATTTGTAATTTCCGGCGTCGTTGTTGCTGCAGCTCGATATTCATATACACCGCCATTGGAGCACTTATGAAATCTTTCATACTGGGCCGCCGCTGCTGATATGCTATGCGCCTCAATAGGGTGCTTCTACTGCAACCTCATGGCGATCCTACATAGCATAGCATAGCATAGCATATGAGTACTTTTATGTAGGGAGACCGTATCTTGCTTTGGCTTCCTCAACTTCCCTCTTCGCGGCATCATGGAGAAAACATATCTACATAACCGAGAGTTTCTGGTATCTGGTAAAATGGAGTACCTACATAGACAGACCGACTTCCCCGCCCTCTGGGGCGAGTTGCAGCAGTAGTTAGTTGCATAGTCAGTGCTCTACCTAGAGTGCCAGTTACCCATGATACCTACATGTACCTCTAGAAAGCAGAAATGCCCCCTCATCCCCATACACCCTCCCCAGATCAAACGCATTCCTCCGCGCTGTAGTTGGCCGGTGCAGGCTACGCATACAAAACGGCGATATGCCCACCACCAAGCTAGGTATGATCCATCTTCGTCGTCGGCCCACAATTCCCAGGCCGGAGTCGCACAGGGAGTCCAAGCTTTTACACCAGATCTCGACCCCACAATTCAATCCTTCCCTTCTTCCCCCCTTCGTATCCAAAAAAAGGGCCCACGAGTGCAGTCAGTCAGCCAGTCGATGTTCGTGATGCCTTATCCGACACCCTTATCGCCGACTGCCTCCAGAAACGGTTAGACCGGTTAAACAGTACCAGCCTTCAAAATTCGAGGGAGGCTTCGAAGAAACGTGACCCTTCCGGCATCACGGTGCCCGAGTTCCACGATCAAGACCAGAGCGGCGGTGCCGAGGATGTCAGGGTAATATAAGGTAAAGTAGAGTTAGCTTCCATCCCCCTGCCCTGCCGACCGGACCGAGTCCACAAAACCGGACCGACGCGAGTAGTGATATCCGTGTGCGAATCCTCTCTCCTTTACACATGTCCTTTTGCGCCCTACCTGGACCGAGCGTACCTAGGTAGTTTACATAGGGCCGGGGGGTGGGGGGAGTGTGGGAGGGCACGCGACCTGCTGTTTTATTGCGACATGATATCATGCAATTTCCCCCGCAAAAACACCGCACGAAATGAAACAGATCGATTTCGGACCCTTAATCTGTCTGTGCTGGGCTGGGCTGGCTGTGTGTGGTCTGTTCACTCGCTCGCTCACGACACACACGCAATGAGCAACGAGCAACATTAACAATAGTATCGAGAGAGAGAAGGAGAGAGGGATCCGAGTGAAATGAATTGTCAATTCCCACATAATTAACTATAACCAGCTAGTGTCCCGATCATGACGTGTTTCTGCGCTCGTGGGCTTTCTTTTCCTCTCTTCATTGATTATTTTGGGAATCCAGCAAGAAAGAGGTGGAAGGTGAGTAAGCAAAGCTGTAGCTGTGCGCAAAGTCGAATCATTTCTCCGAGTGAGGGGCTGTGATGGGGATGAGTATCAAGCTGTGCTGGGGAACGGCGTAAAAAGTTGATGGCCTGAGACAGGCCACATGCCAATCGCGCGCGCAGGAACAGCCGAGGGCATATAGGAGTAGGTTCTTCTGTAGATCGTGTATACAGAGAGAGCAAAATCTGGGGAAATAATTGGCGAAACATCTGATGTTTCTTACAGCTCCGAAAGAACAAACCTTGATCGCGGATGGGGTCCAGGTTTGTAGTACATTGACTCGAGAGTTACATATGTCGGTATGTGATCGAAGGAATTCCAAGACTGCGGGACCGGAATCGACCGTGACATGGGCCAGTAGGAACGAACCCCTCAGTTGAGCCGCAATCTTTTGACTACACGTCCCCCGCGAAAAACCCCACCACTACCACCGTTTGATACACACAGCTTCAGTTACATCAAGAAATGGCCGACAATAACAACAACGAAGAAGCAGGAGCAGCAGCTCCCCAGGAGCCCCAAGCTAGGATCGTTCTCTACTGCGGAGGTAAGATCTTCGATTGGCAGTTCTTCTTTGGATTCCTCCCTCCCCTCTCCCCCCACCCCTTGATGTCCGATTTGCAATGCTGATGAGTTACATCGGTGATGGTGGTAGTGTGCACATTACCCCCGGAGGTACCCAACCTATCCTACGGACACAGCTCTTTGATTCTGCGAGGCAGTACATCGACGTGATGCTAACGCTCGACACCGAGTCAAAAAGTACTGCGAGTTCGGCAGCTCCGCAAAGAAGTGCAAAGAATGGCTCGAAGAGAACCACCCTGACCTCGTGGCCTCGGTTTACAACACTGGTTGGGGCTCCTCCCCCACTCCTACCCCCCACATATTCTGTTCTTATCTCTATCCTCAGGCTTATGGTTATGGGGGGCACTGGGCTGACTGTGGTTCTTTTCTTATCCACCTTTCCAGAAGCCGTCGAAGCTGCAATGTCTCACCTAACCGTGGATGCCCTTGCTCGCGCTGAAAAGGCCGAGCAGGCCGCGGAGAAGAAGGCAATCAAGGAAACCGCGAAAGCCGAGCGCGAGCTCGCCAAGAAGCTCTCGTCAAAGATTGTGCTCAAGCGGGTTGAGCGTGCGAAGCGCAAGCACGTGATTGTCGTCACTGGGCTCGAGGCGTTCGGGCTAGATCTAAAGAAGGTTGCGAAGGACTTTGGCAAGAAGTTTGCGTGCGGGAGCAGCGTGACGAAGGGCGCGGCCGCGGGACAGGATGAGATTGTGGTTCAGGGTGACCTAAGCGATGATATACTAGAGTATATCGAGGAGAAGTATCCAGAGGTGCCCGTGGATAATATCGAGCAGGTTGAGGAGAAGAAGAAGAAGAAGAGCGAGGGACCTTGAAGTTAATGGTGATTCTTGGTGTTTGCTTTTTTTCCTTTGAAATCATTTCTTTCCTAGGCCTGCTTTCTCTTTTGTTGTAGTTTTTTTTGGCTTACGATTCGGCCCTTTGTAAGTACATATGATGCGGCGCACAATAACTTGAAGGTCGGGAGATAAATCGGCCCATCGGGTGGGGTTCAGCCACTTAGGTTGGTTTGAATAATTGTAGGGTCGCGGAAATGACTCTTTTTTGCTAGATACCAAAGCGGCGGATTGAAGAACAAACATAAGCCCTTCCTGATTAGCATATATACCTAAAGTCCTATCTCAACAAGTCGACATGAAGTCGTATCATCTATTGCCGATCGACGAATCGGGTCACATATGTCTAACATTTCCATTGATTTCAAAATTTTGTTATCAAGCATGCTCTGTAGTGGGAGGCCAAACAGCGAACGGAAAGTCTAGCTATAGGAAGCCCTGGCCGGTAACGCACTCGTCACGCCTGGGTATAAAATACATGTGTATAGCTTTCATGAAATGATAGGACCAGTATCTCACAAGGCCACTCCAAATAACTCCATAAGTGCAACCTTTTAAAGTCACAGCCTAGTGAGAACACCATTCGAGTAGGTGCAATATCACGCTACACATACATGTACCTTAACCCCTCCCCCCCCCCCCCCCCACAAACTCTTAAGCCATAGCCTTGTGCCAGCTGCAGGTACACACATTTCTTCCACAGTTTCGAAAAATTGAGCCCTGCACCCCGCATGTCACAGTCCGGCGCGCGCGGGCGGTCATGCCCACAGTTATGAAACCTGGTAGCTGACTGGCAGACAGATCTGAGATAAAAGTGTTGCAGCTGACGTTGTTGCATGTTCCCAACAAAAAAGGGTCTTGTACTACTGGATTCAACAAATTTATTTTCTTATTGCGCAGGATTGGCGTATGACCAGTAGAGTATATAAACCCCGGCAGTAGTGAGCTGTAGTCTCGATTGCTGTCTTTTTGTGTGTGAACGAGCCTGTATCTCGCTTCGCTGCCGGTGTGCGTTACGCTACGCAGCTGCCGGCGGGGTCAATGATTAGGGCGCAGGTTATTTATTGGGCGCTCGGTCATACTCAACGACGTCGACCGAGACTTCTTTAGCTTCTATCATATGTTGCCCGATATCTCCATGGTACATCTCGCCCGCTTTCCGGATTTGGAGTATAAGAGGCAAGCGGAGGTCAGTGGCCTAGCTGCCGGTACTTGGAGGCTTTAAGCATCCGTGGTTGCGATTTTTATCTTTATGGCATGCAGGGTCGTTGCCAGATTTAAAACGATCTGTATGTTTGGTATCTGATCCATCTAGCCTTTTTCTTTTCTTTTCTTTTAATTAATTACTTGCATGCAGCCTTACGGCTATGGCAATTGATCTCCATCTAGCTTCCTTTATGAGGCCAATTATTTTATTTTGGTCCCAGGGCTTATGCCTAGCTAGCTTGACTCGTCTTAAGTGAACTAAAGATATATTTTTTACTTCCTCGCGGGAAATCTTGTTACCTAGGATGTAAAGTACATGTAGTTGATATCAAACAAAGCACCAACCAGAGCCGAGGGGAAATAATACATACTTCTCCGGTAAACCCTGATGGTCGAGTGGCGAATGTCTAGATGGGCCAGGCCGCTTTCTTAGGCCGAGGTGCTGCAAGACATTGTGCGTTCCAATGGCTACATATGACGAGACCAAACTGCTGGGTGAGATAATTTACTAGAGCCTCTAGATTTATATGATATTATTGAGAACAGGTTGTCGAGCCGCCTACATGCCATTATCCCTTGTCATAAGTATAGTTCCAGTTGTAGTATACGTAACTGACAGTCATATATGCCGTACAGCAGTATGGAATATTATACAGCTTAGTCCGCGTCCTGGCAAGCTAACCGCTATTTCAGATATTGGAAGCCATCCCGTGGATATTTTTGGAGGTTTGTAGGCGTTCAAATGTGGTCTGTAGATCCCTCAGGGGGGTGTATACAGAGTTGTTATGAGCCGTTTCTATGCAAGATCTGTAATTTATCTTCAAGGCTTCAGGTTTAACATCTCCAGAATATCCACGGGATGGCTTCCATTGTGAGGTTACGATCGACCTAGCCATATAGCAACGGAACTTGTCAGGAGTGCATGTTCTGCTACCAAAATATTTTAGGGTTCTTGATTATTCCTCTCCGTAACACATCAAGCCTTCACAAGTCACATTAATAGAGTCTCGATCAGTGTGAATAAATTTTAAAGCTCTAGATCTAGCAATATACAATACCCATGAGGAGCCTTTTAATTGTGTATAGATTTGGTGGTCAATTTGGTGATAGCGCGGTGTGGATTGATTTATACGAGCGTGAATATTTCGGTCCGAGCAGATTATTTTAGATCGTGATATATTATATTATTGGGGCTCTAATATATATATATATAGGATGACAAATATCACAAAAAGTGGTTGCTCAAACACTGCAAGCCATCCCATGGATATTTTTTGTAGGCGTTCAAATGTGGTCTGTAGATGCCCCCAAGGGGTGTCTACAGAGTTGTTGTGAGCCGTTTCTATACAAGATCTATAATTTATATATTTATCTTCATGATCAAGGTTTCAGATTTAACATCTTCAGAATATCCACGGGATGGCTTCCACTACCTCCAGAAAGAACCTCACATATTGTGCCAAGACGGCCGAATATCGTGATATTCGTTGAAACAGGACGCATTTCGTGCGTGCATATATGTAGATACTATTAGGCCACAATGTTACACCTTAACGGCTAGTTGCTAGTATACCTATAGTTGTTAAATTATATCATGAGATATCACTCGTGTGTCTAGGGTCCGATCGGATCGCAATACCGCTAGCTAGTCGCTTGACTTTTCCGTGGGTAAGTCTATATGACCCAGGGGGGGTTTCTTCCGGCCCTTGCCTTGGGAAACAAACCTATCATTCATATCAGCCTTATAATATCCCGTGCTGATCATGATAGTAATTGCCGGATTTTTTTTATTCTGTCTGATGATCTAAATCAGGCGAGGAGGCGAATATGTCGTAAGATAGCAAGGTGAATCGAAGCAAAGTAAGGAATCAGATAGAAGAAAAAATCAGGCGAGTATTGATCAACCTGAGCATTCTCCACCCTCGGAGGGTTTGGTGGGGGTTGTTCTTGGTAAAAGAAATCTTAGTGTGCTCAGCTCTTATCTTGCACCAAGCCACTAAATCTTGATATCGGGGTTCGTCGATCATATCATATTAGATACATGTAATTTCTCCGAGGTTAGTGAACCGTGTATGTACATGTGTAGTTGATCTGTGTCATGGATTATGACCTATATTATCAGAGATTGATCATCATGATGCAGGGTGGAGGGTTGATTGATTGATTGACTAATTTGTATGCACCGATGGGCAGAGGATAGCTGAAGGGGTACAGAGGGGTACATGAAGATTATATATATGGAAGTATTCTTGTACCCAGTGCACGTGCGGAATGTTAACATTCCGACAAATATCGGGGAAAAAACCCCGACACTCTCCACTCTATTTCCTATGTCGGTATCTGAAATACGATGCGGGAGTCCGAGTTATGATACGTATACCGGGGCCAGAATAAAGCTTAACTTTCGCTTCGGAAGCTAATTTTGTGTCGGAGCCTATATAATTATAAAAATCTTTATTTTTCGTATTTAAATTGGGTTCCGACAGTTCTCCGACTTCTGACGGAAAAAAGTTCTCGCCTCGAGTAGGAACGATAAAACTCCAGCTCCTCCGGATCCTGTAGGAGGCCGGCTGGATACGACTAGCCTAATGTCGAGGTTATATGGGAGTACTAGTACATATATATAGGGCACACAACATAATCCACGTACATAAAGGGCAATGAATGACTCTGGGCGTCCCGACACGTAATGTAACCTCATGACTTGCCGAGGAAGAGATCGACTCCGCTATCAATTGAAGGACATGTGATATCATATCACCATGGTTCAGCTGAAGGCCGGGGGGGGGGGGTATTATCTAGAAATGTTGTGCACGTGCAGTGGTTAGTATTGAACGAGATTAATATAACTATACTTTAGAGTATGCTGTAGCACGGGCTCTTGCTATAGCTAATTCTGTCATGATCTATATATGGTGGTTGGTACTATGCATCATAAACCATCACTCGCGTATCATGGAGTGGGAGGGCAGGGGGTGGGAGGAGCTAGTGCGAGATGGGGAGATGGAGCTAGCTCATAGCCTAGGCACCTCGTTCCTTCAAGCACTCTAATCCCTTCGTGAGTTTTCAGGACCGGGCACTAGTAAGTAGGGTTACCCTAGTGTGGCCGGCCCGAGACGAGTAGGAAGAAAAGCTTGACTTGACTCGTGATAGCAGCTGCTCGATTTGTCTCGACTTGTAAAAGCTCGAGTGGCTCGGGCTGAGCTCGGGCTTCTCAGTGGCCCAATATGGGAGTTCCAGAAGACATTCTAGATCTTTTTGGGTATTATATACATATGTTGTTAGGGTTAGGGTTCAATGCCTTAAGATTGTATAAATCAAATGGCGGAATGCGGGAGTATGAAGAGAGATAACACTCAAAAAGCTCGAGATTTTCAAATCGGGCAGTGAGAAAAGTTTGAGCCAACTCGACTCGTGAGGGTGGCTGCTCATGGCTGCTCGAGCTAATCCGTGTCATCGACCACAATAGGTTATCACTTAAAGAGGTGTTTTACTAGTGATGGACACAAGACGAAAGGTCTCAAGGCTTTGCCCCGAGACACGAGACGAAACAAAAAATAGCTAGACTTAGCTATAGATAATACAAAACAAGACAAAATAGGACTAGGAAAAGTCTAGTCTCTCGACTTTTCGAAACATACGAGTGATCGTCTATGAGCTACATATCTGCATCAAAACCTAGTTTTCTGGCTTGGGCCCTCAAAATCCCATCTTTAAAAAGTTTAATTACCGTCGTTTAAGAAAACACCATCTTATAATCACAGAAACTGTTGATACGAAATTAAAAGATCAACCTGATGACCCTGACACCTAACCCTCAGTCTCGAGACTTTGCACAACACATGACTCGAGTATTGACAATTCTGAGACCTCCTTCTGGAATTCACGAAAAAAAGACGGAACACCCTCAAGTATCTTGTTTTGTATTGCACCCATAACTGTGTTTTTAAACCTAACCCTCACCCCGCAAACCTGTTTTGATGTGATCACGTGAGGTCACCATTGGTGACTCCTCCTTTACTTATTCTAGCGATTCTGGAGTCTGGAAAGAGTTGTGTTTAATGGTTACCACCACAGGACGGATGGGAGTATCCAAGCTGCAAAGCTGGCTGCGCGATACTTTCTCTCCACGTATACAGTGATATTAGCAATGGCGTCCATAGTCTAGCCTAAGTAGACGTGTCATCTGTGCGTGTAAAGTAGATACATCTTGTAGGCTTTCATCCGATCCTCCTTCTCATATTGCCTATATTGAGTCTTCCTACTATATAGTACGTACACTCTTCCACATTCGTGTAGATAACGTAGAGCTCATCAGGAAGCGATCCATTATACATTATCTTCTGTTGATTGTAGACCTATCCATGTGTGAGGCCGTTCTCTCTCTTATTTGTAGCATATTAAAGAGGTTTGAATCTGACTAGCTGATGAATCACCAGCCATCACTCGTACCAAATTCTCCAAACCACACATTTCCACTTGAGCACCTGGAATCACCTTGATATCAAGCAGATCCAGAAACTACATGTAGAGCACACATCGTACAGAAACATCCAGGAATCGCATCACATAGCACAGCCCAACGGTCGAGTCATCCATAACGTCGACCAGTCACGTGGAGCCAATGATCAACCAGCCCTGCCACCGCGCTGTCTTAAGCTACAACAACAACCATCATATGCATCATCACCACAGCTCACTCACTCAACAACAACACTCTCTATATTCCACTCACGACTCACCCTCCATTCCATTGCGAATTCCCCACAACACGGCCACTCAACACGGTCCCTGCCAAGCCACCCACCTCCGGGTAACTGGCAGCACCCCCAAGCTCTCTGTCACACAACCATAGTTACCTCCGCCGCCGCCCGTCGAGAAAGCTGGAGCTCTAAAGGCGATTCTACAGCTCGCAAAACTCCCACAATGTCGGGCGGAAACATTCGAGGGTAAGTCTCTCTCCCGTGCAGCTCCCACCCACTCACTGGTAGGGCGCGCGCGTGCACACACAGCTAACACACTCTGTAGATTTAGCTACTTGGAGGTCAGTCGGTTTTCTCGGGGGTGCCGCGCCGCCGAGCGAGCGAGCGAGCAGGAAGTCACTTGTGAATGAGTTGAGATGGAATTGACACCGCTATAGAACCTCCCTCCAATAACGTTCCGCCGCCTGTACCAGCAGCCCGCAACCTCCCTTGCCATCTTCCGCCGCATGCTCCCAAATCTAGGTACGCGCACTCACCCACCCATCCGGGGGTACCTCTCACCCCCCCTCCCCCACTCAGCAGTACTAACTCCCCCCAACAGCCAAAGTGATAGTGACCACCCTCCTCTACAACGACAAGCCCATCCCCCTGGCGGACCTCGAAGCGCTGATCCGGCCTGAATCACACCGCCAGCGCGAAGACGCCTTCAGCAAGCTGCGGCGGCTGCACATCATCGCCGAGGCTGCGGACGGCATCAGTCTCGACCCCGTGTTCAAGAAGAACTTCCGCCTGGCGCTCACCGGCGGCGGGTCGCACCACTCGTTTGGCGTGCCGTGCAACACGCCCGACAAGAAGAACGTTACGGTGGCCTTCCTCGACGAGTATGCGCAGAAGAAGTTTGAGAGCATCCTGCACTTCATGGTGGGCACGCACAACGACACGAAGCCCGGCGACGGCGTCATTGAGCTGCTGTGTATCGGGAAGCTGATGGAGCGGCAGTATGACCGCCCCCGTACCCACCACGCTCCCGAGGGGACAAAAAGGCTAACAGCAGCAGAGGCAAGGGCACCCAGGCAACAATCACAAAGAACGGCTTCTCCTTCCTCCTCCAGGAAGGAAACTCCCAGATCTGGGCGCTGCTGATCCAGTACCTGGACTACGCCGAGGACCTCAAGATGGAGAAGACGGACGTGCTGCACTTCTTCCTGATGCTCGGATCGCTGGAGCTCGGGCAGGCGTACGCCATCAAGACGCTCACGCTCACGCAGCGCACGATGCTCACGGACATGCGCGACTACGGAATCGTGTACCAGCGCAAGGCATCGTCGGACCGCTTCTACCCCACGCGCCTGGCGACGACACTGACGAGTGAGAGCGGCGGACTGCGTAGTGCCAGTCAGACGATGGACGTGGCGACGGGCGCGGATAAGGCGGATGATGAAGGGAAGGGATTTGTCATTGTGGAAACGAACTATCGCGTTTATGCCTACACCAGTAATAACCCCCCCCCCCCCCCCCGGGGGGCCCCCAACTAGCACAGCAGCAGTACTAACATAAAATAGACTCCCCCCTCCAAATCGCCGTCCTAAACCTCTTCGTCCGCCTCACCACCCGCTTCCCCAACCTCGTCTCGGGGCGCATCTCGCGCCACTCCATCCAGGAGGCCATCAAGATGGGCATCACGGCCGACCAGATCATCAGCTACCTAACCGTGCACGCGCACCCGCAGATGCGCAAGAACCTCGTCATCCTCCCGCCCACCGTCGTCGACCAGATCCGGCTGTGGCAGATTGAGGGCGAGCGCATGAAGGCCACGCAGGGCTTCCTGTTTAAGGACTTTACGACGGCGCAGGACTTTGAGGATGTGGCGAGGTATGCGGGCGAGCTGGGCGTGCTGAAGTGGAAGAGTGTGCAGAAGAGGTGCATGTTTGTGACGAGGCATGAGCAGATTGCAGAGTGGTTGAAGAGGAGGGCGGCGGGGGGGAAGAGGTAGTGTGGGGGGGGGGGGGTTGCGCTTTTTTCTTCTTTGTTTCAGTTATAGCGGGTTTTTCTGTTCCTATTGTTTTTTCTCAGTTCTCTTCTTTCCTGTTCTGCTCAGTTTTTGTTACTCTTTTTTTTTCTTTTGGGAAAACACCGGGCATCAATGTACGCACCTATTTTTACGGGGCCGTGGGGGGGAGCGGAGTATATTAGATACGAAAATTTGGTAATTATTAACCTGTACTTTTACGTAGTAGTTATACTACCTATATACTTTCATAGCTAGTTCGATTCCTGCATACATGCAATGCTGATTCGATTATGGTGCACTGTTCAATGATTGATCATGACCATGGATCCATGTGGGGAAGCTTCACGCTGTAGCTTACAGCACCTCGATATTATATACACATGTATAACCAGCTTTTAAAAAAAAAAGAAAACAGGCCTCATTTATCGTGTTATAAGAGGAGGGTAAGCTATGATTTCGTCGTGGCTAGTATTTAAAAAACCTAGCGGTAAAAATGGCTCCGAGTGGGATCATAAGATGTCACTCGATTAATACCTGGCCGGGAGAGTAGGTCGGTGGTGGGCGGCTGCGGATGTTCCCTCGTAGTTCTACTTGGTCTCCTGGGGCCGGTCTGTAAGTCCGGATGTACATACATACACTGCCTGCACTTCAGCGGTGAACTAGTAACTTCAATAATACTAGGCTAGGTATGTGCTTGTAGACGAGGAAGGGGAAGTATGTTAATTTAGTTGGTATAACTTCCTCCTACGCATGACTGCATGGGGGATGGTGGTTTTTAGTGAGGAGCGACTCTATCGGGTTTGCCCTTTGTTTCAGATATAGATACCGAGCGTGTGTCCTTCAAGATGGTAGTTAGGGTAACGGTGGAGGTGAGGTCTCGCTGTCAAATAGGTGTCCTCAGCTATCCGGTCCGACTCTGCTATAAGCTATAAATTAATCAGCCTGCACATATACATATGTAGACCAATCTAATAATCCGTCTCAGCCCATCCTATATCCACCCCAACAGAGAAGAGGATAATCTCTCCTGCCAGCTACATGTGGCTAGGACAACTGCAACCCGGCCCTGAAACGGAGCTAGCCAGAAACCTACATACATACATGTATATAATCCTCCGCAATTCAACAGCAGCCAGCTAGTATTCTCCACCGAAAATCAAAAACACTGCCTGTTTATCGGGGCACCAGGTTCTATCACAAGAAGCTGAAAGTTAGTCTAGGAAATATGCCCATGATGCAGGTCATTCGCAAAGTTCAGAACTAGGACCTGCTATCTGGGTCTGGCCTCCTTCCATCGCGAAGCCGGCCGGCAATGTATCAAGTGTGCCTCTGTGCATTCATCACTCACAGCGAAGTCTTTTTGGCTAAGCGGGTGTACTCCAACACCGAGTGATAATCCATGAGTATGTTTTGTAAATTCGGGCCGGGGTTCATTGATCGATAAATTCATAATTCAGGCTAGTTTTTGCGTCCTATATTCCTTATTCTGTACACTACTATCATACCATTTCTCTGTCTATTTTTTACTCTGGATTACTACTAACGAAGGCGAGAATCAGTATTAAATGAAGCTCAACTTTTGGTCCCATAACTCCCTGGAATTGCAATATTTACAACCGTCTATTTATTTACCTGTGGACCAACCGCCCATCTACTTTCTCACAACCTCCACCACACACCTCCCCACCCCCACCTCCCTCTCCTCCCTCACCATCCTCGCCACCCACCCCCCCCTCGCCTCCACCACCTCCAAAAACTCCCCCACGCCCCCCCCAACCCCAAAATACATCCTCTTCGCCGCCACCAAACCCCTCCCCCCTTCCTCCACAGCCCCCAGCAGCACATCCGTAAACACCCCCAGCGTAGCCAGCGAATAAATCGTCTCAGACCCCAACACCAGCCCAAACCTACCACCACCCCGCAACAGCGCCAGCATCCCCTCCCCCACCCACCGCTCACAAACTCAACACCCACCCCGCAGCCCTCCAGCGCCGCCACAAACTCGTCCACCAGGTCCCGCGTCACCTCCAGGTCCCCCTCGTCCTCCCACGCCGCCCCAGCGCGCAGCATGCACCACGCCAGCAGCAGATTCGGCAGCGTCACTAGCCGCAGCACATCGACGTTGTAGTCTGCGAGCGTGAAGCAGCAGGGCGTGCCGCTGGCCAGCGCCGCCTGGAAGAGGTGCAGTGAGGGTAGCGCTGTGCCGCAGCCGAGCTCGAGGACGCGCGTAGGCGGGGGTGTTGGCGGGGTGCTGAAGAGGTGCTGGACGAGGTCTAGTGAGCACTCCCAGGACTTGAGGCCGCCCTCGTAGACGGAGGTGTGGATGTCGGAGGTGCCGATGAGCGCGGTTGGGGCGGTGGTGGTGGTGGTGGTGGAGAGTGGGTCTTCGGACATGAGCTGCATGCGGACGTCGTAGAGCTCGCGGCGGGGGAGGCGGATGTGCGGGGTGGGGTGGAGCGTGGTGTAGGAGATGTTTGGGGGAGTGTGCTAATCTGGGAGGTGTCAGCTGTGGGGATTGTGGTGGGGGGGAGGGGGAGGCCGCACTAGTGAGGCGAGTGTGTGGTGCTGCGCGGGCGTGGTGGGGGGGGCGGCTGTGGGGGCGGCGGCGGCGGGCGCGGCGGTCATGGGCGTGTCATCGTCGCTGTCGCTGTCGCCGCCGGTGGAAAAGTTGAATTTGAAGGCCATTGCTGGTTTGTGGTTTGGTCTGGCTGGCTGGCGGCGGGGGTTGGTTGGTTGATTGGCTGCGGGCGTTTTTGGATTTGCGCATGGAGTGGACGTCTTAGTCATCCAGCGTTAGGTTGTGGGAATCCGGGGGTGTGATCATTGACACCCGAGACACCGTGAGGGACCTTTGATTATGGCTGTGGGGAATTACCAACGAGTAGATGAGACGATGATTACTATGGCTCTAAACAGGTTGTGTGTATGGTTATTATATGTGCATCGCCCGCAGAGTCTCCAGTGCCAGCTACATACACTACATGTACTTGGCGAAGAAGAGATGGCGTGACAGCATGTCCTCAATCATGTCGTATAAAGCTCTAGCAGTGCTGTTAGTATCATCGTAGTCTGTCTTCTCGATCTTCTCCAATAGCTAGGTCTTGTTATTACCCACGGTAAAATTAATACACACCAATTACCCAGTGCGTCTCCTCCTCTCCTCCTCCTCCTCCTCCTCCTCCTCCTCCTCCTCCTCCTCCTCCGTCACGGCCCCTCACCCGTCTGCAGCCGAGTGATATTCCAAGACTCACTCGCCCCCTTCTCCGCCAGTGCCAATGGCCGCTTTGCGATGCATCACATCGCTGTGTGTGCCCGGGTTTCTATCTGTGTCTCGCTGTCACATGCAACCAAGCTTCGCTTCCCTTCCCAAGAGCCGCAGCCGAGTGGGGCCGAGTTATGGCATGTGGTGAATGAAGCAAGCAAGACATCTTCTTCTTTCTGGATTCTGTCCGAGACCCCGACGCAGCCGGTCGGGAAGCTAGGTTTTCCCACACCCGCTGCCCTCCTTTCTTTGCCTCTCTACATCTACGTCTATACACCAGCTATAAACGTCTACCAGCTGTATAGCTCAACGTCTTCGTCTCTGTTCTACGCGTCTCGTATTATATTCAGTAGTGCTCCAATACCCAGCTGTCTAGAAACCCCTTGAGACAGTACACACCCACCCACAGACACTATGGCCGCCCCTATAGCACCCTCAAAGCTTCAAGCCCTCCAGGTACCTCCCCTCCCCTCCCCTCCCCTCCCCAACCCACCCCTCCTCTCCTCCACCCACTAACCCCCCTCCCCCCAGGAAACAATCACCACCTTCCTCCTCGACCCCCGCAACCACGACCTCCTCACAATCCTCAAAGGCCTCCGCAACGGCCTCGTCTACGGCACCAAAGTCCGCTTCCCCCACGCCCTCGTCATGGTCCTCCTCTTCCGCACCGGCACCCTCCGCTCCAAAGCCACCCAGATCCTCACCGCCACGCGCACCCACGCCACGAACCTCGGCCTCTTCGTCACGCTCTACAAGACCACCATGCTGGCACTGCGGCACCTCAGCCCCACGGGCAAGGAGCGCAGCGCAGACAGCTTCGTCGCCGGCGCGCTCGGCGGGTACGTCGTGTTTGGCCGCGGCGGCAGCGGCAACAGCGTCAATATGCAGATTGTGGTGTATGTGTTTGCGCGGGTGGTGCTGGCGCTGGCGAAGCTGGCGGTGAGCGATGGTCCGCTGTGCGTGGTGAGGGCGAGAAGGCGAGGGAGGGGGTGGGCAGGGTGGCGTGGCCGCTGTTTGCGGGGGGGAGTTGGGCGATGGTCATGTGGTTGTTTAGGTGGTATCCTGAGGCGGTGCAGGCGAGTATGAGGAGTAGTATGGTGTATTTGTGGGTATTCCCTTGTGCTGGTTTTTGGAGAGTGTGGGATGGTGCTAATGTGTGGTGGTGGGTGTGATAGGTATGATAATGCGGAGACGTGGACGGGGATTAGGGACTTTTTGATACATAATAAATAGACGGGAACGGGCGGGCGTTTGGGGAAAGGGGGGTTTTGCTTTGGGGCACTTGGGAATTGCATTGTGGGTGTATGATAGATACATTTATACTTGGAGACGGCGCTGGTCCTTTATATTCCATAATGTACCACACACGCCAAAGCGCTGAGCTACTAACTGACTGTCTGACTGACTGGCTGGCTAGAATTGAAATGAGAAATAAATAAAAAAATATACAATACATTTAGAAGCAAGACTTATTTACAATACAAGAAACGATATCGTATACTCATTCCATCCATCAGTGAAAATAAACAAAAAGACTCGTACAGAAAAGGTATCAACAAGCTATAACTAATAGTAATAATAAAAAAATCTAATTTTAATACAAACCATTAACCTCCCCAGCTGCAGCTGAGTAGACATCAAGTCCAGAGCCCCCCCAGAGTCAAGCCCCCCACCTAAAACCTACAACCTCCGCATCTCCACCTCCTCCCCCCCGACTCCACACTCGCCCTCATCGCACTCGCCCCCGCGCTCGACCCTGGCCTCTGATAATCCACACTCAACCTCCCCCTATCCACCGTCCCCGTCCCCGTCCCTGCCCCCGTCTCAACATCCACGCTCCTCTTCCTCGCGCCAAAAAACCTATTCCGATGGCTCACCACGCTGCCCCCCGCGCTCCCCGCCCTCCGGCGCTGAAACCCCTCACCACCACGATACTCAGAGCTACTCCTTGACGTCGTCCTTGCCAGCTCCGCCTCCGCCTCTGCCGCCTCTGCCGCCTCCTCGCGCTCCCGCTCCTCGAGAACCTTCACCATCGGTATGTGCTGCTGCTTCCGCCGGTCCTCGAACACGTCGCCTGAGTCGTCGGAGGACGCAATGTCCTTCACGCCCAGTGAGAAGTCGACCTTCTTGCTTCCGCTGCGGCTCGATGAGCGGCCGATGCTGGTGCTGCGCGCGAGGTCTGGGGCGGGGGCGTGGTCCGGGCGGAGGATGCCGGATGGTGTTCCACCGCCACCCCCGGGGATGAAGGGCGGTACTCGCCGTCCTGCTTATCTGGGCCAGCGCCGCGGTCGAGTACGGACTGCTGCAGCTGGTCGTTATTGACGGATTGGAGGAACACGGGGTGGGAGCTCTTCTGTCCGGGCCAGCGCATGTTCGGCGACTCGATGCCGACGTCGTCGACGGCGACCATGAGCGCGCACATAAACTTGTTGCGGCGCTGCAGGCGCACGAGCTCGTTCTGCCAGTTGCTCTTGTAGAAGAAGACCACGTTGAGCTTGACGCTGTGCATGTCTGGGATGTCGCGCAGCTCCGTGATGATCTTTGGCTGGTACTCGCGCTTCTCGGCGGTGACGAAGGCCAGCAGGCGCTCGCGGAGTTCCTCAATCTGCTCGAGGGAGGTGCCGAATTTGCAGACGACGGGGATGGCCTCGGCGAGGCCGCCAGAGCGGCGCATGTTTAGCACGAAGAGCGTGTTGAGGAGGGAGTTGGGCGCTTGCACGACGTGGCCTTCGAGCTTTTTGAACTCGGTGTACATTAGCGCGATTTCTTTGACGAAGAAGGTGTCGATTGTGCCGGCGCCGGTGTTGTAGATGTCGACGCGGTCGCCGACGTCGAACGGGTGTTTGACAAAGACGAAGATGATGCTCGCGAGGAACTCCTGCGCGGTGGCGGAGAACAGCCAGCTGAGCGCCAGCACGGCGCTGGAGGCGGAGGTGAGCACGTTGGCGGTGGACTTTGAGATCAGGCTGAGGAAGACGAGGATGACGATGACGGCGACGATGAAGGTGAGCACGTCGTCGAGCTTGCCGATGACGCTGTCCAGGTCCTTGAGCGAGGCGGCGATGGCTTTGCGTTCGCGCCCGATCTCGACGCAGGCGAGCTCCATTTCTTCGCACGAGATGTCGCCGTTGAGGTCGCGGTCGAACATGACGAAGGCGGCGTCGGCCTCGTCTTCGGAGGAGAAGGCGTGCTTGAGGTCGTCGGCTAGGACATTTTCGCAGCCGTCGCGGATGAAGGTGCGGTAGAGGCGGCGGGCGAGCTATTGGCGGGGGGGTGGATATGTTAGTTATGGGTAATGATATATCATACATATAATGACGGTGTGTTATAGGTAGGGGTCAATGATCGGACTTACAGCTTGGCTTCCCTCAGTGGTGTACAGCAGCGTAAGCACGACCTGCTGCGGCGAAGTACTCTTCGACACCTGCTTCCCCGTAAAGTCTCCCGCCACCTTCCCAAACACATCGCCCACCTTATTAAACGTCTTCTGGGCGCCGGCCCTCGCCTGCTGCAGCCTCACCAGCGGGGTCCTCACACCACTCGCCAGGTTCGAGTCCCGCTTCTCGTCCAGGTCGCGCTCCTTCTCAAACAGCTTCGAGTACGCATACAGCTTCGCCAGCGAGCCGATCTGGAACTTGTTGAGCTCGATGCGGTCCTCGTAGGTGCGCTGGTGGAAGCTGATGGCGATCAGCTGGATGATGATCTTCTCGGCAAAGTTGAGCACCGTGGCGACGAAGAAGCAGAGGAGCACGATGTTGGCGCGGTTCTCCCAGTAGCGCGTCGACTTGTCGCCGTTGTTGTGGTGATTGGTCATGGTGGGGAGGAAGGAGACGAAGATGGCCAGCCACCAGAAGAAGAGTGTTGCGGGCACTTCGAGCATCCGTGCCATGTCTTTCCATTTTTTGCTGTTGTTGGTGAAGACGCTGGTGAGGAGGGAGAAGATGTAGGGGAGGCATTTGGCGATGATCTGGGGAAGGGGTGTTAGTATTGGGGAGCTTGGTTTTAGGTTATATAGGGGAGGGGTATTACTCGTGCGGCCCAGAGGGAGAGCCAGACTACTTCAAGCCAGACCATGAACCACATCAGATACACATCACCAACCGCAGCTTCATGAAACACCAACCCTCCCAAAAGCAGGGGAATAAGCAATATCAGCACCAGTGGAATGATATACGTGAAATACCGAATGATAACCGATGATTCATGCACCTATCAAAAAAAAATTTCTTTTTATCAGCTGCAATTTCATTGATCCAAGAAAACATCAATCCGGTATACTTACAGTCTTCATAAACTGCGCAAACCCATTCTGCGGCTTCTCCGGCGGCCGCCACACGCCCTTGCCATTATCATGGACGGGGTTCGTTGCAATATCAAAATCGTCGACGGGATCCACCACCTCGCTGACCCTGGACCTGGAGCGGTGTCTCCTGCTCCGGGACCTATCCAGCCCCGTGGCCGACGCGTTCGTCACCACGCGCTCCGCTTTCAGCAGTTCCAGGTCGTCGTCGAGCCGGTGGCTCTCCTCCCGTTTGCGGGATTGCGAGACATGACGGTGTGGGTTGAGGTCGTCGGAGACGGTGGTGCCCGTGGTGGGCCGAAGGTCGTGGAGCTGGTGCCGCGTGAGCGGCGGCGAGTCGGTGTAGGTGTGCGAGTCGGAGGATGCTTCGGGGTGCGGGGCGGGGGCGGGGCGGGATTGGGGTTGGTAGCTGCCTGGTGGGCCGAATTCGGGGTAGGAGGGTTCGGGGATTTCGTGCATGGGGGTCGACATGGCGGTGGATGGTGGTGGGAGTGTCAAACTCTAGTAGGCATTGAGGTTGGGAGTATATATAAAGAAGAAGAAGAAACAGTCGGAGAAGTATCGGCTTCCGGAGGGGCCGCTTCGTCGACGCAATTATAACGAAATATATCAGGGAACAGGACTAGATCGAAGGGAAGGATAGGAAGCGACTGTTCTAGGGATCAGAGGAGATCAATCCAGGGATCACTAGTTTGGATTTCAAGACAGAAGATGGGAATTGTGGGATTGGGATTGGGATTTTTTTTGTTTAGTGATGTTTTGGTTTCCTATGTACATGGACGAAGGACATGGCCCCGTCTTTATACCCTACTGGTAGTAGTAGTATCTGGTAGAGCATTCTGAAATCCCCCAAGCTATATCATTATTAGCAGAGGTGCTCTACTCCATACTTTCACAAAGGTAGATTGGTCTGGGGAAATGAGATGTAGGCATTTCTAATAGATACGCGTACTATGTGTGTATGTAGAATATTCAGGGGAGAGAGACGCGGGACTTGTTGATAATTAGATGCTCTAGATAGAGTACCTAGTTGCATTATTTTGGGTATTTTTTCACCTCTTCCCGCCGGAAGGCTCCCCATCGGGCACTGATGTACAGACAGCAATTCTCTGTGCAGCACAATCGGGGAGGGTTAAAGCAAAAGGGAGCACGAAAGACGATGATCATTTGAAAAAGTCCAAAATGGTACAGACAGGAGGGGACCCTTTGGGTTAAGTATGACGCCACTGTCGTCATAAGGTTTGTCGATCCCGGATTTTTGGGAGGTGGGTGGGTGGTGGTGGTAGGGAGAGACCAGATGTGCCGCCGCCGGCTGCAACTGCAACAGCGGAGGGCGTTCGTTCGTTCGATGGGATGGACCCGGTGTTGGAAGGTTGGAAGTTGGAAACGGGAAACCGTTGTGGATTGTTGACAGGGTCCACTGGAAGTCAGGTCCACCAGCGCCGGGAGAGGTCGATTCCGAGCTGTCTTCCCCCTGCCGAGCCATGTGCCTCGAAAGCCACCAAAAAAAGAGAGGCACCTTGATTTTATTTATCCGATGAGTAGGTCCGATGAAGGCTCTCTAACCTTCAATCTCCCAGATGAAGGGCGAAGAAGATAAATCAAGGCTGCTCGGTGGGCTCCGTTTGGCTGGCTGGCTGACCGTCTCTCTATTTCTTTGTCTCTCTCCCTGCGTCATATCTGACAGGGACCACACCACATGTAAAAATGGAAAGGGAAAGGGCTTGGATACGACTCGTCGATTCCTCTAAACAACGCAGAATGCCAAGCATCCCCGTTCCCCCATCTACTGATCAATCATCCATCATCCTTCTTTTAACTCCTCTATCTAAATTCTTTCTTCCTCTCTGGTCTCTCTTGAATTTTTTTTCTCTCATTTTTTTTCTTTCTAAATAACGAACTTCTCTCCTCCACATTAAATTCTCATATTATTCTGCTGCAAATAATGAGGGGTGAAGTAAGCAAATATTCTAATTCTAATTCTAATTCCAATTCCAATTCCGCATATCCCTGACCAACGATCGTCCTATCTATCTATCTATCTATCCATCTATCTGTTCCATATCCTCGCATATCGTGTCGCTTATGATGATGCTGCCCATGATCGGATCTTATCCCATTCACTTTGATCCCTGGCTTGTTGACAATAATAATAAGTAACAATAATAACGCACGCACCGTCATCTAACCTCAACTCTTCTCACCTCCGTAGATCCTCCACGTCCACGTCGGCCAGGCCGGTGTGCAGCTAGGGAACAGTGCGTGGGAACTGTATGCTCTAACCTCTCCCCCCCCCCCCCCCCATAGTTCTCCTCTCCTGCTCAGTGGGTTAACTTCATAACTCCTCCCTGTGTGTGTGCTGCTCCAGATACCTCCTAGAACATGGCCTGGGAATGGATGGTCGTCCAGACCCAAACACAACCGCAGAGGGCGGCGGCTCAAATGAGACGTTCTTCTCGGACGCCGGGAATGGGAAATATGTGCCTCGGTCCATTTTCGTGGACTTGGATCCCTCGGTGGGTTTTTTTTGTTTGCTCTTAGCTCTTAGCTGTTGCTGCTGCTGCGGGGGGGTGAATATAAGATAGTTACTGCTGCTAATGCAGAGTGCATGCAATGCAGCCCATTGATGAGATCCGGACTGGCCGCTACCGCCAGCTGTTCCACCCCGACCTCCTGGTCAGCGGGAAAGAGGATGCAGCCAACAACTGTAAATAGAAACAATCTCAAATTATATCATAGCAAGCCGCAACCCAAAAAAAACTGCTAACGGGGGGAGTAACACCCTCTAGATGCCCGCGGCCACTACACCATCGGCAAAGAGATTCTCGAAACCGTGATTGACCGCATCCGCCGCGTGGCCGACAACTGCTCCAGCCTGCAGGGCTTCCTCGTCTTCCACTCATTCGGCGGCGGCACCGGCTCCGGCTTTGGCGCGCTGCTGCTGGAGCGCCTCTCGGCGGACTTTGCAAAGAAGTCCAAGCTCGAATTCGCCGTGTACCCCGCGCCGCAGACGAGCACGGCCGTGGTGGAGCCGTACAACGCGGTGCTGTCGACGCACAGCACCATCGAGAATGCCGACTGCACGTTCCTCGTCGACAACGAGGCCGTCTACGACATCTGCAAGCGCAACCTGGACATCCCGCGCCCGGACCACGACTCGCTGAACCGGCTGATTGCGCAGGTGGTGTCGTCCATCACGTCGTCGCTCAGGTTCGACGGGCATCTGAATGTGGACCTGGGGGAGTTCCAGACGAACTTGGTGCCGTATCCGCGTAAATGACCACCCTTCATGAACACTTGTCTTTGTTAGCAGTCAGTTAAATACCAAGCAAGTTACTGACCACACACAAATAATCTCCAGGCATTCACTACCCGCTGATCAGCTATGCGCCCGTCATCTCTGCGTCCAGGAGCTCCCACGAGTCCTTCAAGGTCTCTGAGCTAACGTTCCAGTGCTTCGAGCCCCACAACCAGATGGTGGTCTGCGACCCCGCGAAGGGGAAATACATGGCCGTGGCCCTGCTCTACCGCGGCGACGTCGTCCCGCGCGAATGCACCCTCGCCGTCGCCTCCATAAAGGCGCGCGCCAGCTTCAACCTCGTTGAGTGGTGCCCCACGGGCTTCAGTATGTCACACATTCTTCCCATCCTGAATTGAATTGAACCCCCCCCCCCCCCCCCCCACAGAGGCTAATCATGGAAAAACTCTTTGATGGATGCAGAACTCGGCATCAACAGCCAGCGGCCCATGTCGGTTCCCAACGGCGAGCTGGCGTCAGTCGACCGCTCGGTGAGCATGCTGTCCAACACGACGGCGATCGCGGAGGCGTGGTCGCGGCTCAACCATAAGTTCGACCTGATGTATGCGAAGCGCGCGTTCGTGCATTGGTATGTGGGCGAGGGGATGGAGGAGGGGGAGTTTTCGGAGGCGAGGGAGGATCTGGCGGCGCTGGAGAGAGGTGAGTGTTTTTTTTTTTTTTTTATCCCCGGGCTGTTTTTGATATGGGGGCGAGTTGCAATTGCAATTAAGTTATATGCTGATGTGTGTTTTGGGGGGTGGGTAGATTATGAGGAGGTTGCGATGGATAGTCCTGTGGAGGAGCATGAAGCGGAGTATTAGTAGGAGGGAGGGAGAGGGAAAGGGTGTGACATCGGTCATTTTTTTTTGTTTTTTTACGGTTGTTCGAAACGGCACCCCCTTTGCAATTGCTTACTGCAAGTGTTGGGAGCAGCAATAATGATACCCGCTCTGTAATCTAAAAGAAAACGGATTCACTTGAAATTTATGCCCCGCGATAAATCAAATTTGGGTACTTGGAGCTAGAAGAGAGAATACCATGTTTTAGTGACATTTACAGTCACAGTCATTTAGCGATTCTTTGATCTGTCTTGTTTTAGCTAGCTAGCTATGTGCTTTATGAGTTGTTCTCTCTCTCTCTCTCTCGATCCAAGTGCAGTGCAGTGCAGCCTGTGCAGCCAGCAGGAATCGCACGTGTTGAGTGGTCGTTGGAAGACTGCAGGGGAGCGGTGGATGGTGGGGTGGGGTAGGTAGGTTAACTCTAGCTGTGGTGGTGTGTTGCTGCGGCAACGGGGGACGTGCCCGTCTCTGGCCACTCAAGCGAGACGTAAACAAAGGAAAGTGAGCGAGAAAGGCAAAAGGCCATTTTCTCGCTTCTGCTCTTTCTTTTCTTTCCTTTCTAAGGACAGAAAGAGACAGAACGAGAGAACGAGAGACAGCAGACAGCAGACAGCAGACAGACAGCAGACAGACAGCAGACAGCAGACAGACAGACAGCAGACAGACAGACAGACGACTAACCACGACCACGATCACGATCACGACCATCCACTATCCCACGATCACTACACCACTAAACCACTACACCTCCACCACTATCACTACTAACCACCACTGCTATCCTCTCTAACCACCACGACCATCCATCCATCCACCCATCCATCCACCAATCCACCAACCCATCCAATCCATCCCTCATTGCTATTCCAACTAGCCACCCCCCCCCCCCCCCCCGTGAATATACCCACATGTCGCTAGTCGATCTCTCATCTAATTATTAAAGCAAATAAAAATCGAAAAAGAATAAAACAGAAACATCTCTTTCACCACCCCCAACAAAGAAACATCTGCAGTAGCTGCACCCCAGAAAATGACATCAATGTCAGCAACAGTCTCCACCCCCTCACCCCTCTCAGCACTAACCCGCCCCGCCAAACAAAGACGCCAAAGCCCCTACCTCACGCACTCGCGCCGCAGCTCGCCGCTCTCAATTGGCCGCATGAACGACTCTGACGAGGACGAGGAGGATGACGGAAAGGCCCCGCAGCTCAGCGCACTCGCCCAGATGCTGCTCAACGACTTCCCCGAGTCGCAGTCGGACCGCGGATCGCGCACACCCACCGCCGACCCCATGCCCGGCGTCGAGTCAGTCATCCCCCGGAAGCGCATTAGCTGGGACCGCTCGCCGCCGCCGGCATACCGAAACGCAATGATGGAGGAGGAGGAGCCACACACGCACCGCCGCAGCAGCAGCAGCAGCATCAGCCCTGACTATTCTACTGCCCGCGAGCTGGTCACGCCTGCGCCTGGTGGGAGGTACTCGCGGCGCGTGCTGGCCTCGGGCGGGTCCTCGGGTAACTCGGAGGAGCTGAAGCAGCAGCAGCAGCAGCAGGAGGAGGGCCAGAGTTACTATGGGAGTGTTGCGAAGCCCAGCGCGAACCAGCTGACCATGACGATGCAGCCGTCTACCACGGCGTCGGCGATCCGGTGGAAGCGCGCGGGGAGGGGGCTCGCGGGGGGGCTTGCGGGGCCGCCGAGGAGGGGCCCGAGGAGGGGGAGTGACCCGCAGGATATGGAGGGGTATGAAGGGTATGCTGTGGAGGATGCGGGCAGCGAGCATAACCCGGTGGAGATCAAGGAGATGGATGAGCCGAGCTCGGGCTCCAGCTCAAAGGGATTTGGGGGGAATACGAGCATGCGCGAGGAGACGCCTGTGGGCGAGGGGTCGTTCTCAATGATGTCGAGGAGGTCCAGGCGGTCGAGTCCGGAGACGTCGATGCAGCAGCAGCATCCGCGCTCAATGAGCCTGTTTTCAAATAATACCCCAGAAGAAATACGGTCCGGGTCGCCAGACTCTTCAAGGCGCTCCTCTTCGTCGCGGGCTGCGGCGGTTGCGGCGGCGGCGGCAGCAGCGGTGCCCCAGGTTCTGGCAGCAAAGGACAAGGAGAACATGCCCCCGCCACCCACGTTCCGGCGCCCCACGTCCACCGTGCCAGCTTCAAAGCGGCTGAGTTTTGCCGCAGAGGAGGTCAAACCTGTCGCAGCAGCAGCAGCAGCAGCAGCAGCATCTCGCGCCCCGTCTCCTGTGGAGGAAAAGGAATATAAATCGTTCGCCCCGACTCTGGCAGCGGCAGCAGCTGGGTCGCCGGAAAGGAAAAATGTACTGTCGATGAAGAGCAATAACACGCCGCTGCGGCCGCCCCCGCCGCCGCCCCCGCCGAAAATGTCGATGCTTGAGGCGGTCACGGCGAGTGCGGGGGCGTCGGCGACGGCGGCGCAGCAGTCGTCGAGGAAGCAGCGGTCCGTAGTGCATGTCAATGGGAAGCCGTACAGACGGCTGGACGCGATCGGGAAGGGCGGGTCGAGTAAGGTGTACAAGGTCATGGCGGAGAACTTCAAGATACTTGCTATGAAGAAGGTGACGTTTACGGCCCAGGACGGCGAGTCGGCCATCAGGGGCTACAAGGGGGAGATAGACCTGCTGAAGAAGCTGGCGCATGTGGATCGGGTGGTGCGGTTGTATGATTGGGAGATTAATGATGCTAAACAGTGCTTGACTATGGTAAGCCACTTCCTCACTCATTCCATTTCCGCCGGCATGGTTTTCAGTGTCTAATCTTGGGTTTTTGGGGGACCAGTTGATGGAATGCGGTGAGACCGACCTAGCAAAGGTACTCATGATGCGCCACAACAACGAAGACTCACAAATGGACATCTCCTTCATCCGCTACTACTGGCGCGAGATGCTCCTCTGCGTCGACTCCGTGCACAAGCTCAACATCATCCACTCAGACCTCAAGCCCGCAAACTTCCTCGTCGTCCAGGGCCGCCTCAAGCTCATCGACTTTGGCATCGCCAACGCCATCGCCGACGACACCGTCAACGTCCACCGCGAGTCGCAGGTCGGCACCCTAAACTACATGTCGCCCGAAGCCATCGTCGACATCAACGCCGCCTCCGGCAAGGCCATGGCCACCGTCGGCGCACCCCGCCTCATGAAACTCGGCGCCCCCAGCGACGTGTGGAGCCTGGGCTGCATCCTGTACCAGATGACGTATGGCCGCGGCCCCTTCGCGCACCTCACGTCAATGTACCAGAAGATCAACGCGATTCCGGACCCGAACTACGCGATCGACTATCCGGCGACGGGGATTGGCGGCGCGCCCGTGCCGCCGTCGCTGGTGGCGACGATTGATGGGTGCTTGCAGAGGGATAAGGCGGCGCGGCCGACGATCGAGAGGATGTTGGCGCTGGAGGACCCGTTTTTGAATCCGGATACGTATCGGCCCGTGAGGGAGGGCGTGGTCGATATTAGTTATGAGGTGCTGAAGATGCTGATGGAGAATACGGTGGAGCATGTTAGTGTGAATGGCGCGGCGGATAAGGAGCGTGTGGCGGCGTGGGCGACGGATGTGTATGCGAAGCTGGAGAGGAGGATGTGGGAGTCGAGGGGGGGGCAGAGGTAGTAGCGGGGGTTGGGGGGAGGGGGGGAGCGTTTTTTTTTGTGGGTGCGATATGTACCTTTATATTTTTTCTCTTTTTGTGTGTGATAGTTTGCGGCCCCTTTTGGTTTTTATAAACATACCCAGTTCTTTTTTTTCTGTGAATTATGTCCTCTTTTTTTCATATTTTTGGTGGGAGTCGTTGTTTTTTAGGTTATGATGGATGGGTTTGGTTCCTTTTTTTTTTGTTAATGGTGGTGTTCTTATTATTACTTTACTTACTTGACGATATTGCACTGATGACTGCTTTCCCTTTATCATTATTTTTTCCTTACCCCTCTTTTTCTCCTCCTTTTTGATATATGTACGTTGAGGTGCGTTGAGGTGCCGTATTATTATCCTATCCCCCTTTTCTTCTTCAGGATTCTTGTTTATTACTTAGGTTTATTACTGCTGCTGCTGCTGCTGCTGCTAGCTAGGTGGTATACTATCACCATTTGCGCCGCCTCTGGGCGGTTTCTTCTTCTTTCTCTACCCTTTTCCTTCTTTTTCTTCTTTCTTTTTATTCGTTTTGTTTACTCTCCTGTACTGGCAGGAGTTATATAGGGAGTACGTACCTAGTAGGAGCTGTGGGCGCGCGGGGGGGGGGGGGGGGGCGCCGGTGTAGGTATTAGTTATTACGATTATTACGGGTTGGACGGTCGGGGTAGAAAAAAATAAAATCGTTACGAATAAATACGAATAATAATATATCTACTAGAGCGAGATCGAGAGTGCTGTCGAGTGATGCTGGATGACGCGGTCGGCGCGGCAACCAGCCAACCAACCAGCAGAGTGGAAGTGGAAGTGGAAAGTGCAGACATGCAGGTACGTACAACTGGCTAGGCTAGCGAGCTGGGCGCGTGTTGGTAAGGGGGCACGCACGCACGCACGCGAGCTGAGCTGGGTTGCTAGAGCTCTGATAGCTATTTACATATCTATATACCTCTCGAGCTCTCTCTGATCTACACCTCGACAACAACACCATCATCATCATGGCAGATACAGCTACAGCTACAACTCCCGCTACCCACGACCCCATGGCCACAGCCACAATACACTCCCCCAAGCTCAAGACTGAGGGCAAGACTGAGCATGAGGACAAACCCCATCCTCCCTCTCCTACAACCGACCCAGCAACGAAAACAGAGCCTCCAGCTCTACCACCACCACCACCACCACCAACGCCACAGACCGACACACCGCGACTCGCCCGCCTCGCCCGCCCCCCGCCCCCAAGACCCACGAGCTAAAAGCCAAGCTTCGGAACACCACGCAGCGGGTATGCCCCCTTCCTCCCCCTCCCCACCCCCTCCCCACCAGCTTCCCCCCACTGCACCCCATGTCTTCACCCCAACTAACACAGCAAACATATACAGGACGACATCAGCGCGCAAGAAGCGCTCCGGCGACAACTCAACAACGAGCGCAACCGGCGGACGCGGCAGCGCAAGATTGAGCGCGAGATTGCCAGTGGCGTGCGGCATAAGGACGGTGAGTCTCTGTTTTGATGAAGGAGGTGGTGGGAGAAGGGAGAAGGAGAAGGGGCTAATGGGTGTGTGTAGGCAGGGTTAGGAGGTCGACGGAGAGGCCTTGGTGTTGATGGGGTGGGATGAGGAGGGGGAAACTGGGGGGGGGGGGGGTGCGGCGGGATTGGGATGGGATTGGGATGGGATGGGCGAGTGATGCATAGTGAATCACTCGATTGGTGGTGGGTTGGTTTTGGGGGTTTAAATACTAGGGCTGCTTTTTTTGGGTGGATTGGGCTTTGGCTGGCGCGTGGTTTGGAGAGATTTTGTTTGAAGGTCGAGACCGATTAACCAAACAATAGGTTGGATTCCAACCAACTGAAGCACAATTGAGTGATACTAAAAGATGCTATAGCTAGCAAAAGCCGCTCTGGAGGGATCAGGATATTCTGCTTCTTTAATGATAATATTATTATAGAATATATCCATTGTTCTGTTCTCTCTCTCTAGCTACTCGCGGGTTGACCTCACTCCCACCGCCAAGCCATGCGGCTCTTCCAAACTCTTGGCACACAACCCACGCAAAAAAAACTTCCATATCCCACCACTCTACCTTCTCTCTCCCCCACCATCAACAATCCTACCCCACCACACAATGCCCCGCACCACCGGCACCCGCCCACCAGGCACTAACCGCTCCCGCGCCCGCAACAACCCCAAAACCCGCTCTCTAAACGCCTTCTCAATCGCGCAATCCACCACCACCGACAAGCCCAGCATCCCCAGCCGCCGCCTCGGACAAGCTCCGTCCAAGAAGCACAAAGCTCGCAAGCAAGACTCCGACGACGATGACTCCGACGAAGGCGCTGGGGGCAGAAGCCGCAGAGGCAGAGGTGGGGATGAGAGCGACGTAGATGGCGGCAGCGACTCTGACGGCGGCCACTGGAAGGTCGGCGTTGACAGCGACGACGAGAGCGACATTGACAGTGACGAGGCCATGGGCGAGAGCGACGAGGAGCGGTTCGCGGACTTTGCGTTCCGTGGGAGCAGCTCGACGGGGAGGGCGAAGAAGGATAAGGGACGCAGTGGCAAGGGGATTACGTTGGATGAGAGTGAGGATGACGATGATGACGAAGTGGAGGATGAGGATGAGGAGGACGGGGAGGGCTTTGTGGACCTCTCTGATATGCTGGATCGGGCGACGCCGAGCGATTCGGAGCCTGAAGACGACGATGATGAGAAGGTGAAGAAGACGACTGGGAAGAAGCAGCAGCAGACAAAGTCGAAGAAGCGTGCGGCGCCGGAATCTGAGTCGGAGGAGGAAGAGGAAAGCGACAATGGGCTGGATCTGGAGGAATCAGTGTCTGAAGACGACGACGATGAGGAGCCCTCGGACGGCGACGATTCTGATACAGACTCGTTTGCGCACTTCTCAGAAGAAGACGACACACCCGAAGACCCCGCAAAGCTCGAGGCCCTCCGATCCCTCATCACCGCCCTCCCCTCAGGCTCCTCCAAGCACGCCGCAAAGCGCGTCCGCCTTGACGACCCCAACGAGGGCAAGACGCCCAACGAATACAACCTCACCCTCAACGGCGATTCCCAAAAGCTCACTCTCGCCGACCTGATACCCACCATCGCCGACCCCAAGCTGAAAAAGTCGCTCAAAGTCCTCGACGACACCACCACCCCCGCCGGCACCAAGAGCACCGGCATACAAGGGAGGCTTTCCGCGCCGCTGGCCAAGCGCCAGCAGGACCGCATCGACCGCGCCGCGGCATACGTCAAGACGAACGAGACCCTCGGCCGCTGGGTCGACACGGTCAAGATGAACCGCGAAGCGGACCATCTGCACTTCCCGCTCCCCAATGCGCCCAACGCACCCATCCAGGCGCCCAAGCGGCTGCTCTCCATCGCGACGGCCACGGGCCGCGCGCCGCTGACGGCGCTCGAGGAGACTATCTCCGGCATCTTGAAGGAGTCGAACATGCAGTCTGAGCGCAAGATTGCCGAGTTTGAGGAGCTCAAGACAAACAAGCTGTCGATCGAGGAGGTGCAGAAGCGGACGGCGGAGCTGCGCATGGCGCGCGAGCTGCTGTATAGGGAGGAGCTCAAGGCGAAGCGCATCAAGAAGATAAAGTCGAAGGCCTACCACCGCGTACATAAGAAGGAGCGTGTGCGCCAGGAGCAGGCGATTGAGGAGGCGCTTGCGCTGGAGAGGGGCGGCGTCGTGGATGAGGAGGAGATGATGGAGCGGGAGCGCAGGAGGGCGGAGGAGCGCATGACGCTGAGGCATAAGCAGAGTAAGTGGGCAAAGGGGATGAAGGAGTCTGGGCGCAGTGTCTGGGACGATGAAGCGCAGGATGGCGCCATTGAGATGGCAAGGCGCGCGGAGGAGCTGACGAGGCGCATCAAGGGGAAGGATGTCCGCGGCGAGGGCGAGGAGTTTGGGGAGAGCAGCAGCAGTGAGGAGGATGAGGATGACAATGCGTTTGATAAGGAGGGCGTGGAGCTGAGGAAGAAGCTGATGAAAGATATTGAGAAGGCGGAGGCCTCGTTAGGCGTCTCTTCGTCCGGCAGCAAGCTGGGTGGCCGCTTGATGGGCATGAAGTTCATGCAGAACGCAGAGGCGGCCAAGAAGAAGGAAAACGACGCCCAGTTGGAGGAGCTTAAAAACTCCCTAATGGACGGCGACAGGCTGAGTGGTGTCGAAGATGAGGAGGACGAGGAGCCCAAGCAGGCCAGCGGCAGAATGAAATTCAAGCCCGGAAAGAAGGAGAAGCCCGCCGCCTTCTCCAAGGCCACCCACAAATCCGAGTTTGAGGAACAGGACTTCAGCGGCCAGGAACAGGACGACGAAGAGGGCGACGAAGAGGAGGACGAAGAAGTCACAATCGTCAATAAAGCCAACTCCGCCGCCTCCTCCACTGTAAAGAATCCCTTCACCGCACCACCCAGAACCACAGCCGGCCCAGCCGGCGGCAAGCACCTCTCCTTCGGCGCCCGCAGCGCCGACGACGACCAGACCCCCGCCGGCGGTAACCCGTGGCTCCCGCAGGACGCCGCCGTCCCGTACATCAAGCCCAAGCAGCTGACGCTCGCCAGCGGCAAAATCGAGTCCAAGACCGAGCGCAGCAGCAAGAAACTCTCCAAGGCCAAAAAGGCAGCTGGGCTAAAGAACGGCGACGACGCTGGCGAGGTCGAAATCGACACCTCAGTCACGCTCAAGCTGGCGCCGAAGACGGTTGCAGTCCCCCACGACGACGAGGACGAGGAGGTGGACGATAAGGACATCAGCCTGATCCCGGCCAACAAGGGCGGGAAGGCGGCGAGGTCGCAGCGGGCGCTGGTGAAGCGGGCGTTTGCGGGTGATGATGTGGTGATGGACTTTGTGAATGAGAAGAATGCGGTCGTGGAGGAGGAGGGCGATCAGGTTGTCGATGAGAGTGTACCGGGCTGGGGCAGCTGGATTGGCGAGGGGGTGAAGCCGAGAAACCCGGACCAGCCGAATAGGTTCCTTAAGACCGTCAAGGGGATTGCAAAGGACAAGAGGAAGGACGCGAGGTTGGCGAAGGTCATCATCAACGAGAAGCGGGTTAAGAAGGTATTGTTATTATATATTCCTCTACACTTCCTCCTCTTTCCTGTCCGTTCGTGTGCGCTAATTATGATGTTTTTTTCTATTACAGAACGTGAAATACCACGCCTCGGCCCTCCCACACATGTTCGAGACCAAGCAGCAGTACGAGCGGAGTCTGCGCGTGCCCATCGGGCCCGAGTGGACCACAAAGGCGACGTTCCAGGACTCGACGATGCCCAGAGTCATGGTCAAGAAGGGTGTTGTTGTGGAGGCTATCTCTGCGCCGTTTAAATAAAATAGGGCTGTTTAATTATTTTTTCTTAATTCCTTTTTTTTCTGTAACTCTATTTGTGGATAAAATTTCCCTTTATTTTTTTTCTTTTTTTTTTTTTTTGCTTTGGGATTTAAAAGTTTTGCGGGTTTGTTGTTGTTGTAAATACATACAAGTATCCTCCGGGTGGTAAAAAAAAGTTTGAATGCGTGATGGCGGTGGTGGTAGTGGGGTAATCATTTGAGGAGATGCTGCTGTAGCTACCATGAAACTATAGAGAGGGCTGTTAACTTGAGCAGTCCTGGTATATATGTACTCTAGTCTGTTCACAATTAAAGACCTCGATCTTATTCTCCAAGATTAACTCGTAGATAGATAGACCAATCTGCCTGGCCCGGATAACAGCACTAACGTAACGTTTCGGTATTTTTCGAATTGGCCACAAACTGTTTTACAAGACGGAGCTAGCCAAACTGCCGTTGAAGATGTCAGTATATGTGTAGTATCGGGGAGGCACTTGAGTATACATGTACTTATAGCACGTGTTGAAAAGGTTGATCAAACGAGGCCGACGAGACGGAATAAGTACGAGATCGACAGTTAAGTGACTTGATTCTGATCTCGACAAAGAAACTATGTAGCTACTTGTACTTGTAGCTATATAGTCTCGGATCGGACAGCTGCTGTCTTTGACATGACAAAGACATACAGGTCTCGACATGACAGCTCACCTGTGCCCGTTCGACATTCTTTGAAATCCAAATATCGAATAGCACGGCGGCGCCCCAATATCTACGAGTGATACCTGATGATCATAACCCACCCCACACGCCAACCACCCCCTCCCACCAAAACCATGTACAGGAAAAAAGCCAGTCAATGGAAACAGCCGCTCTACTACCTACTAGTACTTATTCTAGAAGAGTATTTATGTACCCTTTGGGTATGAATGTTCCCCGATCGATCACAAGTCAAGTGACATCGGCCCGTGAGTCCGATAGAGAATATCCTAAAGGCCCTTCGATCAAGCTCCTCTAGAAGTAGAGTACGCATGAATACACTACCAGAATCAACCTGTCCTCTACCGGGGAGAATTGGGGAAAACTGCCTACCTATCAGGGCCCTCCTAGCCTGTCTTTAATTCTCGGGCTCTTCCGGTACATGACTCCAGTCTTGGCGCCATGAACAAGAGGAGATTTGAGCCTCATAGGTATTGTCAATACCTCTGGGACTCATCCATGCGCACGTCCTCTACCGCCATAATCGCGGTGAGCACGGGGAACACCGATGTGCGATATGTATTAGAAATGCGGTTTTTGTGGAGATCACAGGGGAGGGTTCAGTGCCTACTCTGTACGTCTGAGTATGGTATATTTATAGGTAGAGGAAATGGGAGGCTGTTGGATGAGGCATATTGGTCTGGTTTATATCTTTTGATAAGACCATAGAAAAACACAGTTTTTCCAGTACATACATACATGTATGTTCATGGTATGGACCTTTCAATGACTGCCTGCCGCGGTCTAAGCGTTCATCTAGAGTATCGATACCGATGCCTCTATCCACTCAAGGCAAAGTAATTAACACCCCCAGTTATCCATACTATGCTTGTCGTCTAGCATAGAGTACCTGTAGCTTCGGATTAACCGGCCAGCGGCGGTCGCGGGATGAGTTAATTATTTCGTAGGTCTCATCCCACGCCTAATTCCGAGAGACTGATGATGGGCCATTCCAGAAGTGTTTCTCCTCAATGTCATTTGCCAGCTGGGGTGAACCAGAAACCGCATCCCCAGAAACCTAATAACCACTCCCTGGTGGGTTGCGGGAGGCGCCGAACCTGCATAAAACTCAGACTTGGAGACCTCAGTTGCTAGCGATGATGGGAACAGATTAAATACTCGGATACCCAAAGTCGATTGATTCCAGAGCTTGATTTGCAAGAGCATGGAAGAGTTGAGTTGCAATTATAATTATGCATAATACACCGCTGATAAGTCGACAATTCCTCGTCATTTGAGGCACATGGATTTCGATATATGTATGGGAATCCAATTAAACCGTGGTAATCTAATAAATGACTTACATTGCGACTAGTCTCTAGCTAGTAGTGGCTACTAGCTATTAATATAGCCCGTTTTCTAGATTCATCATATGGTGCTCAAGGCTCAAGCGCAACACTCTGGGGTTGTTTCGGTACTCGGTACTCTTCTTGGACTTCGTGGTAATTGGACGAGGTCAATGTGTAAGTGCGCCAGGGTATCCCTTGGATATTGAAGACTGCGAAGGTTGAAATTCCTGTCCATATCGGTAGAATCTGGTATTGATAGTTATGTATGCAGGTATGGTGGTTAGAGTAGAGTAGAGTATGTAGAGTGAAGTAAACACTGTTTTCTCAAATATTGTTATCGGAGTTTGGGGGCGTAAAGTGAGGTGCAAACATGCTTGAAAGTGCAGTTATAGGGGCCCTTGCTTAACCTTGTTTCTGAGCCGCTGACGTCCGAATGGAAGACGACGAGAAGGGCGCCCTCGGCGAAGGGAAAGAGCTAGGGAGGGAACATGCTAGATATTGCGGCAGTTTACACTCCTCAGTAGAAACTGCTCTCGCTTTCTTTCTCCCAGCGTGATCAAGGGGGCTCGTGGTGTCATCCAAACGTTCAACGCCCAACGTCCAACGTCCAACTGTGAATATCAGACGTTGAAACACCTGCCCATATGAAGCGTTGTTCATACACAATGCACACATGTAAGGTACACCGTACATACATAGATCTTCAACCCACCACCCATCCTTCAGCGCTTCTGAATGGGCAGAGGCGCTAAATGAAGCCCTTGCTCTGCTGTACTCAGACATGTCGCCAAACCAAGCACAGGAAGGAGCCTATCGGCTTGGCGTATCTGATACAATGTTTACCCCTGGCATATTGCTCCTGGCCCCACCGATCAACAGCGCCTTCACCCTTTTGTCTGCCCTCACCGGGCCATGATTGGGCAGTGGCATCCCCACGCTCGCCTGTTGGTTCATAAACCGACATCTAAGGCCGTTTTTTGCGCGCGGGACCTTTCCTGGGTCTTTTCCTCTTTCTCTGCAGGCCCCCTGGACGGAGCTTAGAGAATTTCATTTTCTGTCTCGAGTCTTGAAGACCGAACACCACCACAGACTTCTCCCCTCCACACTCCCTTAACATCTCACGCTCTTTTTACCTGTGTTGTTGCATAACAGTTGGCTACCCAGTTTTTTCTCCCCTCCAACCCGGTGTGTTGGAAGAACCGTCCGTCGACAATCCACTTGAAATCCCCGTGGCAATAAACTATTATCACACACTCTTTTTACAGCAGCCCGCTGTCACTGATTTCCCCTTCCACACGGACCGCCCATGAGTAATGAGAAATACCGTCTCATGAGGCTCTTGTAAATCACCTTCACACTCATTAACTACTACTGTTTGGACCCACGTCCAAATATCACTCATTAACAAACAAACTACAACTCTGTGCCGGTCACAACAAATTATCACCGCTTATCCAGCAAACATGTCAGTCCTGTCGTCGAGTGAAGAAGAACAGTCCCTTGGGGTCCATATCGCGGATATGGATATGGAGGATGAGGCGGATTATCGCAGCCCGTTGTTTGAGAAGTATGGGGCGGAGATAGGAGAGGAGGAGGTTTTGGAGGAGGAGGACTTGTTGAAGAAGGCGGATGGAGAGGTCTCGAGTAAGGATAGGAAGCAGCTCTGGCTAATCTACTCGTTGCATTTGGCGGAAGCGTATGTTCATCTCTCTCCCCACTGAGTTGCTCCAATATACTTACTGACTGACGTATGGGCAGTATTGTTGCATCGAGTCTTCAACCGCAGCTATATATCCTTCTTCGTGATAGCCAGCTGTGTGGAAGCGTCAACTCTGCATACTGGACTGGCTTGGTTGAGACGGTTTTTGCTCTTGGTTCAATTGCGGGTAAGTTCCTTTTCTTGAGGATGTTGGTTATAGTGAGTAAGAAGCTAAGACATTTTTAAGGGCTTTACTGGGGATGGATGGGAGACAAGTTGGGCCGACGACCTGTCGCCCTAGTTGGAATGTTGGGATTGTCAGTATCATGTGTAGTCATGGGCTTTAGCAACGGTCTGTTGAGCTGTTGCTTGATCCGCGCGTTTGGCGGGCTCATGAGCTCTTCGATCCGTGTGTCCACAGCGACCATGATTGGAGATGTCAGCGAGACGTCAAGCGCGAAGGCTCGCAACTTCTCCAGACTACCCCTTGTGGCTACAGGTGGTGTTATTGGACCTCTTATCCAGGCACTTCTTGCTCATCGTTTCTCGTCCGAAAATGAGATTTGGAAGAGATTCCCTATTCTGAGCTCCCAGCTAGCTTGCGCAAGTTTGATGTTTATCATTTTCCTCATCAATTTGGTTTTCTCAAAGAGGTACGAATTAATTTCGATTTGTTTTTTCCCTTCAATTATTTTCTATTTCCTTACTTACTGTGAGTACAGACTCTACCAAGCACCACTGCTGCCGAGAATCTCGATGAGGAAACGCAACCGTTGTACGGTCGCCGCAGCGATTCGTCTGACTTCTTGACCGAGAAGGACACTTTCCTTGGCCAATCAGAGACGACGTTGGCGACGCCGTGCCGCAGAACCACGTTTTTCAAGAACGACAGACCGGACCCCATGAGATTTAGTGAGATTATGAAGGCGCCATCGTTGATGATCCTCTTATGCTCCTATTCTTTCCTTTCGCTTCACTCGGCATCTTTTGACCAACTACTGCCACTCCTTGGCAACTCACCGACCGAACACGGTGGACTTGGGCTGCCTTGCTTCTTCCTGTCATTCGCTGTTTTGTTCGCCGGTATCGCTGCCGGTACAGTCATCTATTTAGGGTTCGCCAAATCGGTGCAACGGTTAGGATTACTGAGACTCTATCGCCTATGCTGCTGGGTCTTCCCCTTGATCTACATTGCGACACCTCTCGTGTCTAAGGTCGCCCGGAGTTCTGAGATCGCAGTATGGGTTTCATCTGCGAGCTCAATTTTCACAAAGACACTAGTTACTGGATTTGCACAAACACTTGTCGCATTTCTCGTCACAAATGCTAGCCCTGATGCATACAGCCTTGGAAGCATTATGGGCTTCATGCAGGGTGCGACTGCGTTCCGGTCTCTTGCGGTTGCAGGGACTGGGGTTGCCTTCTCGCTCAGCGATGATGTCTCGATCGAGACGACAAACTACAGCCTATGGGCAGCGATGACCATCATCTCGCTCGGCGGCGCTGCTGTTGCATACTTTGTGAGGGACCACCCTACCGTTAGGGACTATGAGTCGAGTCTCAAGTGGGAGGTCTGCTATGAGAGCACCGAGGATCTTTCTCTATAGAGAGCGTTTGCATCCCAACGTGGTATCTCCACATAACGGCCTCGAGTCGGGCTTTTCTTTTTCTTTCCTTCTGTCTGTACTCGGGTGGCCTTTTTTATCATGCCGGGGCAAGCTGCCGCGGTGCCTCTTTTTGTTGATTAACACGGTCAAGGATTGATCAGGGGATGTTTGATACCACTTTTAACTTGAAATTTTCTCAATTTCTTACTGGGGGAACCTTTGCTTTTCTTTTTTCGTTGTTGGGTTAGCGGGGTCGGAACATTGGTGGGGTAAGTAGCGGAGCCGGGGTGTACCGGTATAAATATTTGCTTGCTTGGTAGGGTTAGTGGGAGGGTTGGTCCGGTGTGGTACGATTAAGCTTTCTTTAGTCTGGCTGGTTGGTTGGTTTGCTTGGGGTTCTTATTTTTTGGGTTGGGAAATTGTGGATATTGTTTTCGCTGTAACAAATATATGGAGTGGAGGGCTGCTGCTGAACTTTTTAACACTTACTTTTTATTCCCTAGTTATCTTTTTTTTCTTTTGTCAAGTTCGGGTTCCCTTTGTATCTTCTAGTCTGTATTGCACCTCAGTTAGGGTGCCGATAGAGAATCTTGCAATGGATTTTCGATCTTCCTAGTACCAAGGCCAAGGTATGTTCGTGACACTTATTTCTTAGTAACGGGTTTGAAAGCCATCAAGCCATCAAGCCATCATAGCACCAGGATCTTTTATATCACAGAGTAGTGATGATACTCTATATAAGATCAACATTGCAATGTGTATCGGTAGATGTATACTCGGTATTTCTTTTTCAGGGAAGAAACATGATTCATGAAGCGGGAAAAAAAAAATTAAAGGTGGCCAAGATAACTTTAGAGTGTGTATGTCTCCTTGCATATGGGATCTAGAGTGGAAAGTTACTCTATTTTGCCGTCATATGGAGCGTGCAGGATGCACTATGCAGTGCGCCGCGTGCAGCAACCCTACTTTATTTCAAGGGTCACCGTATGGAGTTAAGTACTGCCGGGCCCTGGCAAGCCATCGATGGTTGATATGCTCGTGCCTAGTACTGCGCATATCTACGAGTAGATAGAGTTGCGGATATACGATGGTTACCATCGGCTAGATATCTTATGAGTTCTCATTCGACCGATAGACACTATCTCTCTATGCCATGCACTGGTAGGAGATGTCTCTGTACGTGGTTGAAGCTTGAGGGTCTAGAAGGTAGGACCGTACCTATTCCGGAGAATACAGTGAACTGTTATGTATTCAGTACAGACAGCAAGGGCCCGGCATGACCTCCACTGACGTCTATGGAATACGAATTTACTTCTATATCAGGCACTTCCAAGATATACTCCTGCGCAGAAGAGTTGTGGTGGTGGTGAGGGAAAATGCCTGAGTTGTTGTAAAGCAGGTACGAGTAGTAAATTGTGGATTTGTCAGGTGAACTGATTTGTAAGGGTTGTTACGGACTCGGAGGAACTCAACAACGGGGAAGCGGCGGGGAAGAGCTCTAAAAGTTGAGGGTGTGTAGGCAAGGCTTGATGTGTGTTAGGTTTCTAACTCCCGACGGATTCAGTCGGAAGCTTCCATCAGCTGCTCCCGAGATGTCGCCATCGATTGGTGAGATCTATTTGAGAAGGGTGCAGGAACGAGCTTCGATGCATACATGTAGCTACTCCATACATTGTCAGCTACTTGGTAATACAATTTTCTTTTCCTTCCCACTCCTACGTGAGTCTTATAAAGACCGGCATTTTTCTTCGTCTCATCTTCTTTCTCCCTCCCATCTACCAGTCCCTCTACTACACTTTCTTCCTTACTCGAATTCTCTAAAGATCTCTTTGTGTGTTTAAGAATTTCTTGCGATTGTACCGGTTTTCTTCACTTTCTCACTTGGTTGCCAGCCTTTTTACCCTAAACGCCACCATCTACCCTCAAGAAGCCTCACAAAAAAGCCAATTCCTCACTAAAATAGACAATGACTATCCAATCGATTCAAGATGTACCTGCCATCGATGAGGAACCCCGTTTCGCTAAGGACAACCGTGGATTTGGTACCAGGGCTGTTCAGGCCGGTTCACCTCACGACCCTGTAACTGGGGCTGTTATCGCACCTGTATGCCCCCCTTACCCCGCCATGCCCTGTTTGGGAGCAATTAAAAATAAATAAAATACTAAACAACGCTCTATTGCAGATTTCCCTTGCTACCACCTACGCCCAAACAGCAGTAGGAAATCCAATCGGTCTTTACGAATATTCTCGTTCATCGAACCCCAACCGTGACAATTTTGAGAAAGCTGTAGCTGCACTCGAAGGCGCTAGTTACGCTCTCGCCTTCTCATCCGGATCTGCAACCACTGCTACAATTCTTCAAAGTTTGGCAGCTGGTAGTCATGTCATCTCTATCAGTGATGTCTACGGCGGTACCCATCGTTACTTCACAAAGGTTGCAGCTGCCCACGGTGTTCGTGTGTCGTTCACGGGCGCCATCGAAGTCGACGCAGAATCCATGATTGGCCCAGACACCAAGCTTATCTGGATCGAGACCCCAAGCAACCCCACATTGTCGCTGGTGAACATCAGCGCAATTGCAGAAATTGCGCATCAGCATGGAATTCTTGTGGTAGTTGATAACACTTTCTTGTCGCCATACATCCAGAATCCTCTCAACCATGGAGCTGATATCGTCGTCCATTCGGTAACCAAATATATTAACGGCCATTCTGTAAGATTACCTTTATTGTTAACATCTTAATATTGAAACCTCGCTGACCTGATTGTTAGGATGTCTTAATGGGTGTTGCTGCATTCAACGATTCGCAGCTTAACGACCGCCTCACGTTCCTCCAAAACGCAATCGGCGCGGTTCCCTCTCCATTTGACTGCTGGCTTGCCCATCGTGGTCTGAAGACTCTTCACCTCCGTGCAAAGGCCGCAACTGAGAATGCCACTGCCATCGCTACTGTCCTTGAGTCCTCGCCATACGTTCTTTCTGTCAACTACCCCGGCCTCAATTCTCACCCGCAGCGCAAGGTTGCCGTATTGCAACACCGTAAGGGTATGGGTGGTGGTATGGTCTCGTTCAGAATCCAGGGTGGGCGTCGCGCCGCCGAGAGGTTCTGCCAGGAAACCAAAATCTTCACACTTGCAGAATCCCTCGGTGGGATTGAGAGTCTTTGCGAGTTGCCAGCTGGCATGACCCACGCTGGAATCCCCGTAGAGGCGAGGGAGAAGAGCGGTGTTTTCGATGACCTCATTCGGTTGAGTGTTGGTATCGAAGATACTGAGGACCTGGTTGATGATATCGTCGGCGCACTCGAAAGAGTCAACAACTACGTCCAAGGAAATAAGGCTTAAGCTGTCTACCAGCTTGCTTTTTCCTTTCTTCAAAGTTTCGGTTTGTGTGTTTGCATACATAGAAGGGCTTCTTTTTTTCTTAATCGGGAAGGGGGCGGGGCTACCTGATAGATCATTAATTGCCTTTTTCTTCTTCTGTGCTTTATGTGGTTGATAGTTTTTCTTGTTTTTTTTTTCTAATTTCTTCGGGCTTTATTGATTCGGTAATGGCGTTACGAATTTTCATTATACTGTTAATATAAGCAGCTGGGGATTGGTCTCTCGGTTTTACATAGTACTTGATAGTTACTCTACTTAGAGATTAACAATAAACTGGAGTCTTCTATTGCTGAATGACGTTTTTGTCAGGTATTTGATATGGGTGTACACGGGCCGATTCCGGAACATTTCTCGATCAACCGTGTGGTTGGCGAATATTTAGAGTTTGTTGGGTTTCCCGAGGATTTACATAGGAATTTTGGGGCCCAAAAATATGCCCGGTCCGTTAATAAAATGTCATATCACCTCGTATTACCCTTCCAAGCATCAATCATACCAGCGACGGGGATAGTCTGTTATACGTTCTGACCATTGAAAGGATCATCTATCAGCAGGAGAGTTAGTGAACAGAGTGCAGAATAGAGTTTGCGGGTTTAGCAAATCTTCACAGGTTTATACATCGTCGGACGAGCTATAAGCAAAGACTAAATTCTCGCCAAGCAGCCGGTTGCCCCAGACGTATGTCGGTTTCCTTTGATACCATACGGGTACTTGCATGCAGCCATGACGAAAGGTGGGTATCAACTCCATTTTGGCAGGCTGCCGTTTATTTATAGTGCCAGAAGTGAGGGTAAACTGAGACCGCGAGTTTGTCGCTTTATCTCGGTATTAGTACTGCGGGAATGTCAAAATATTGTGGTAACACGCTCACACTCGTTTCACTATATTCAAATAGTAGAACTGACCTCATGTTCGATGGGATCGGGAGTCAAGAGTATTTGTAGACATGTTGAGCGTGTCTTGATATGTCTCAGTGGCACTTACATACATGTAGTATTTATCTCAAGAAATGGTCACTCCAGTACTTTTTGTGGCATGTGAATTTCCTGATCCAAAACTCTGTACTTGTAAAGGTGCCGGTGGTAGGTCTGGTGGAGTCTACCTATAATGGAGGGTACTCGTACTTTAAAGGACCTCTGTTTCAGTTCAGAGAATCCGCCCTATACAGCGTTCAAGAACAGAAACTGTTCGGGTGTCGTAAGACCAAGAGGTGTTTGGTGGAGAAAGGAAAGGTGCCACCAGACTCAATCACAGCTCAGCACTCACTTTCCAGTGCGACAAGAGGGTGACCAAAAATCTACATCACCAAGTTGCGAGAATTGGATACTTTTACGCGTTCGCATAATCGAAAAAGAAAGAAAGAAAAATGGGCTCTATTGGATATATATCATTGTCCTCAAGATCCCTCGAGAAACCTAGTAATACAGACAAACCGCGCGCGCCTGAAAAAATGCCCTTCGAATTTCAATTAACCATACCATTCCGTCCCCTGACCCTGAATGTCATTATATATACGCCCTAGCTAACAAACCAATCCCACGTCAGTCCGTGAAGTGAAAACCTTTTTAAACTTCAATTCTTGTTGTTTTCCGTGCCCAAGGTGAAATAGTTGATCGTTTAACTGAATTCCTCGGCCTTTCCGGCAATCAACAATCCGATAATCAATCCAAATAGTCCCAATACACTGCCAAAGATCTCAATGACAAGGATCTTGACGAACAGGGCCGCGTCGGCAGCATCGGCAAGGGCTGCAGAAGAACCAGTGATACCAACGGCAATACCGCAGACAAGGTTGCAGATACCAACAGTGAGGCCTCCCCAGAAGATAGCCCAGCCTGTGTAGTAGTTCTTCTCGGTGAAGAGAAGTTCTGCTGAGGGTACGTTGCCAAGTTTAGACGAGAAGACAATACCTGTTTACGAGGCGTCAGTGGAAGATGGCAAACAGAGAGGCTCTCTAAAGGAGTACAAACTCATAATAACCCCATAAATGGCGACAACTTCGCAGAAAATAATAGAAATCAAATTCTTAGTGCGGATGCGCGGTGCCCGTACTCCTCCTCCAATTATGCTGGAACCAGTGACGAAGATACCCCTGCGACGCCATTGTGAGAAGTGAACCTGTGGCAGAATGTGAGGTGCCATACCATGCTGCTCCCACGACACTAAGGCCTATACAAAGGGCCACTCCCAGCGAGGCCCATGCGTATGGTGATGTTTCTTCGAGAAAGCGACCGACCTGGATTTGCGTCCGTAAGCATACGTCCACTTAGGCGAGAAATGGAAGGTTGTGAGGAAAATAGGAAGAAGGCGTACATTAAAAGCTTCGCCGTCACCATTGAAGAGCATATCTATCTTTCTCCATTAGCTATCTAGACTAGTGACGACACAAGCCCAACTGGATAAACTCGAGGGGCGCGGCAAACAGGACAAACGTACAAGTTCCGACAACGACCACCGCAGTGGTAAGGCCTCCATAACGAGAGTAAGAGCCGTAGTACCCCATCGTTATTATATTCGTAAAGAAGGAAGTCAAAATGTGTAGGGTCTGTAGGCGGTTTTCTGTAGAGGACGTGTTTTCGTGGGTGTTCCGGGGGTGATTCGTGATGTAGAGACCGTAGCAATCAGCTTTGGTCGACGTGATGTGAGGCTGGGTGATGTGGCTAGTGCGGTATTATGTCATCCGCTTCAATGAACTGTGGGTCAACCTCTAGGACCTCCTACTCCATCTTCATCTACATCTCCATCCATCCAGCTGCGTCTTCATCTCCATCCTCGTGGGAATCTCCATTAACGCAATCTTTCCCATCATTTCCATCTCAACAGTGTCTAGCTCATAACTTCCCCCGCCTTTTAACGAAAAACCCCACGACCCCTCCAACATGGGTTCGGACCCTCAATATGCGTCGTATCCCAACTTGCTCCTCTCGCAACACATATTCACTCTAAAAACTGCCTCCTTGAGCTCTAATCATGCCGCTGCTCAAAAAACTTTGACTGCATCCATCAAGGAACACTCCCAGGCGCCGCTGTATCGCTACTTGGCGCACCCAGTGGATGGTATTCTCTCGGGCAAGATTGATTGGGACGAAAAGTTCTACGAAGAGCTTAAGAAAAGCAACGATGATGAGCTCGAGGGGTATGAGAAGGAGCTAAAGGAGGTAGAGGAGAAGGCCGGAGAATCAGAGGTCGTTGAAGCTATGGGAAAGAAGGCAGAGTTTTGGGCCAGGGTTGTCGATAAGGTGGGCTATTACCTTTATCGATATTTCCAGATTGATATCATATCTGTGGCTACTTCCTGTGATCCAGGAAGTGCTAGTTATCTAGCTTCAAGTAAATCTGACTCTTTTCATTCTTAGGAGAAAGCTCTCGCTGCCTATGAAGAGTTGTACACAAAAACTCCAACTCTTGGTGCCAAGATTGACATAGTCCTTGCCATAATCCGCATGGAGATGTTTTACGACGACAAGATGGCCGTAAAGAAGAGTGTTGAGCGTGCTAGACGGTACTTAATCGCTCAAATTTAGCTTTCCCGCGGGAACTGGCATCTAATTTTGTTTATAGGCTTATCGACACTGGTGGAGATTGGGATCGCCGTAACCGCCTCAAGTCCTACACTGGTCTTCATCTCCTCTCAAGCCGTCAATACGCCGAGGCCGCGCCACTATTGCTTGATTCACTATCAACCTTCACATCCACCGAAATCTGCACATACTCCTCGTTAGTCCTATATGCGGTTCTCGCCGGTACTATATCATTAAACCGTGTTGATTTCAAAGCAAAAGTTATCGATTCGGCTGAGGTTCTGGCCGTACTTGGATCCAAGAGTGGTGGGGCTGTATCTGTGGGTGATGTCGAGATGATTGACGCCGACATGGAGAACACAGATGGATATTCTTCGCTAGAGACACTGGTAAACAGCTTGTACCTATGTGACTACAAGAGTTTCTTTGTGGCACTTGCGGAGGTTGAAGAAAGATTCTTAAGTAAGGACCGCGTATTGGCTGAGCACAAGGCTTGGTATGAACATCACCCAGCTCCCAATAATTTTAGATAAACTAACATGGATACAGGTACGTTCGTGAAATGAGGAGAAGATCTTATGCACAGCTCCTTGAATCATACCGTGTTGTCGGACTGGAAAGCATGGCTAATGCCTTTGGTGTTTCCGTTGAATGGCTTGATCGTGACCTTTCGAAATTTATCCCATCCAAAAAGCTCAATTGCACCATTGACCGTGTAAATGGTGTCATTGAGACAAACCGGCCAGACGATAAGAACAAGCAATACCAGGATGTTGTAAAGCAGGGAGATCAGTTGCTTACCAAGCTGCAAAAGTTCGGTCAAGCTGTCAGGTTGAGGGGTAGCGAAAGAGCCTAGATTAGATCATAGATCACGTTGTACTTATTTGGGGATTTTGATAGCGAATATCAAGCATTTGCTCTTTACAGCCTGAATCAATACATTAGGATGTTTGTAAAAAGGGAAGGAAGGTGCTGGTGTGTTGAAGTAAGAGCTATTAAAAGGTATTGTTAAGTTACCTTTGGCTCTGTTAATCTTATTAGATCCAATTCATCCTTCATTAAAAATCCGGCTCTAGCTAGTATTAGCAATTAGAGAAACGAAATACTGCGGTAGTGGGCAATGGAATCAGCTTGTGCTACTTCTTAAGATAAGATTTATGCCTACCTATACTGAATTAGTAAATATATATATCATGTTGAGGGGATGTATCTAAAGCTACTCTCCAAATGATGTTCATGTTAAGAGGATACGTGACTTACATCAGAGCATCACAGCCATTTTAAGCTTAATGCTCACTAATATCAATATAAACTTATCATATCAATGGCCTCTTTTTTTTACTCTTTTTTTGGATGGAATTGCCATGGCCGAGCACGCGACGTTACCCACATTAAGACTATAGATAATATGATATTTCCCAATGAGTCTTTGGGAGATACAGGCAGTTGTATGTTAATGCTTAACTTTATTGAAATCTACGATTGTCGAATACTGTTGATCTGTCGCTACTTGTAGATACCAATGCAGTATACCTCAAAAAGCATCATGGAAGAAATAAGAAGTTGATAAGGTTCCTAGTCGATCATGAACACTTTAGATATTGCTGTAGCATGCAAGGGCCCTCTAGCTCCGCGTTCCAGCTATATGTACCAGCTCCCAAATATGATCTTTTGGGGTCAGAATCGTATAAAGAGGCCTCGAGGCCCAATTGAAACTTTGGCGATTAAATCTTCTTTCTGGAGGTATGTTCAAAAGAAAATAAAGTTTTAAACTCTATGTAGTTTTCGCTAACCTACTCCAACCACTTCTCAAACCCGGGCCCTTTCCTCTATGTATTGTGATTTTCCGGGTAGGGACAGAACCCTCAATTGTGATAAAACGAGCCCCTTCTATCAGCTATATCTACGCAGATGTAAACTTCGTCTGCTCACTCAAACTCTCTGCTCGGTGGCTCTTCTCTGATGCATAGTATGCCCATGCCTTCAAGCTCTCACTCTTGTCTCTTTTACCATCTGAACCAAGGCCGTTACAGCCACGCTGATTAAGTATTACCTGTCAGTTTATATTCCGGGTCCGATACTCGCGCGTTAATTAAGTCCTGAGAAATTTTGTGAGGTCGTTGCTACCAAGAATTCTCAGAACTTAATTAACGCATGAGTAAATACCATACCAAATTCTATTAGCTATGCGATTCCGAGGACACCTAATACTAAGCTCCTTAAAGGAAGGCGGTTTCGGCTCGAGAGCTACATTCCTTGCCACTTAAGGCTCCAATCTAAACCTTATTTAAGGCATAGCGCTCTAGACCAAAGTCCTGCCTCCCAGTGCATTCGAGCCGTATTTCCCATCACCATATCAGGGTTACTTTGGTACTATCCTCACTAAGTGTATCAAGGCCGTCTAATTCTAGAATACGAGGGACTTCAAGATACACCATACAGCCAATTGCAAGTATAGTACCAATACCACCCCAGTTTAAGCTAGCAGATCGAAGTGGTCTCCATCCATCTTCGTTTTTGGGTAGCACCAGCATCCCAGAAGTACGCGCTTCCCGAACAAACCACCGAAATAAGGCCGTCAAAACTGGCTCTATTATCCCGAGGATTGTCCGTTATCGTATCCACCACCCCTCCGGTGGTATCATCCTCTGCTGAAACGCGTGAGCGTGTTGATCTTGAACGGATGGATGAAATAGCGACTAGCTGCTGAAAACAAACCCCGACAAATTTGGAAGTTTCGACGCCGCGCCTGGAATAGGCATGGATTTGGAAATCTGTTCTCGGAAGATCGCTTGCTTGCCGACAGCGGGGAGGTATCCAACATTATCCACGCCCACGTGGCAGGCCCTACTATTACTGCGAAGTATAAGACTATAACCGGTAAAGTGTGCCTATAGTTGAATTCGCGGTATCATGGAGGGGTTTTGAATTAATGGAATTATGAGTTCGGACGTCCGATCTGCGGTCCACTATGCCATACATGGATCTAATCAAGAAGCCAACCATCACCTAGACGAGTTAACTATCATTGGTGGCAGGTCACTATAAGAATGCTAAAGGAGGATGTTATTCGAGTATAAGGTTCTTTAGAGCACGTGTGGTTTCGGGAAGTTTCTCACCTACCTTAACGCTCTATCCGGCGTGTGATTATCGATGCCAAAGAACAATGTCCAGTATTGTATCTTGACGTTGTCCCGAACAAAGACCAGTGGGTGTAACTAATTACTGTAGTAGTGAGCCGTATCGACTGGTGGAGTTGGGCGGGGTGGTACGCCTGTCCGGGAGAACATGTGGAGAATATCGCAGTGAGAAGGCGGATTCGAAGTTTTTAAAGAGCGCGCGCGATTTCTAGAGAGAAGCTAGATGCCTACTGCTAAGATCGGCACTTTCGCGGCCACATCCCCTTCTCTGGACATAGTGAGAAGCACTGGCCGCCCAAACTTTTGAGGTTACAAGCTTCAAGAGGCTCGCTTTAATATTACCAACATTATTAACGGAGCACTGGACTTGTTTCCTAGATATGGCCTAGTAAAACAACTAGGCACGAAGTCAAAAGAGTAGATGACTAATCAAATATTACACGGCCATCTCAGGATTAGTCTGTAGATCTGACAGCGCTAGCCCAAAATGTTGGTTACTACAGACCTCCCTATGCACGGAATTCACCAAGATATCTTTAGCGTACCGGACATCCCCTATTTATTTCGCAATCCGAATCCCCCGGCGAGCATTCTGGAAGTTCTCCGGGTTAGATGTTTTCCTCGGCAAATACCGTCCCGGTCTACGGATGCCCGAAACGTTGCGGTATGATATAGGTGGCTTTTTTTGCTTTCTTTGAGTGGCTGAGAATAATGTAAATCGCCAGCACGGGATATCGCAATACAAAACCGAAACCGAAACCGAAACATACGGACAAGAACTTCTAGGGCTTACACTCACATACGGCACATTTCGGTTGGCCAAGCGTGACTCGGGAATAACACGAAGGAAATAGAGTCTTTCAACAAGGCAAATGATTTCTCTTTCTCTTAGGAGTGATGATTTGTGTTTTGTGTTCAATATATCACGCCAGCGACATGGTTGGCCGACCTCATACCCCTGAATTACGGGGATCTTGATACATCCTTAAGTACCCCGAGTACAACTCAGTTAGTCTAAGGGGTAGCGAAAAATCAAGCTCTTCCAACCTGTAGATCGGGAGCTTGCGTTTCTCTTGGAGGCGCCTTGTCGGTGAATGTTCACCCTGGAGTCATCAGCTTGGCAACGGATTTCTCCAGTTCACGGGGATCAATGAAAAACCCTGGTGTGTATTCATGTCGTTCGTCTCCCCTCTGGATGGGAGGTTGTTGTTGATATCGGCAAACTTATTTGTCATAACACTTCGGTATGTGCCGTAAAAGCTGGGGTAAAATGGGGGATCTCAAGGAGATAGATTGTGTCAAGAACATGATTTCCTCTACCTTAAGCCTTACGTTACCAAGATAGCTTTTGGTTATCATACAGTGCGTACATCTGCAGTTATAATTCCGTGAAGGCCCTGGATAGGAGATAAGGCCGACCCGTGGATCACAGGGAAGAAGAAAATTTTTCTCGACCTCCAACTCCCATCCGATCCCACTACGCTTCAGATTCCCGAGCCGCCATGCAATGCGCTGCAGTACGAGTCATGTGATTCGGGTGATATCCTATGATCTCAGTTGCTTGACGATCCTAGAGGAAACAAGAAAGCATTCTCCGGGTCGAAACAAAACAAACAAGAGTCTGGGCTATTCTATGATATTGGTGCTAGATCGTTCTGTACGTGTACTCTACTGTCCGAGACATTTATGTCGGTCGGGTTCACAGACCTTTCCTCCGGATGTTCTATCCTTCCCCCTTCTTTTTTTTTCTTTCTTTCCTTCCTTTTATACTTCCGGCCAAACATACTTGTAGGGTGCTGGCCCCGTGAAAAAGGGCCCCCCAACTCCTAAGCTTCTCACTTCCTCCATCACCTCCCCCGCCCCCCCACCCCACGATGGCACCTCACCATCTGGCAGGGTCCGTGATCTGAATCAACTGTAGTCCTTGGTAGATCACTGCTTTTGTCTTGACATCAGTCAGTTACAAAATTACACACATAATTATATAACCGCAACTACAAAAATAAAAAAGCTTAAAAATAAAATGAGGTATGAAAATGATTCGCACATACATTTAGTGGTTGTGCACACTCCGTGAACTAAAAACGGGACAATATGGAAATAGGCTCAAAACATTGTGCAGCGTTTCTCACTTGCGCACAATTGTCTATGAAGCATGCAAGGCGTGTTGGATAAAAACATGTAACAATCCGTGGCCAGCCCAGGTGGGCGTATAGTTTTCGTCGATTATACATGCGTAAACAGACATGGATTAAGATACATGTATGTCGAGTATCATATAGATGTCTTAGGATACTACATGTATGTACATACATGTATGTGCTCTCTACCCTTGAGGCTTTAAACAAGCATTCACAGGCGAAGGTCAGTCGGTAACTTGCAGGAAACGGGGCAGTTGAAGTATCAGATATCAAAGGGCTAGTAACTACTGTAGCTTCTTAAATATGTATATTTTTTTTAGATTCTCTGTGGTTCATCCACACGATCGATTGAGTTTCTCCTAGTCTTTCCCCATCGAAAGCCATCCGGCCCAATTACCCTGTCCTACGGTGACAACCTATGAACCTTATAAACAAAAAAGAAAGTACCCCGCCTAGAGATAACTCAGAGAAAGGGTAACTTAAACCAGAATTTTTTACATATGCAAACTGAAAACAAGGAATGCGAGTGAGGAGGAGGGGAACGGGCGGTGAGAGGAATGAAAACGCATAATACGCCAACCTAGTAAAAAAATTCAAGAAAGACACCAAATCGCTTGCACATATGCAGCTAAATCAAGATGAAGAAACCCGAAACAATAGCAAAACGCATAAGAAAATGACTCGGTCTCGCAGACCAACGCTGCATAAAAAATGAGCAGCCCAATAATATACCGGATTTCATGATAGACGTGAAGTTAAAGAGAATATAGCCACAAAAGAAGAGGAAAACCATGCGCCGCCAACCCTGATGAAAATAAAAAAAAAAAAAAAGAGAGAGATTTTAAGGAAAGCGAAGAATTTCGATGGATGACCGCTGTAGTTCATGCTACAGGGACGACAGTAGGAAAAGAAAATAGACATGTGAAATAGTATAATAAAAATAAAAAAAATAAACTCGATTCCAAGCGCCAATCGCTTGTATCACCGACTCCCTCCAGTGATTCTTCGCCAAAGTCGTTTCAGCCCTGAATCCGAATCCTTCCCTGCATTTCCCCAATCGAATTGCCCGGCGTCAGAATCACTCACTGGAGGTAATTCTTCAAGCGCCAGAGGGTCGGTATCCTTTTTCCATCCGTACAGCTCATTTTCATCCGCTCGCAAATCCTTCCTTGTGAGCGTCATTCTCAAAGTCATCTCCCTGTTGCCGGGCTCGGCGTGCAGGTAAGGATCGAACAGAGAGCCATTGTTCATGCGCGAAGGCAGAATATTTGTACCCATCAATGGCTCACCAAATTCACTAAATTTATTGTCCCTAAGTTTGTGATAGGCAAGCAACTCATTCTGCGCCGAAGATGTCTCAGTATCGTCGAAGTTGTCGAAGAGGGGACTATCGAGGGTTGAATAATCATCAAGCCCGGGTTCTACCCTGCGAATAGTTGCCGAAGTGTTTGGTCGGCACTTGAAAAAGTCCTTGCATCCTGTTGCTGAGGGGAAACCAAACTCAATAGCCTCATCAAATTTCTGTGGAGATGCAAGGTAAACACGGAGTTTCAGTCGCGCTTCTGGGTCTTGATAGTACGCCGCATCTTTATCGACCGAATGAATACTTCTCTGTCTAGAACCGCCCATACTGTGCGACGCTGGACGACGGGCTGATCCTAGCGACGGCCGGCTGGGAGAAGATGAATGCGATGAAGGTGCTCTATATGGTCTTGAAGACAATGACATTGCCCTCTGGATAGAAGGCTTCCCCAAGGGTTTTGCTACTGTATCGCTTGATACTTGGCTGTAAAACTCATCCAACCGCAAATCCAAGGTACCATCTTCCTCCATCCACCTAAAAGACTTCCTAATTTCTTCCACTGCATTCATCCCATCCAAGTCCAGGGATGATGCTCGGGATGTTGAACTTGATGACAAGCTGTTTAAGGTATCTAGGCTCCGGTTTGCCTGTCGTCCAATCCTGTAGATAGTTTCATCTGCTGCATCCACAATTATGCTCTCGCACTTGCTTGCTAACAAGATACGTTCCTCTCTCGAGAAGTGCTTCCTCCTAATAGTCTCGGGAAGCTCGAGATACCACTTAGCATCTGCTTGTGACAAAATGAACTCGTCGGCTGTTGTACCAGGCGGCCTGTTTAATATAAAATTCGATGCTTGAGGCAGTGAGGAGTTGCTTCGAAAGCTATCGAAGGATGGCCTGGCCCTTGATTTTGGCTTGTTGTGCTTTGCGCTGTGTGAGCTCTGGCTTCTACCATGGCTAGAAGGTGGTAATGAGGAACCAGTGTGTTGCTGCTGTGCATAACGAAGTCTTTCAAGCGACGAAAAGTACTGCACAAACGAATCGTTAGATCGAGATCCTCAGTAGAAACCTGTACAATTGGATCTTGGCCAGAATAGGAGCTAAATTTCAATGAAACAATATTAAAATATTATTTTTGGACTTACTTTACGTCGAACAGCAGGCGGTAGGTTGTCGAAATCAACAGGATCCATTGCGGGAATAGGTGCCCTCATCTTCATTTCTGGATTGTTTGAACTTATTCCAGCAGTACAGCACGATACACGTTTGAATGTAGGACGAGGACCTTCGTCTGATGAAGAAGAACCGTCGTAGAGAGAACGCCTTTTGGAGATCTTACGAGTCACTGCCGGGGTATGATGCCTCGGTGGGCGAGCAGGATGTGATATAACTGGGCGTGCAGAAGGCATTTTTGTGGGAGATGCACGTATTGTGTATTTTTGATATCCCTCTCTCGTAAAATGGTGGGTGTGGGTGGGTGGGTGGGTGGGTGGGATGAGAAGGAGGGATGAGGAGAAGGAAGTAATGTTGGATGATGATCGGATATCAGACTGATAGACGCTGGAGCTTACTAGTATGGTTTGACTTGCAGTTGAGGGGGGGGAGTGAAGATCAGTAGCTGTTGCTTCTTTTCTTGCGTATCCAAGGACAGACAGGCTCCAATCTGCATCAGAGTGTTCCTCCTTTGCTGCTGCCTGGTGTTAGTTACTGCTTGGTACCGTCCCGTTTATGGTCAGATGCTGCTCTGCTGGTTTCCCCAAACTTGAATCGAAGAACGCCAGTGCCCTATCCCAAGGAATTGGAAACGGGAAGGGAGAGGGGGAGTAAGTAGGTGAGATATGGGTTATTCTCGCCACGACTGGAGGAATGGGAATGAGATGGGATACGGCCTGCAGGAGCAGAAGACGTTCCTGTGCTCACTCCGTAGTGTCCCGTTGGTTGAGTTGAGCTGTAGGTAATAGTAATGCAGAGTAGTACGCTTGGCTGCTGCCGAGTTCCCTTCTTGACACTGGGACTGGTGGTGTAGGTGGTGGTGGTGGTTGTGGAGGTGCTGCCTGCTGCCTTCTGCTTTCTGTCTGTCTTTCCCACCCCGGTATGTATGTACCGGTACCAGATAGAAAACCCAACTCGATGTGTAGGGAGGTAGCGTAAAATGGCTAGCTATGTCTGTCTGTACATGACAGTATGTATGAGATGTCCGTCTCGGGGGCATTACCACAGTGCTCTCGGCTGAGACACTCCGTTGAACGTCAGGGCCCACCTGCCAGCGAGTGCAATTTTCTGCATCGTTTTGATTTGTTCGTGACGCAAACGCCCTGCACGATGCGGGACCGAGCCAAACATCGCGCACAACGCCCACACTGGTGACCTGTCGTCCCACAGCTCGCTTGTTCAGACTCCAGGTTGGTTAACCCGGCAACTCCCCAGGCAGAGTAAAGCACTAAGGGCTCGTACCTGAGGCTAGATCAGGTATGTACCTTGGGGCATTAACATGGAGTACTCTAAAGGTATGGAGTGGAGGTAGCTATCTCGACAGGCAAGGGGACCCCCCTCTTCCCCATAAGACCCGGGGAACTATTTTCCTTTAATTCCGAATTCTACAAGACGCATAGCCGATGGGACTCTGCTCTAGAGTACCTACATGTTTTCATTGCCGTACTCTACGCACATACAGCAAAGTACTATTAGTAGGCACGACACCTGCCCCAACAGGAATGTGTATCTGTAGCCTGTAGGTAGAGCACATACTCTATGTGTGTAGGTACAACCAAGCACTCAATTGGTAAAACAAAATCGCCAGAATCAATTTTTCCAGGCTCTTAGCCAACAATTGCTGCGAGATTCCCTTCGAAATAAGTAAATAAGTATACGCAGCGTGTATCTGTATGGGGGATTGTGGAACGTTAGAGCGCGAATCACAGTGGTGCTGCCGTCTATCACTAACTACATTAGTCTAGCAGTCCTAAATTTGGGCAGGGGTAAACTACCAGGTATACTAATTGAGTAAAGTGGGGTGTGTTGAGATGCAGTTTAGGTCAGGGGCACGACTGGCTCGTGCGCATACAGAAAGTAATCCGTCAACGACGGCGGTGCGCAAGCCGCCAGCGTTAATTGTTCCTATTTTTTGATTCCTCAACGACAGGAGGATGGTTCTGAAAATTCAAAAAAAAAGGCTGAAATGATGTCTGGCAGTATGTGTCCTGTGCACAGTACCGCGCATATAGGTATATATTTCACCAAAGGCGGCACTGAAGTTATCATGCGTATGTATGTTCTAGATATCTGATAATATTTTTTGTTTAAGCACCTTATCTAGATCTCCCTGGTCCATACTGTAATCACCACAAAGTACATGAAGTAAGGCTATAGGTTCTATCTCCTACTTCCCTTACCTACAATGCAATGGGTACTATTGCAATTATTGACAAAGGCATAGAGATATTCACCACCATGGCCACATAGGCCCTATGTATGCATCATGGCATCACTGACTCCGGCTTCTGGATGTTCCTTCCCCCCCCCCCCCCCCCCCGGTCAATTTTTGCGCATATGTTTACTCAATTTGGTGTAGAAGTCTCGACTTTATCGGCGCCGATATACCCAGCCCTAGACCATCCCAAAGCTTTGAACACTTTCGCGTTTGGACCGGGGTTTCGACACTAGGAACAAACAGATCCCCACTGTAGAGCCTTAGTTTTATTAGGCATCATGCCACTTTCAAAACTCCTCATCTCCACGACTGAATTTGCGGTGGAACCGAGAGAATCCCATTCCCACTTTCTTCCACAACCTCGTTCAGTGAGTGTAGCCATGCAATAAAAGCCACGCCGCCGCCGCAAGTTATAAAATGTCTCAAGGCTCAACTTTCCCCCATAATACCATGGATGGTGCTTACATAGCCACGTTTTTGCCTGCAAGGCTAGCTCGGCTGCAAAAAGGGAAGGGAGGTGGGAAAATTGTTTCGTTTTGAGATATGGCGCGGAAACATTTTTCGTCATGAAGCATGATCTTGATTCGATGCTGCCGCCGGACCCAAATTGATATTGTTACAGCACTTTTACTGTTGGCAGCAATTGAACCCCGCAATTCATATCCTAACCAGCTTCGATTACTTTCGGTGAACCTGTTTTCGAGGTCAATAGGGCGAGCGCCTAAACCAACCAACAGGAGGCCTTCCCCTCACAGCCCTATAAACAGGAGATCACTCCCTTGACAAATCTGGAGGTTCGACCAACCACATGAAAAGTGTGCCTTGAAATCAAGACGCGTTTTTTATTCCTGACAGCTATGAGGGGCATCTGCATTATCTGTGATCTGCCCAATTAAAAACCTGGCCGATTGGTTTCCGGGGAATCATAATCTCGGGGCTCGTGTCGAGATTCGAGCATGAGCGAAGAAGCAAACAAACAAATAAACAAATTAATACTAACTGGATGAACTCTCGCTTTTTCTCGAAATACTCCCCCACCATGAGGATCCTAGGAACTACTACCCACATAGGCATCATCATGCGAGAGCTGAACATGCTTAAGGTACGGACTCAAAGAGAGATCCGCCGAAACACCCCTAAAATGGTTGTCTCAACCCCACGTGAGCACGTTGGCTATTCGTGATGCGTTGATACGTGACTTTTCGGGAAGAATAGGTCGATCCTTGCTCTTTTCCTTCACTCTACAATAAAGAAGCCTAAGCCCCTGCAGTAAAAAGCTCACGAAATATTCCGGCGATAAGCGACCATCTTTTTGCTGGCGGTGACCGCAAAAATACCCCCTTAAAGAACAGGGAGGATGAATATTCAAGAACATGCTACGCCGTAGCCTGGTACCTGCTTAACCTAGGAAGGCCCCTGTATAAGTGCGTTTTTCGCGGTGAATGTAAGATTTACAGTAAACGTCACAGCCGTTTGAAAAAGTTAATTACGGATTGTGTAAAGGCTGATATGGCTTTTTTGTAGCACTCATTGAAGATCTTAGCATATACGAATTTTGGCCCCAAATTTGGCCTGCTTTGAAACAAATGTGTCGCTGATCATGGGTCATCGATGGATGGATCGTGCTACGTCTTCTGGCGGCTAACTCGTATGTATGGCGCTATTCAGATAGGTAGAAAGGTAGATAACTCTACATTTATCATTGACTCAGATATTACAGGTTTAGAGGTCTTTTTTTTTCTTTCTCTTCCTTGTCTTACACCTGGGACCTACCGGTGCTCCAATTATTGATCATTCCCTATCTACCTAGTGCCTCGGTATCCCGTAATATCACCGCTCTCCAGTGTCATGGCGCCGGGTACACGTGAGCATAATTTTTAGTTGCTAGATGGTTTTGGACAAGATGTGGAGCCTTAAGAAACGACGAGCCATCTGAGACTTTCCCAACAATCATTTTGACCTTGGTACTCTATCACTACATGATGTTCCCGTTCGCTAGCAGTATTTACCTCCGATTTCCCCGCTCTTGGATTTCTAAAAGATTTACTAGCATCGAGGCGATGTAAGCCACGATATGCTGTGTAATGGGTTCTTCCATTGGGACGCTGATATTACCTAGGTAAAAGTTAGTTATGCGCACAGACCGACAATGGCGACAATTATCTAGACATATAATTTGACGAAATAACTGCTAATCGGCGGTATCTACCCAGAATACTTGGGTTTATGTGTATTGGGCCTTTAGCTCCGGATCGACGGGTACCAAGAGCTGTCCGTGATATGGGTTCGGTGGGAGGCTCTTGAGAAGATCATAGCTGCACGGTCGTATGACCTGCCTGATACAAGTCAAGATTATGGTGCACAGCAAGACATATGAGACTCGAATGGTTGGTAGTTGATGCATAACTTTAGAGTGAAGAGGGTCATCTTGGAAATCTGTGCATGTGTGGTCTCAGGATGGAGATGGTGCAGCTGCAGCCGCCCGATTAGTAACAAAAAGTATCGTGCAGAAGACCTCGCAGAAAAAAAAATGCGGGATGATGTAGGTAAGTTCCTTAGCTGCAAGTGTTTCAAACGGCCTCCCTAACTGTTTGGTTGCTCAAAAGTTAATCGTGAGAAAATGCGAGTGATAATCTGTGAATCTATATATATGGAGGATTTATTGCTTCGTCATGCGAGCTGTAAACCTGTTGGTACGACTTCTGTGCCCCATCATCTACATATGCAGTGGTTTATATCCAACGGGAATCGGTACTTTATTATACGTCTTTGCAGTTAGTATCCCGACTCTACCGATACGCTGCGAAATCTAGGACGATCTGTTATCTGGATTTTTCACATTAGCATATGTATCTTCGCAGCATCATGTAGGTACATATGTATGACCGTGCTCCATACAGTGTGATGGGGCCTTCGAGTGACTGCCATGTGTTGCCTATCGATCTTTTCGCAAGTTGCTGGTAGTTGATGCGATTTTGGTACCTTTCCTAGTCTGGGGGCCATCTATCCAAATTTGTGCGCCGAGGTTGTAGGATCAATTAAGTGATACGTAAAGTCTCTTTTGAGGACGTGCATAATTTTGGGAGTCATTTTACTAAGTTACCCCGTGGGTCTAGTAGGTTACTTGGCACCCTGAGACTGGCCTTCTTGATGGGAAACACCGCTTGAAAACCTAGACCTGTGTAGAACTTAATCACCGACCCCGAGGGACAAATTAGGCAGTAACATGATTCGAGTGATAATAAACGGATAATAAACCTAATTTTAAAACTACCGACTCCCTATCTAAGTTTTTGCACAACATCGCTCTGGGTCTCGACCTGAAGAGTTTCTAGAGTACTCAAAGGAGGACTAGCGATCTGCAATTGTGCGCATCAGTACTAGTGCTATCGTGACCTTACTTGATTTACTTGGCAACATAGATTGTCTTTATCGGTAGCACCGACACCCAAGCAAACCCCACCCACCACCAGCTCCGACTGCCTATAGAATCACTCTGTACATTTACTCCGCAATCATGAGCGATCTTATCCACGGACTGACCAGCATCGAAGTCGCAGAACTTACAAAGCGGACCATTGCAGCTAAAGACGTCGCATACTGTAGGTGTCTTTTGTACTGCTGTTGCTGCCGTGGTTAAGCTTCACGGCAGCTTTCTCGGAAGCCATGTTGATATAAGTCCTTCCGAACCTAGGTCCGTACTCAAACTTCCAGGTCGGTTGCGCTCTGCTTTGCGATGATGGCTCGTGGGTCATTGGTGCCAACATTGAGAATGCCTCATACCCGGTCACCATCTGCGCCGAGAGGGTGGCTCTGGCAAAAGCGATTGTAGGTTCAAACTTGAGATTTGCAGAACGCCTTGGCCTGATACTGACATGAAGCGAGGGGAGTTGTAGACAGAGGGGAAGAAGAAGTATAGGGCAATTGGTGTAGCCACAAACATTACCCCACCAGCATCACCATGCGGTACGTACGAGGCTCTACTTTTGAAATTTTCACGCTTGGAACTACACAAAAAGTCTTAATCTAATCGGATCAATAGGAATGTGCCGTCAATTCATTCGTGAATTTGTGAGTCTTGAGACGCCTATTTTCATGTACGACAAGAACGCAGAATACGTGGTCAGGACACTAGAGCAGGTGAGAATAAAAGAAGAAGTCATAATCACTCCTGGAAGTTTTTAGAATCATACACTGACAAACTCCTTTCACTTTGTCGTCGTCAGCTCCTGCCTATGTCGTTTGGCCCCGATGATCTCAACCATGCTTCGGAGCTCCCCGGCCATAGCGATAAGAAATAAGTACAGAAATTAGAGTACTTTACAGCTTGGACCATTTGATGATATTGTAGCGACGTCGTTTATATAAAACATCCCATTTATGTATTTAGGGTAAAAATGATTCCTAGTTAAACTTGTCTGCCTAAAGTTTTGGGTCTTCGCTTTCGAACAGATTCTTGAAAGCTTGTCCAACTTCCAACGAAAGATCGAAAGCTTGTAGAGCCCTCCCCTTTTTCTCATACGCCAGCCGTGAACAATTTCTTGTCATGGCTGAAGCACCAAATGCTGACAATGCAATCAATTCAGAATCAGATAAAGAGTTGTCATGTCTAATATAAAAAAAATCCCGTCAATACTTGAAATAACCGGGAGTATGTGGGTCGTTTACTTACTTCCAAAGTCTATCTTGATATGCCTTTTTCCAAGCCAGAAAAGTAACCAAACATCCTGTCAACGTATCGCCTTGACCTCCACTTCTTTTCAATCCCCCCTTGAGATCGCAGACCATTGTATGTTTCCCATTGGATATATAATCCTTCGACCCTTTCTGGATAATAGTAACCCCCCCAAACGCCTTGGCAAGCCTTGAACAGACTTCCGTCTCGTCACCATGAGAAGGCTCGATCTTCATGGTTTTACACAGTCGCTCAAACTCGGCTTTGTTCGGTGTTAAGATTGCGTGTGTATAATTTTGGACTACCGACGGATGATTCTGGACTAGGAAAAGTCCATCCTACCGCAAACTGAGTATCATTTACTGCTGGAACAAACTAGGATACTTACGGCATCTACAACAAAAGGCATTCCTTTCTTCTTCGCTGCTTCTATGATCAATTTGGCCGTATCTTGCATCAAAGAGTCTCTCCCTAACCCTGGTCCAATGACGATAGCATGAAGCCGGTCCAGCATTTCCTCAATCTTGGTGCTAATCTCCTCGGCCGTATCTGTCCCTTTCTCGCGGTGATGCGACTGCCGCATGTAAGGATGTACCATGATATTAGGAGAATATGCTTTGATCACCTAAGGAAAAGTTATATGTCAGAAGGTAGTTTTGAATTTTAAGATATGAGAATATCACTTGAGCAGCTTGAGGTTCGCATATAACGTGGGACATATCCGCGCCTGTAATTCAAAATTTAGCTAAGATCACCAGTGGTCAGTTCTGTGTGTAATACATGTACCCACCCATCAACGCAGACGCATTTGCAGAGAAAAACGGCGCGCCCGTGTAGCTAAATTTGGCAAGTAAGCTGTTGTGACAAAGTCAACGAAAGTAAGGGTTTCGAAAACTAACTCTTCAGAACCACCAATTACGGCAACTCTTCCCTGCTGTCCTACGATAGGTGAGATTTATTGACCTCCTGTGTTTTGATTTTTACTTATGGACGAAAGATAAAACCTTTGTGCATTGTTTCCAATAGAGGAGGAATGAACTTCCTCACCCTCATGAGGAGCTCTTTGGGCGTTGGTGTAGGAAGTGGTGGCATTTTTGCTGGTGTTTAGAGGAATCGAGGAAATTGGTATCTGATAGCTTCAAGTCAATGAGGTTTGTGGTGAGGTTTGAGAAAGAAGGTTTGTTGTTTGGTTCTGCTTATTGCTTCACGGAAACGGCGTCAGTATGACGTAGGGACCTGTGCGGGGTGTTCCGATTATCACGTGAGAGCATTTACAGTGAATCATAGAATATCACTCGATATCTGTTTGGTGTTGTGTTTGAATTAGCGATTTTGATAGGCCTACATGTAGTTTATTGGCTGGGACAAGGAAATATTCTTTACCCTATATGTGATTGTAAGTTTGCAATTTGATAAGCTCAGTTAGGATGTGTATGCGTATTTCAGGCACGAGCTTAATCCAGTAGTATCTACTGATAAGAGGCTTTAAATGATATTTAATGAGCATTCTATATGCATTCAAAAGAATGCAGATTTTAGTAGACGTACTTTAGTGGCTTGAGAGTTTGACTAGTTTTTGGTGCCACGCATATATCCGATCCCATTTATTTTCAAGGGTTCTTGCAAGCTTCTAGATATTCGATGTATTCGCAACTCAGACCAAGCGTACTTAGTGAGTATGAATGTCGTATTAAAAGCTATCTTATTCCTTTGAAGTCAGGAATCAGGAATGACGCTCATCCCTGTGTAACTGTGATGGCTTTAATCAAGAGAATATACCCGTTGACAAGGATTGGGAGAAAGATGTCCTGCGTTTGCAATCTCAGTGGCCTAAGGCATCACAAGCCACATTAATTATTTGACGATCTTCTAGATCTACCGACTGAATCCTGTTTGCACCCATCTCCCAAGAGCGCATTTTGGTCATTTGCCATAGAACCTGTAGCTAATCTTCTAGAATGCCAAGAATTAATTAAGTGAGCTGCCGATCACTGACGCAGGGCTACGGCAGGATCAACAACTTATAACTAGTATCGCGGGTATTCAACATTCGAAAATCCTGCAGCCGGGTTCTATGACGTTTATCACTCAAGGTTACTTTCAATGTGATTGAACACAGTAGATCTATATAATAGGCCGGAATCTGACCCTCATCCCGACCTCTTTTGTCCTACATCTTCCCAGAAACCTTTGCAATACAATACTGCATCCAATCTTATCGCAACTACAAATATACCTTTACTTTTATCTCAAATCATAATCAACAACATGCCTTTGACTACCCGTCGCGCACATGCTACTCGTAGCACTACTGTTGCTAGAAAGCCATCTTTAATGTACCGCCTTACACACCCTGCGGGAACCAGAACAGTAGGGACCAGGTCAACAGCGGGGACTAGAGCGACCCGCAGAAGAACCAAGGCTACTGGTCCAGCCCCAGTATCGACCCATCGTCGTGCTCGCACGAAGCCTACCCTTGGTGCTAGGATTCATGGTTTGTTACATAACTTTATTTAGTATCAAAGCTCTACGTACTAACATTAGAAAAGGTATGGCAAAGAAAGTTGCTGGAACTCTTACAGGGTCCAGGACCAAGAAAGCTCAGGTAGGCACTCCCCTAATCAGCTAATCAGGTTGTATCTTTATTATTCCTTGCTAACAAGCTGCTAGGGAAACGCAATGGTGAACGGTAGAACTCCCGGATCTCGCCGCAGGAGACATTTGTAAATTTTCTAGTAGCCGAGTTACTAGAGTCGAGACTAGACATTAATTGCAACATGGCCTGCAACAACTTCCGAATTTCTTATCTTCATTATCTTTTACACTGGTCTTTTCTTCTCTTCTTGGTAATAGTTTGTTCTCATTTGTATTTGTACGATTATGTAGTTTTATAACGAATCAATGAATCACGAGAAATCCTCTATAACCTATAATACATGCAGTAACGGTAACTCTATGATTATGGTTAATGATATTTGGAGCTCAGGCCAATCCCGCACCATGAATACATGTATCTACAGTACTAGCAGTAACGGCAACGGCCGTCGCCGAAGGTCATCTGTCCTATATGTATGTACATGTATTTAGAGCAGAGTGCTTTACTTACACAAGTACACACATGGGTATGCCAGAATCTCGGGAAACCCCTACAAACCAGATCGGCTACAGGCGCCTCATAGCTGATACTGCGCTACAGGATATATTTTTCGCTTCTGGTACGCATTCAATCCCACAGTGACAGACGGTACATACTGTATGTAGGTACAGGTACTACATGTTCTACATACATATTCTCTTGGTTTCACCTCGTTTTCTAGTTCCGTGATCTCGGCTGCTACTACTTATGGCAAACCCACCCGGCATGCGCGTGAGGTTCAAGGTATTTCAAGTTTCAAATGCCATGGACACAGTTGGTTTGTGGTTTAACAAAGAACTAGGTGTCTCAGACACTTTGTTTAGTATCTCGCTCAAATATCTTGAGCTTCATCAGCACCCTTATAATTATCCTCGAACACTACCGTAGGTACAATATTTCCAGAGATCGAAGACAGGTCTGATGACCACTATCCAGTGATGTACCGTGATACTAGCTAGGAAGCACTGTAGCTATCAACCCCATCCATGTAGGTACAGTGTAGTTACTTATCGGTGCCCCACCATTTTTCCGGGCGGGGCCACTTGGCGCCGACTCGAGAAACGAATCAAAAGACGGTGACCTAGTCTTCATCTCTGGGGATATTCCCCGCAGGTACAGATCCGTACACCTACTTGAAGTACCTCCTCCTACATAAGCTTTCGACGTTCCACATTGCACAGAAGCAGCCCAGCTTCTACCTCCCCCTCTTGACATTACACCGCCGTAGAGTCCGATTGCATCTTCATCCCCAATTCCCCAATCATTTATCGTAACTTGCCTTTTCTAAAAAGGACCGTCCTCAGCAATGCCATCTCCCGACAATGTACCTTTGGTGGCTTCCCCGGACGGCTCGGAAATAGATGAGGATGCATCCATGCATCGTGAAACATCCACTGATGGTGGGAGTATCGACCAAGCGAATAATGATGGGGTTCTTTCATCGTCGCCCGAAGATGATCACGCGGAAAGAAATTATAACGGCGGGAGGGATGGGGAGAGAAAATCTGCTTTTTTTGACTACAAACAAGAAAAAATATTGAAGCAAACAGATGCGAAGCTGTTTTACCAACCGCAGCAACCAGGGGGCAGTGGGTGGAATTCACCTATAATGCGAGCTTCGACCTGGGGTGGTGGAGGGAATGTAAGTAGAGCCGCTAGCGTCAAATCAATCAACTCTTCATACCAACACCCTAACCCGCATTCACACGGACATCAATATTTGGGACCGGCAGCAGGAGCAACGATTGGATCCAGTGTCGCAGGTGCCAGAGGTATGGGTGCACCAGTAGCTCCAGTGGGATTGGCCTCCCTCGATAAGCCCAAGGAGCACGAAGGTATACAGGTACCAGAGATGAGCCGTTTTGACCCTCACGGCGTCATATCAAGTGCCCAAGATCTGGCACAGCCGCATGACATTGCTTCTTCGCATGGAGAGGCCCCAAGTGCTCCAAAGGGATCATATGTAAACAGTAGGTACCCTTGGATCAAGTATCCAGTATTCCAATTTCAACCAGGGGACAATATCAGTAACTCGCTTTCAACTGAAATAGAAGATCCTGTACTTTCTAACGAGCTTACAACTATCTATACCAATGTGCAAAAGATCTTGGACCTTCGCCATAAGTATTTGCGGGTTTCCCTCCAAGGCCACGCCGATAATCCTAAAGACGACCCTAGCTGGAAGATTTACCCACCCCCACCAGCTCCTGTCTGGGTTGAAGATGCACAACGTCCTTCGACTGCTCAAGGCGAAGGTTCTAGCAACACTAACTGGGGTACTAGTAGTGGGGAGTTGAGACCAAGAGCTGAGAATGAGAAGAAGGGAAGAAAACCAGGGCACAATATCGGGGAAGACTTTGTGCTTGAAGAGTGTGAAGTCCCTACGGAAGATGAGATGGAATTTAAGCTTGATGATCAAGGCGTATACCAGGTGTATGAAAACAAGAAAGGTATTCATCGAGCTTCTCATGATGTAAACTTGGGCCGTAGATCTAATGTGGCATTAAAAACAGCGCTTGATGTTGGCATGCCAATTATTGCTATTCCAACGCTCCGAGAGTACTATATGGATCTGGATCAAGTACTTGACATTTCCAGTGATGGCCCAAGTAAAAGTTTTGCCTTTAGGAGATTGCAGTATCTGGAGGGGAAATGGAACTTGTACATCTTGCTGAACGAGCATCAGGAAATGGCCGATTCGAAGGTAAGGGACTTTTCGGCTGAGAATCAATAGTTTCAATCCTGACATTAATGTCAATTGCTAAACTTTTGGATAGAGGGTGCCACACAGAGACTTTTACAATGTCAGAAAGGTCGATACGCACGTTCATCACTCGGCCTGCATGAACCAGAAGCATCTTTTGCGTTTCATCAAACATAAGATGAAGAAGAGCCCTGACGTTAGTTGAAATCTCACTATTGGTATCGTTCTAAGTGCTGATTTATCATTGTAGGAGGTTGTGTTGTTCAGAGATGGAAAACATTTGACCTTGGCGGAGGTGTTCCAAAGTATCAATTTGACTGCCTACGATCTCAGTATTGATACCTTGGATATGCATGTTAGTAAAAAATACTTGGATTTTTCTTACCAAATCTTTACGGCGAGGCAACTGACATTACCACAGGCTCATACAGATTCCTTTCATCGGTTTGACAAATTCAATCTGAAGTACAACCCAGTCGGCGAGTCACGTTTGAGAACCATTTTTTTGAAGACAGACAATGATATCAGGGGCCGCTACTTGGCAGAAATCACCAAGGGTATGCGTAATTTATACAACGTTCCATTTTCAGTACTAACAGTGATATTCAGAGGTTTTCGTCGATTTGGAAGCCAGCAAATACCAAATGGCTGAATACCGAATCTCAATTTATGGCCGCTCTGAGGATGAATGGGATAAACTAGCTGCATGGGTCGTAGACAACAAGCTCTTCTCCCACAACGTCCGCTGGTTGATCCAGATCCCCAGACTTTACGATATCTACAAGTCTACCAACCTCCTCAGCTCATTCGATGAACTTATTCGAAACATCTTCAAGCCTTTGTTTGAGGTTACCAAAGATCCAACTTCTCATCCAAAGCTTCACATCTTTTTACAAAGAGTTATTGGTTTCGATAGTGTAGACGACGAAAGTAAAGTAGAGAGAAGGACGTTCAAGAAGTTCCCATTCCCCTCAGCTTGGAACTTCAAGACAAACCCTCCTTACAGTTACTGGCTCTACTACCTTTTCTCCAATATTGCCTCTTTGAATGTATGGAGAAAGCAGCGCGGATTCAACACATTTGTTCTCCGGCCTCATTGTGGAGAAGCAGGAGACACAGATCATCTTGCTGCCGCGCTTCTTTGCTGCCATTCCATCAGCCACGGTATCCTGTTGCGCAAGGTCCCGCTCTTGCAGTACATCTTCTACCTTGACCGTATTGGAATTGCCATGTCCCCTCTGTCTAATAACGCACTTTTCTTGGCGTATGATAAGAATCCCTTCCTCTCGTACTTCAAGCGGGGATTGAATGTGTCGCTATCAACAGACGATCCCCTTCAGTTTGCATTTACAAAGGAGCCATTGATCGAAGAGTACTCTGTCGCCGCACAAATCTACAAGCTGAGTGCTGTTGATATGTGTGAGCTTGCCAGAAACAGTGTGCTGCAATCTGGATTTGAAGGTGCTGTCAAGGCGAGGTGGCTAGGAAACGACTTCCACCTGCCGGGTGTTGCAGGAAATATGATGGACAAATCGAATGTTCCCAACATCAGAATGGCTTTCAGGCATGAGACCCGGATGGAGGAACTTGCAATGTATGTTCCGTTCACATCATAAAGCTTACGAGACATTTTAGCTGATTTATATTTATCTAGGATCGAACGTTACACGTCCCAGGCGAGTTCCCAGAAGCCTTCCCACGCCACTTTGCCGACAAAGCTCCTACTCCCAACTTCGGCCGCACAAGGATCACGCCCTCACTCTCCCACAACAAGCATGCAAACAAACCCAACCTCTGTAGCCAACTTCTCTACTACCGCATCAATGGGAGGACGACCAGCTTTCTTCGAAGCTATTTCCCCGGGATCATCTAGGCTGAGCACATCATTTACGCCTTATGAGATTTTCCAAAACCCCATGAATACTGGCCTAAACATTGCCGGTACCGATAGAGGACAGAATAGCGTCGATGGCACTCATACTCCCACCCACCCAACCCTTTCAAGGGCCAACACTCTCGCCACCAGTACGGCGATGGAGGGTGGGGGTTCCAGGAGCCCCGGGGGGTACATTGACGGCATGAAGGATCTGCATATCAGTGGATCTGAGCCGCGTGTTTGGCCAGGGGCGTTTAGCAGACGTCAAACCGGTTTGTCGGAGAAGGAGGGAAGCATTGCCAAGGCAGAAAGGTCTGGGAGTGTCGTTGAAGAGACTCCAGACGAGGCTTAAGTTAAGGCATTGTCGATTACCAGGCGTAAGGAAATATTCTTTTATTTCATTTTTTTTTCTTGCCGTTTCTTTTTTTTACTAGGCACAGTTGTCATATCTTGCAATGTTGCGCAAGAAATACCACGAATGATCATGAACTTTCTTTTTTACCCCCATCTTTCGTTTTGGTTTGTCTGAGGTTGTTAGCATAGCATATCCGGTCCGGACGAGGTTCAAGGCGTACGTACGTAGTTGATTGGGAGAATTGGGTTTACTATTTAGAGAGTTTTTCAAGAAATAGTTACATTGATCGCGTATACACGAGTAACTGTTCATATGCACCATGTGTTAAACATAAGATTTATCCAGACCTCAGATGTGCGGAAAGAACACGTTCATTAGCAGCCTGAAAACGTGTGACTATTCACACATGCGAGTGACTATCCATGATGCCAGCCGAAAAGGCCTTCGGGACAAAATATCCCGGGATACCGATCATTTCCCCCGGAAGTCTCGGCAGCATAATTGGCAATTCTGGTTAATGAGCAAAGGGCAGATCTGCGGGTATTAATAAACATTTGCTGTTTTATACATATGTGCACCAGCATGTTCCTGCAGATGAACTTGAACAATCCTGGGTATGCATATATGGGGACATATAGCCCGAAGGGAGCACGGGCTCTTGGAAGAGCTTCCCTTGGGCCCGGCGGAGGAGGAGCTGTGTTAGTAGCATTAGCACCAGTAAGTAAAGTACCGCTTCGATAGCTAATATCCAGCTATAAAACCGTTCCCCACATCCACAATGCCAGTCCAATAACGATCCCCCAATAACACCTACCAGCAACCTACCTACCAGCCAAAATGGCACGCCTCCACCATCTCCTCCTCCTCTCTGCGCTCCCCAGCGCCCTCAGCACCCTCACCCCCTACTCGGGCCCCCCACCGGCGCACCTCACCCGCACCCCCCTGGGGTTCGCGCAGCACAGCACGGGCGGCGGCCTCCCCCCCGCCGCCAACAGCTCCTACATCGTCACCACCATGCCCTCGCTGCGCGCCGCGCTGCAGCTCCCCTCGCCAAAGACCATCTACGTGAACGGCACGCTCCACGGCAACACCATCTTCGACAACGGCACCTCGGCCGACTGCCAGTGGTACATTGACCACTCCGCGTCGCCCGCGTTCAACTTCACCATGTACGTGCTGAGCCTGAACGAGACGTATGTGGCGGCGGTGAATGCGGCCGTTGCGGCGAACGGCACGTGGGAGGGCGGGAGTGCGAGCGAGTATCGGGTGAGGCTGGGGAAGATGAATGGGTGGCGCGGGCAGGCGCAGAATGCGCAGAAGGCGTGGGAGGCGGTGGAGGTGGCGGGGGGGACGAGTTTGGTGGGGTGGGGGGAGGGGGAGGTGGAGGATGCGCTGGTGGGGGTGAATGTGAAGCTGAGTAGTGTGGATAATGTGCATGGTGAGTATTGTGCTGTACTGGAGGGTGGAGGGGAGTGGTGATAGTGAGGGAGGGCGAGTGGTTAATTGGTGTGGATTGTTGTAGTAAGGAATCTCCGTATCGTGCCGCCGCAGGACTGTTTTCCGGCGCCAGAGACGTATCCCGCGACATGGTATGTATTTAGCAAATCTGATCATTGACCACCCCAACCCAACCCAACCTTCCTATCAATGGTCCGTAGTTAACCCGCATGTAGGAACGCAAGATACGACGCAATCTCGGCCGTCACGGCGACAAACATCTGGCTCGACGGGCTGATCCTCGAGGACGGGCCCGAGGACGTGCAGCCGCAGCCATTCCTCGACGGATGGCTCGTGGACAGGTTTGATGGGCTGTTTGACGCCGAGGATGGATCGGATAACATCACCTTCTCGCACGTAAGACATCCCCCTCTCTCTGTGACTGCAGCGCAGTGTAGCTTCGAGCCCCGATGACCCCTGACCTTCTTTTGGTGCATGAGCAGAACATCGTACGCAACCACCACAAATCGCTCCTCTTCGGCGGCGGCAACAAAGAGGCCGACCGCGACCTGGGCAAGATGCGCTTCACAATCTACGGCAACCACTTCAACAACAGCGACTCGCGCAACCCGCTGATGCGCTTCGGCACCTTCCACATTGTCAACAACCTCTTTGACTCGACCAACAACAAGGCGCCGCTGTTCCCGGCCTCGAACGCCACGGACGGCGCGGACGCCGACACGGACGTGCACCCGTTCCAGTACCACCTCGGCGTGTACAACCAGAGCAGCGTGCTGGTGAGCGGGAACGTGTTCCGCCAGGAGGGCAAGCATGCGCAGGACACGAGCAGGGTGTTTACGTATAGCGATTTGACGCGCGCGGATATACCCGCGAGGCTGTGTGTGAGGCCGGATGAGGGCGGGGTCGGGGACACGTTTAATGGCGCGAGCGTGGATCTGGAGGAGGTGTCGAGGGGGATCTTTGAGTACCAGGTCGGGCTGGGGAAGGCGGTGGAGGGCGGGCTGGTGTGGGGGTGTGACGGCTTTGGGGAGACGGAGGTGGCGGGCGGGTTTGCGAGTGCGGAGGAGGTGGAGAGTTATGTGTTGGCGGAGGCAGGGAAGACGGGGGGCGATTGATGTGGAATATCTGTTTTTGTTTTTGTTAGTTTATTAGTTTTGTTATTCCCGTATTCGACCTTGATATGTGATATGGTGTTGAAGAGTGTGTGTATTTGATGCTTGACCCCCCACTCTCGCTTATCGATAAGGCCCATCCCTCTGTCTGTAATATCCTCAGCTGCACGAAATACCCCGCGGGCAACCCCACCAAAAAAAACCGTCCATAAGTGATAATACTAATAGATACCCCATTTATTCACCCAAAACCCCAATTCTCCCCCCCCCCCCCCATAGCATATCTTCAGCCATGGACGCCCGCCTGTACATGCTCAACGTCGAAAAGGACCCCACCGAGGCCACCCGCATAGCCACCCAGTCCGCAAAACGTATTATTACTTCTCATTACCACTATACCCCCCCCCCCCCCCCCACAGACAGCGCAATCCATAGTAACATACATATGCGCACTCCCCAGGTATCGAAAGCAAAGAGCTCAAGCTCCTGGACGTCGTGCAGTCGCTCGGCGAATACCTCATCGACGAGGACAGGACCGTGCGTGCCAAAGGTCTGCCCTACCATGCCCTGCCCGTCCTGCCCCTTCCAGATGATAATTGCATGATTGGTTAACTAACACCTTCCTTACAACTACAGCAATCTCCTACCTCTCCGCCGTCCTCTCATCCCTCGACCCGAAAACTCTCACCCGACAACATGGTTCGCCTCTCCCTCCCTTCCCGTACCCAAGAGCTAACCACGCAATGCCAGTGGCGGTAATCGCCCAATTCCTCTGCGACCGCCTCGACGACGAAAGCGGGCTCAAAGAAACCAGCACGGGCCTAATTGCGCTGCAGGCCATGGCGCGCTTCGGCAAGGACGAGGCCGTGGCCATCACGGAGGCGCTGTGTAAGGTGGACCTGGCGAAGCACCCGCAGGGGACGCGCTTTGTGGTGCTGACGCTGCTGAACGGGTTGATGGAGAGGCATAGGGACGGTATGTTTTTTTCCGAGCGCTCTTCATGGTAGAGTGGTAGATGGCAGGGTGCTTGCTGACTGTGGATAGCGCTGAAGAGTATGGGCGGCAAGTTCGTGACGGGGCTGGTGGACCTGGTGGGCGGGGAGAAGGATCCGAGGAATTTGATGATTGTGTTTTCGGTCGTCAAGGTTGTGCTGGTGGAGTTTGATATCGTGATGCATGTCGAGGTGAGCATAAGAAGAAGAAGAAGAAGAAGAAGAGAGATTATCCATAATACTCAAACTAACCAACACCCACCCCATCCCGCAGCTGCTATTCGACGTCGTCTACTGCTACTTCCCCATCACCTTCCGCCCGCCGCCCGACGACCCCTACGGCATCACCGCCCAAGACCTCAAGAACCGCCTCCGCGCCTGCATCTCCTCCACGCGCTACTTCGCCGCCCAAGTCTTCCCGCAGCTCATCGAAAAACTCGACTCCACCTCCCCCAGCGTCAAAAAGGACGTCCTGCAGACCATCGCCGCCTGCGCCGCCTCCTATGGCGCCCCCACCATCGCAACACACTCCGTCCAGCTCTGGGACGCCGTCAAGTTCGAGATCCTCAACTCCACCGACGAGGACGAGCTCGCGCAGGAGGCGCTCAACGTCGCCCACGCCATCGCACACACCCTCTCCTTCGGCCTCAACACCGCCCCGCCGCCAACAACCCCGCTCGCGCGCTTCCTCAAGGGAATCGTCAAGGAGTGTCTAAAGCTGCTGCAGGAGCCGCAGCAGAAGCAGGCGAAGCCCGCGGGGCAGATACTGGCGAAGGTGGCGACGGCGAGCGCAGCGGCGCACGCATATGTGGTGCAGACGACGATGCCGGCGCTGCTGCTGATCTACAGCGACGCCGAGGGGATCGCGAAGCAGCGGGCGCTGCTGGAGGTGCTGAATCTGCTGCTCGGGAGCTCGGTGGAGGTGTATGGCAGCTGGGGGGACATGGCGGCGTACCCGGCGCTCGAGAACCCGATGGGCGAGTTCCGCGAGAAGCTGTTTGAGATGTACTCCAAGGCGCTGATGGGGTCGTCCAAGGAGGAGGGCGGGTTCCGGATCACGGGGCTGCGGGGGCTGGCGCTGCTGGCGCGGCTGAGGCGGCTTTTGGAGGAGGGGGAGGTGGGCATGGTTGTGCAGTATTTGGATGAGGTTGCGCTGGAGAAGGGGGAGAAGGTGGAGTTGCGGGAGGAGGCGTTGAGGGGGTTGAAGGATGTGAGCAAGTTGAAGCCGGCGCTCATCATGAGCATTACTTTCCCGGCCTTTATGGCGCAGCTGCCGGATTATGATGATGATGAAGCGGGAAGTGGCGCTTATACGGGCACGCTGGAGGCACTGGCGAAGCTGAGTCTGGAGCGAGCAGTGTTTGAGATCCTGCTCACAAGGATGGTCAACAAGCTAGAAGTGATCCTGCACGGTATGTCACCCCCAACCAACCCCCTGTAGAAACAATCATTGACCCCCCACGCCAACACAGGCGGATGCGGCCCCGCCTACCCCCGCGCCATCCTCTCCACACTCCTCTACGTACTCCAAAACATGCCCGAGCGCAGCAACGCCGACATGAAAGCGCACTTCTCCCGTCTCGTGCCCTCACTCCTCACAAAGACCGTGCTACCGCTCATCGGCGACGAGGGCTCCCGCGTCATGGCCGATGACTCGGTGCTGGACGTGAGCGGACGACTGATCAACACCCTTGTGCGCGCGCTGGACGTGGAGCAGCAGACGGAGATCATCGGGCAGGTGTTCAACCTGTTTGTGCGCAGGCAGCCGTGCGAGTACATCCCCGCCGCGAGCAGGGAGCGGGTGGCGGCCGAGTTTCGGCCGTTTGATGATGAGGCGGCGCCGAAGGAGCAGAGCGGGTGCTTCATCATCTTTGCGTATGTGCTCGCGGCGATGAGACGAGAGGTGAGTTTTGCCCCAGCCAACCCCCCAACCCAACCCAGTCAAGTCCAGTCCAATTTTCATGAGTGAACAATCATTGACCCAACCCCCCACCACCAGATCCCCCTCCCCGTCGACTCCCTCACCACCTTCCTCCGCACCACCATCCACCAAGCCGCACACCCCAAGTCCCCCGCCCACCGCATGAGCCACCTCCACACCGCCTCCCTCCTCACCAACAAATGGCTGCGCACCCCAGACGACACCGCCCCCTTGCAAGACCTAACCAACACCCTCCTCGCCCCGCTCCTCTCCGCGCCCCCCACCGCCCCCTACGACGACCATCTCGGCAACAACCTTCGCATCCTCTTCTTCCTCGCCAAGGCCCTCGTGCTCCGCGGCGACAAGCACGGCATGGACATCACGGCCGACCTCGTCGCCTTCCTGTCGCACCCAACCTACGGCGCAACGGCAAGCAAGGGCTTCGCCGCGCTGCTCGGCGACGACGACGACTTCCTCACGAGGCCCAACCACGCCGTCGTGCGCCTGCTCACGAAGCAGCGCATCTTTACGTTCTGTGTGCCCAGGATCGTGGATGGGTTTAGAGCTGCTGATTCATGTACTTTCCCTTCTCCCCCTAAAAAGAAAACCTCCCCTCTGTCTGCCAAAAAAACTAACAACCCACAACAGCCCTAAAACCCCCCCACCTCACCGCCCTCTCCAACATCCTCCGCAGCGTCACCCCCGCCGTGATCCTCCCCTCCCTGCCCACGCTCCTCCCGCTCCTCCTGCAATCCCTCGACCTGCACGACCCCTCCGTCAAGCTCGCCACCCTCGACACGCTCATCGTGACCGTGCACGAGTCCGCCGACGCCGTCAAGGAGCACGTCGCCTCCCTCGTCGGCCGGCTGCTCTCGGCGTGCTGCGACCGCGGCGTCAATCCGCCGCGGGTAAGGGCGAGGGCGCTCAGGTGTCTTGCGGCGTTCCCCGGTGCGCTGAGGGGCGAGCTGGTGTTGCCGTATAGGCGGCAGGTGGTGAGGGGGTTGGTGGGCGTGTTGGATGATCCGAAGAGGGGGTGAGGAAGGAGGTGTGTATTATCTGGCTCTCTTGTTTTTTTTGTTTTTTTTTGTGGAGTGAGTGTGGGCTGACTTTGGGGGGGTGTGGTGGTAGGCTGTTGATTGTAGGGCAAAGTGGTTCGCGATGGATGAGCCTGAAGCGTAGGTAGGTATAGCGGGACCATCATCTGTTTTACACATAGATTGCGGGGGAAGAGGGAAGAGGAAGGTATATTATTGTAATGGACACAAAAGTTAGACTCAAAAGTGTATTATATTCACAGCCCATCACTCAACTGTACCCTGAAATCATCTGTACCCCAACTACTTAGCACTAACTCGTTTACAGCCTAGCGCGTAAACTCGTGCGGAAATCATGAATCGGTCCGGAAAGTGAAGCACCCGTAGTAATCAAATAAAGAATAGCAGCGGCTCCTCAGGTTCTTAAAAGCAAAATGACTAGAAAAACAGACGAAAATAGCAACCAAACATATCGAGACCCCAAGCGCCGCCAATAAACTGCTACTAATACAATTCTTATGGGAAAGAAACTCCTTATTCAAACAGGCCTTTACTCATCCTCAAGCTCCTTTGGTTTCAGGTGGTCTAGCTTCAAGTATTCGCCATTGAATGCTCTGATAAGCCACTGGCTGAGACGATCGTAGACCATCCTGTTTGCATTATCTGTGATAATAAATCATAACCAGTTAGGGTTTTGCAACACGTAGGGGGCGATGAATGGACTTACGGAAATAAATTGAATGGTCAGAGTCGGGGAACACGTGAACATCATAGTTTTCCACACTAGCAAGGTCCAATTTGTCCAGCAGTGTAAGGGAATTCTGGAGATGGACGTTGTCATCGGCAATACCATGCATCAAAAGGAAGCGAACGTTTTGAGAGATTGCCGTCACATTGTTAATTGCCGAGCTTTCGTAACCGTTAGGGTTGTTTTGTGGGGTATGCATGTAGCGTTCGGTATAGATCGAGTCTGTTTTATCCACAATAAGCTCTAGTCATGGGGAATGCATAGCCGAAAACTGGGCTAAAAAAAGGACAGCTTGGAGCTATCATTGAGTATGGCTCTAAATACTCAATTTTGCTGCCAAGATGTGCTTTTTGTTTGTCTAGTCCTAAGGGCTTTAGGATTATAGGGAATGGGAAACGGGCTTACCATAGAATCGCCAGTCGGTAACGGGTGCGACTGCCATACCATAAGAGAATGTCTGGCCAGCATCTTGTTCCAGAGTTTTGAGAGTCATGAAACCGCCATAGCTCCATCCCCAGATGGCAATTCGTTCCTCGTCAACATAGTCCTTGGCTGCCCATATCTTTGCAGTCTCGATCTGATCATTTGCTTCCCAAAATCCCAAGTCATCTCGGACAGCGACACGAGCCTTCCTCCCGATAAATCCAGTTCCTCGCCCATCTACAGTAACGACGATATACTCAAGGGCTCCAGCAATATAGGCTTGGAAATCTATCTGGAAACTCTTGGTAACAGACTGGCTGCCTGGGCCACCATAAACTTGGAAAAGGACAGGATACTTTTTCTTCGGGTCAAAGTTTGGGGGGCGTCGCTCAACAACTTCCAAGTCGAAGCCATCGATATTTACAGTCGAGTAGTGGAAAGTGGGGAGTGCATATGCCGCTGCAAGCTTTGCAAGCGCTTGATTCTTCTCAATATCTTTCTCGAATGAATCGCCTTTTTTGGACTGTGTGCTGACTACCTTTTGCCAAGGAATATCGGGTCCAGAATATGTTAGTAGGGCATAACCTGCCAGTTTTGAGAAGGAAACATCATAACGGCCGTCCTCAGATACGTTCGTCAGAGCGCGTTTGTCAGACCCGTCGAGTTTGACACTATATACGTGTCTCTCGATGGGGGAACGCTCAGTAGAAACATAGTAAACCAATCCGTTTTCCAAATCAATCGCGGAAGGGGCGTCAACAACTTCCCATTGACCGGATGTCAAAAGTACGGGCGCTGGGTTGTCAAGAGGAGTAAAATATGCCAGATGATCATATCCTTTATGAATGACTGTGTCAATATATCCGTCATATTTCCGGCCTTTAGAAGGATCCGCAGGAATATATTTCGTATTTTGTGTCTATACCATGGTTTAGATCTTGTTGTGTTTCAGAATTCGGTATAGAGATTTTACTAACCACTTCAAGCCAGCCCCCATCGAGCGATTCAACATCTACTTCTCTCACAACCTTTCCGGTCCGTGTACTAACATCAATCAAAGCCATTTTTAGAAAATCACTTTCGCGATTGGTTTCTTTAATGAGGACATTTTCCCCCCCAGCCCACAAGACTTCTGTAATCAATCTATCCTCATCAGAGAAATCGCCTTCAATGTCAACAGAGAATATTTGCTGCTTCTCCACATCGTAAAAACGCAGATCAACCACAGGGTTGGGTGCGCCAGCTTTTGGGTACTTGATGAACTCGAGTTCAGGATAATTTTCCTGGCCAGGCTCAGGGATCTCGCCTGAAGGACGCGAAACGAAATACTGAATTGGATATTCAGGGACCTCTGTCTCATTTGTTCGCAAAAAGGCAAGGTGACCTCCGTCTGCGCTCCACCAAAGTGCTTTATTTCCAGAGAATACTTCCTCTTCATAAACCCAATCAGGAATACCATAGAACAACTCTGTGCCGCCATCTCTAGTAATTTGTGTGACTTTGAATACATCTGATGTGGTCTGTAGGTCTAGCTGATGGATGTATAGGTTGTTGTCAAGAACAAAGGCGATAGAGTTTCCCTGAGGAGACCACACTGCCAACGCACATCTTGCCTCTGGGTCAGAGGGTACAAGAGGCCGAACAACTTTTGTGGCGACATCATAGATCCAATATACAGCAGTGTACGAGTGGCGCCAATTCTAAACAATTGTTAACATAAAATAAGGCCTAGAGTCACAAGACGCGAGAGAGCTGTACCGATTGAACATCCGATGCCACGAGGACGCGTTTTAAATCCGCACTAGGCCACACTTTGGAAACATGAATCGGTTGTCCATTGCCATGCAAGGACCTGCTTTGCATTAACACGATCGTATTGCTGGTATTTGTAACATCGTGTACCTCAAGGAAGCTATTAGATGAAGGGGGATTCTGTGTTAAAAGCAAGCCGTCCTCCGAGCCAGTAGCACCGTCGATCCATTCAATCTCATGTCTCCTACTCCTCCATTGCCCCCCATGACCTGATCAAGTGTGATAGTCTTCCCCAAATTTGATGGTAGTGTTGAATCGGGGTTATCTGCCCATTTGTAATGATCTCTAGCGATGTATACCACAAGGGCCAGAGCCCAAGCTCCAACCATCACAGCTCCAAGGATATACACTGCTCTTCTAACTCTCCTTTCAGCAGGCTTCAGACGGGTTTTTCCACCCTCAAGGTCATCATCACCGTGCTTTTCCCTGTGAATGGGTGCCGCTGGGTTGTAATCTGTGTCATCTCCATCACGGTTTATCCTTTCGAGAATAAGGGAAGTGGTTGAAGTGGAGTCTATAGAAGACCTAGGAGAATCACTAGCTTCTCCAAGTACTCGCGATGGTTGTCCCTCCACGTCCCGATAGGGTGCTGGATCGTACATTTTGTATAAGGTGTTTAGGGTGAGTTGTTCTCCAGTAGAGCACAACTCCAGGTGGAAGAAGGATCTTAAGTTACTGGGAGAAAACTTGACCCCTGAGGATGTGTGAGGTGGCTTAAGCCTGTCCGGTGAGATCTACTAAATACATATGCTTGGAGCTTCTCAGGCGGTTAGGCATTTCATTAGGCGATTATCGCTAGTTACATAATCAACGCGAGTCTGAATCGAGACTATGGAGACATTTGATTCAGTATTAGAGTTAGGGATCATTAGTAATCTTTTGGGGGTGTACATACATGCACATCACACTTCATTATTGATCATGATAAACCCATTCGGGTTCGTGTGTTTCTTTACCCCATATTGGAAGGTTCCTAGGACAGCTTTTTTATGTACATGCACGATTCCGGTACCATCCACCTAGCTATCCAAACATTTGCAAATGCCGTCCCTTTGTTTCTTGACATCAACCTAGCTGGCAACGGCAATTGACTAGATCATTATAGTTATATATTCTTCCAATACCCACGGAGATCCACCAAGTTCCTGGTATCCTTTTATGCTCGGAGTAATCAGTATATATATATTGTTTACGAAGCCTTTCTTTTGACAGTGGCCCGTTCTGCTGATCTGTTATAAATTCGCCCTACTACAAAGGTAAATAAATACCTTCAAACAACGGGATCTAGCTGTGAATTTACCCTGGCGAAGTGGGCCTTCACGGCCCATCGTGTCCTACCACCCGAGTGCAATGGGCCCTTGGTTGGCATGAAAATCCTTCAATGACATCCCTAACCTCTCAAATACACTCATAAAATTAATATCTCTATAAATCCATGTTACCATCTTAGGCGCTCCTCTCCTCAAACCTTCTAGCACTTATTCCCACTTACTAGGTGCATTTGGGGCCTTTTATATAGGCCTAGAGGTTTGTAAACTGATGATGAAGACATTTGGATTCCATTAAATGATGAGGGTGCCGGATCATGTAAGGTTAAGTGTGGTTTTTCATTTTTTCCAAGTGAAATTACCTTTATTACGTAGATGTGCTTACATTACCTGGGACTTACATGTAGGTACATGTGCTTGTATTCAGGGCCCCGTGTAATCATTACCAGCAATGAGTAAGCTATGATTAAGCATTGAAATACATGTAAGTACTACTTTTGACCAAACTAACTGTTGAAATTCACGGTAAATACAACAACCCACTGCCCCCACATCACAACTTTTTTCTAATATCTTGACCAACTAAAGAGACACATAGATTTTTACTTCATTCGTTCAAACATATATTTTGTTGGGGAAATACAGTTTATGCGAATGGGGAGCAAAGTAGCAAAGAAAGGGTGTACAAAAATGCTATGAAGCCAAATTTACCATGGGAAAAACATGAAGCTTATGTCTACAAGAAAGATTTTACGAAGCTGACAACAACGTCTTTCAGCTTGGCCTCAGTTTCCTTGGACAATGCACCCTCCTTGTTAATTGTGTTGATCAGTCCGGACTCGTTGCTCTTAAGGTGGGCAAGGAAGTCTGTATGGCTGTTAGCTCGTACTCCTATATCCATTTATACCATATACCGGAGATACATACCTTGTTCGAACTGGCCAATCTTGTTGACTGGAATGCTGTCAAGGTGACCGTTTACACCAGCATAGATCAAAGGAACCTGCTCCTCAACGGCCATAGGGGAGTATTGCTTCTGCCTTTAATGGTGTTAGAGAGCGACAGTACATCAGCGGGAATATATAGAACATACTTAAGAAGCTCAGTGAGACGTTCACCACGGTTCAAGGTGGACTTGGTGGACGCATCCAAATCAGAACCGAACTGGGCGAAAGCAGCGACTTCACGGTACTGGGCCAAGAACAATTTCAGGGAACTAACTTCATAATTAGTGACTGGTTGATAATGGTTTGAACGACCTGAAATGCATACCCAGCGACCTGCTTCATGGCCTTAACCTGCGCAGCGGAACCGACACGGGAGACAGAAAGACCGACGTTGATAGCGGGACGGATACCCTTGTAGAACAACTCGGACTCCAAGAAGATCTGTCCATCGGTAATAGAAATGACGTTGGTGGGAATGTAGGCGGACACATCTCCTCCCTGGGTCTCAATGATAGGAAGGGCAGTGAGAGATCCACCACCGTGGCTGTTGTGCATCTTGGCTGCACGTTCGAGGAGACGAGAGTGAAGGTAGAAGACACTAGGATAATTAGAACCCGAATAAAAGCCCTAAGAATTGTGATCCACTTACTCTCCGGGGTAAGCCTCACGTCCAGGGGGACGACGAAGCAAAAGAGACATCTGACGGTAGGCAACAGCTTGCTTGGACAAATCGTCATAGATAATGACCGCATGCTTTCCATTGTCACGGAACCATTCACCAATGGCACATCCAGTGAAGGGGGCAAGGAACTGCAGAGGGGCGGCCTCGGAAGCTGTGGCGGCAACGACGACAGTGTACTTCATGGCATCGTTCTCCTCAAGGGTTTGGACGAACTGAGCGACGGTGGAACGCTTCTGACCGACAGCAACGTACACGCAGTAAAGCTTCTTCTTCTCGTCGGATCCGCTGTTCCAGCGCTTCTGGTTGAGAATTGTGTCGAGAGCGACAGCGGTCTTACCAGTTTGGCGATCACCAATGATAAGTTCACGCTGTCCACGTCCAATAGGAACCATGGCGTCGACGGACTTCAATCCAGTCTGGACAGGCTCCCTGACAGACTGACGGGGGAGAATACCAGGAGCCTTCACTTCGGTACGTCTCCTCTCCTTGGCGTTGAGAGGGCCCTTTCCATCAATGGGGTTACCGAGGGCATCGACGACACGTCCAAGAAGTGACTCTCCAACAGGAACGTCAACCTGATATAAAATTAGTAAATGCAATCGTCAATGCAATAGTATAGAATAATATGGCATTTGAGAGGATGAAAGTGCAAAAGGTACTCCATACAATTTCACCGGTACGCTTGACAGTCTCTCCTTCCTTGACAAGACGATCGGAACCGAACAACACAACACCGACTTGGCCAGCCTCCAAGTTCAAGCACATACCCTTGACACCTGATGCGAATCTAATAAAAAATGAGTAAACATGTTTCATGTTTCATCAATATATGATTGTACTTACTCAACCAATTCTTCGGCCTGAACGTTGGCCAAACCGTGAACTCTGGCAATACCGTCACTATCGAATAGCCGATTTAGCGCTGCTTGGTACAGGTACATGATAGATTTAAAAAGTCATAATCCTACCCAATAGACAGAACTCTTCCGGTCTCAGCTAGGCCGGCTTCTTCAGAGACACCTCGGATCCTCTGTTCAAGGATGGAAGAAACCTCTGTTGGAGATGCCTTGGCCTCCCCGGCATAGAAGCGGACATGGCTAATCATGGCAGGAGCGACATTGCGTGCCTAGTTACAAATAAACCAAACATCAGCATTTTATCGCTTGATCAATGATTGAAACAATTCAGAAATATCTCGGGTTGTATCTGAAGTCAATTGGCTATGAATATGGTATTTTCCGGATGAAAAAAAAACCGGTTCCGGAGGGCCGAGGATGAATTGAAATGAGAAAATTCGACAGTAGAATCAACGTACCGCGACGATTCTGCCAGCAGAGAAAGCCCCGACGGAGCGGGTAGACTGACGCAGGGCCGATCTAAACATTGTTAATGATGATGGCGATGATGATAATTAAGGTGGGTGGGAGGGTGGGGGGGAGGTGTGGTTGAGGGGAGAGTTGAGTTCTGAGACCACAGAGAACGGACGGCGGGGGAAAGAATGAATTTTGCAGACGAGGACAAGCCAGGCGGCGGGATGGACGGACGAGTGGTGGGCAGCGGCAGAATTCGGAGCGAGCTGTGATTGGGTGTGGTAGTGTGGCATAACTAGACTAATAGAAATACAATAGAATTGTAGGTACAAGATGTACCTATATCTGGCAGTTACAGTCAGCCATCGAAGGTTTGGATGCTGTCCTAGTGCAGCCAAGATTCTCAGTCCTCCTCTGATGTGAAATTGTACCTACATGCTGTACCTATATGTACATTACTATGGGATACTCTAGCTCAAGGACTGATACATGTCTCTAACTCGAGTAAAGGATTATGACTTTGTACTTACTCACGCATGCGTCATAATAGAAGGGAATGCGTGCTATCGTAGTAATGATACAGTAATAAGTGGTGTAGAAATATATGCTGATTTACAGTAGTTTAGTCATTTTACATCTAGCCCACTGAAGAGAAGATTATTAGATTTATTTTAAAGCTGAAACCTTTCAAGATCTGTCTGGCAGCCTGGACCCAAAGTATATGTGGTTCCATATATAGATTTTGAGGTTCTCCATCTCTGGGTGTTATGTAATTCCAACCGACCCTGCAACAAAGCCTTTGTAACTGGGATGGACTTAGTGCATACGGTACTGTACCTACATACCTCACATCATCAGTGAAAGCTTCAAAACGCGTTACCTACCTGCTATCTCCATAGTATACCCTCACTCTCCTTCAACCCCCCAACACCTCAACCCTCCCGTCGGCAGGAGATTCTTTTCAAAGGAACAAAGAAACTACCGAGTACCCTCCAACCAACCGTTACGACTAGCTACAATGTTCTTCATACACGAGCTTCAGCGTACTATCACGCTCCACCCATCTTATTTTGGCCCTCATATGCGCGAGTACCTTATCCACAAACTTCATGCAGATGTAGAAGGCTCTTGTACCGGTCGATACTTCATCATCTGCGTGATAGAACACGATAATTTTACTTTAGGGAGAATCATTCCAGGCAAAGGAGATGCTGAGTTTACGATCACTTACAAAGCTGTTGTATGGCGGCCTTTCAAGGGTGAGACAGTAAGTTCACTTTGCTCTCCTGTGATATGTTCTCGCCAGAGCGATATTGCAGTCAACTCACCGCGCTGTTTTCTCCCAACAGGTTGACGGAGTTGTGAGCTCTGTCAATAAGATGGGATTCTTCGCCGAAGTCGGCCCTCTTACCGTCTTCGTGTCTAGCCATGTAAGTGCCGCTGCTCTCTTTTGCAACGTTCCTTCTCACTAGCCAGCTCATCCCTCGGGAAATAAAATTTGATCCTACCTCGAACCCTCCACAATTTTCGGACAATGGCGACCAAATTATCAACAAAGGCTCCCAGATCAGAATCAAACTTATGGGGACAAGGAGTGATGTTGGGAAAATGCATGCCATCGGCAGTATCAAAGAGGTATATTATTCAATTCGGCTACCGTTGCTTGTTATTCTAACGTGCTAATCAAATCTCTAGGATTACCTTGGGTAAGACCGATGAGAAAAATCCGAGCCCGATCCAAGTATTCATACTGACCGTTTGATAGGGTATTATAAACCATATGCTGGTTACGGAATTCGGCATCACTGTCTTCGATGTGGTCTATACTTTCGGTTACCATTTATAACCATATCCCAATTTCTGCACGCTCTTGGACGTTTCAACTCTCACGTAGGCCTGGTTATCTGACTCAACAGGGTTTCCCTACATGTTTTGCTTGTTGATACTCCCAGCGTCGCAAGCGTGTAAAATCGTTTTCCTTGTTGGCAGGAGGTTTCATATATTTCAGCCATCTTGCTCAGGGTGTTGGCTATCCTATTTTTTTCTTTCCTTTTTTGATACATCTTTTTGTTAGCCAACCGCTCATCATATCCTCGTGAAGGATCGCAGCTGGCCGAGAAGTGCATCGAGTTTGAATTGGTTTAAACTCGGTGGTTTTTCTTTCTCTTTCACCCCTCTACGTCTAATGCCCGTGATTGGTTATCACTGTAAATTATATATCTACTTCCCCCCTTTGCCCTTTTCCTTATCTATTTTGGAGTTTGGAACGAAAAGCACAGTTCAATGTCCCTGTTATGCCTGGGTCTTTATGGAATTTTCGAGTTTCTGAAAATCAGATCCGCCCGCTTAATATGTTGTCCTATCGACTAGCAATATGTAGTAACGTCTGTAACACTGAGAAGACGGGTTAAAGTCAGTGGTTCAAAGAATATATTCGAGCTCAAGGAGGTAGATGTAAATATAAGGGAATTTGGACAATGGATATGTCTTCAATAGGATCCAAGGTTCAGGTTCTCGCGGGTGTGTGGACCATAACGGCGGAAGTTTTCAGTCAGACAATTACAATACGAACAAGATAACGTCAATTTAACGAGTTAAATATCAATCTAATTTCATATTCTCAAAGGGCTTGAAAGGCTTGTTCGCTTCGCCCCCATATACATGATTGATTAGCCATAACCGAATTTATTTATTCAGCTATAGCTACATACCTATCTATTAATCTCCTTAATTGAGAAATCCGCAAGCAAACCAGCTAAATAACTTGATTTGCAGGCCCAGATTTTTGCAGACGAACGAACACATGTTGATATATAGAGGACCAGACTGTATGGGTTGCAACTAGCAGATAACCATGCCAATGATTGATTTGCAAGTAAAGGTACAAAAAGCTCTAATGGATTTTTGCATGCCAGTTTTGGGCTTAAAGTTATAAAGCAAAGTTTTAGAGACTCAAGTACATGCAAACGTGGTATGTAGATTATGCTGTAGTTGATAGGGAATCTAAATTCAGGCAGAAAAAATTATTCAAGGCTGGTAGGTATAGACATACATACGTACCTGGCAGTAATAAAATTTTTTTTTAAAAGAAAGTTGAGCGTGGCCTGAAATGAATGGAGAGAAAATAGAGAGACAATAGAATTGTGTTTCAACACCACCAGCAAGAAAGAGAATTGAAAAGCAAAGAAAGAAAGACAAGTGGTATTATTATAGCATGCTCGCTGAAGTGGTGATGCTAAGTTGAAGTGAACAAGAAAAGAATAAGTAGAGAGGCCAGAAGCAATGCAATCGGATTAGATGCAAACAATTAATCCTCCAGAGATTAGTCAATACCGATCAAAACTACTCTTGATACTTTTATCGGCGCCTCTCATATCATCGATATCTTCAACTTTAATTATACCCCTCCTCCCCCTTCCTCCCCGGCCACAAGACTCGCCCTTCCCGTACGAGCGATCAACCATCTTCCTTTCGGTCCCCTCAAATGATTTTACTTGTGGCCAGCCTGGTACTGACGGGGTCGCGTATGACTGATGATAATCTCTATCTTTATTCCATCCACAGCTAGTTTTATACTGGTCATGTTCAGAGGTGACATGATCCCTATGCAAAGACACGGGCTCTGTTTCATAAGAAGGAGCCATTTCTTTATAGGAACACCTGTTTGAGACCACAGGGCTTCGCAGTCTTCCTCTATAAGCAGCCTCTCTCACTGGCGATCGGAGCGGCGGGTAAGGGCGGTATTGAGTTGTTGTAGACTGAGGGGGAATCAAAGGGTCCCTGGATGTTGTTGGCCCTCTATAGTCAAACTCATACTGAGCGACATAACACCCACCTGAAGGTATGGTCGAAGGTAATGGCGGAGCAGGATACACCAATGGAGGTATATGGGACCACTCGGTACCCCGATAACTCTTATAACTCTTCAAGCTATAATAGCTGCTTGGCAGTGGCTGTGGAGGTGGCGGGCGAGGAGGAGAAGCAGGGGAAGGAAGAGTATATTTTGTGTCATAGTATTTATTGCTTTCCTTAAGGTACAAAGGTTCACTATACTTCTCTTTCAAGTATGCTGACTGTTGTCGAAGAGTTTTATAGTCGTCTATGTCATGGGACCTCTTGCTAGTATGGCATGACGCAGTGGGCGAATTTCTTAAATATGATATTTTGTGTAGCGCTGTCTCGGGCAACCTAAACATATTCTGACTAATGGGACATTTGGAGCGTGCACATCTAGGCATCGACCTTCGGTCATGTTGGTTACTACGGGATGCTGGTGGTTCAATCGGAAGATTGTGCTTCCTGGGCTTGTTTGGTGTGATCTGAAGACTAGACCGGTCGTGTTCGAGGATATTATCCCTATCCCCCTGATAATAGGGATCAGGCGAGTAAGCTGAAGAGTCATGTGCTTTTTCTGAAATGACCACCGAGGTATGTGCTATTTCTTCTTCTTTTTTGCGATCTAGTTGTAGATTATCCCCCGTATTTCGAAGGAAATTCTCGAGAAAAAGCTCTGCAGCGGTCATTTCTGATTTGTCGGCGCACTGAGGTGATTTTGTTTGCAGTTCTGGCTCATGAATTTTCTTGAGAGATCTACATCGATGTCCATTGCTATTAACGTATGATGGACGTTGGCAATCGATTCCAATGTGTAAGTCTTGCTGGGGGCTGTGATTCGTTCTAGCGGGGGCTGTAGACATTTCCTTATGATTGTTCAGCCGTATACCTAAGTATCAATATCAAAGTACCGTTAGTTGACCAGCTATTGATTGGTATACATTCATGATTAAATTCTAAGGGGGACTAGGAGGAAGCTTTATATGAAAAACTTTCTAAGGTAAAACTTTACCTTTCTGCTCTGATCCTATCTCCTTGAGTGGATTACAGATATCAATATTAATATGACCTTCAGACGGAACCCCACATGTTGCCTCATTGATTATACCGCTAGAATTCACTCCATGGAACGGCAGAGGAAATGCTAGCGGGAAAACGCTTTTTAGTAAGCTGTATTTCTCTACGTCCATCCCTTGTGCTTGGCTTATCATTCCAATAACCCTTGCTTCAGGTAACTTCACCATTTCTGTTTTCCAGTCCGGTTTTGTCATGGCTCGATTTCGCAATATATGGATAGTTTCGAAATGCTGAAGTAACGCTGAAAATGTGAAAAGCCTTCCAGCTCTAATATTGCCTTCGGCTGTGGGCGGCGGAGGACTCTTGTAGCACTCAAGACAGAGGAGACCATTTGTATTTCTTATAGGCTTCAAAGATTTATATTCCTTGAGTGCCTCAATGAACACTGCTAATGACGGCTCGCAAGAGAACTTGTTCTGAAAACTAGGAACGATTTTGGAGATGAGATAATGAACTCGAACAGACGATGGAAGGTCCTTGATGCCAGAAAGTTGAAACCAGGCGCTCCGAGAGTCCTGAGCTATTTGCTCAAGATAGATACAGTGAGTTTGACTGATGGATTCAGACTGTGGGATTCCCTGATGCGATTGTCGGTGATGAGGAGGATAGTTGTAACCAGAATAATTTGAGAAATTATAGGCTGCATGCGATGTATGTAGACCGACAGACACTGGGGCAAAGATTCCCGGAAGTTGGTGCGTTATGGACGTTTGAAGAGACGGGTAAAATTGCCATTGACTAATATTCATGTCCGATTGGAAAAAAGGAACAGCTGTGGGGTAGGAGATTGGATGATCAAGTTTGAACGGCAGCTTTTCTGGCCAATCAGCCCTCCAGTGAACAACTATTGACCCAAAGCTTAGCTGCGAAGTGTGTTTAGCAGCATAATGCTGTATAGCACCTTCAAAGGCGTAAAATCTCGAGTTGTGCTCGCACCCACTACAAGCAAATAGTTCCCTCCCAAATTGGTCTGTCAATGGCCTGATCTTATTATCAAACACGAATTTCATGTTCTCTAGTGTCAACCTTCGAATAGTAGGCACTTCTAAAGTTGCTTTACCAACTCGAGTTGTAGTATCAAGAGGATTAATACGGTAGGGATCATCTGTGGAGTAAGGGGTTTCCTCATAGAACCGACGCCTGCAATAGCTCAAAACATCAACTGCGAACTTCGGGGCAGTGTCTTTTGTGATGCAGCCAAGCCAATGTTTGGTAATTTCATCGGCGTATATTATCAGCCTTGCACGCACAGGAACCTGGAGTTCATCCCATTCAATTTCTTTTCTTTCCTTTGCTTCTTTTTGCTTCTGCTCTAGAATCTTTCGATCTTCATGCAGCAACTTTATCTTTAGTGGGCCGGTTTTTCCATAGCCCTGTTCATATTCATCTGAGATTTGTTTTAATAACTTAACTTTGAGGTTTTCCCACGCGTGCTCAGTGAGAGGAAGTGGTATCTTGATGGCAGCTTGAAATGCCGGTAACTGAGCCAAAAGCTCGGGCTTTAGAAAAGGTCTCATTTGAAGACAGCGGAATTCGATGTCGGCGCGACGCTTAGATTTCACTTCTAGTGCTTCGTGGACAGTATGCTCTACTTGGACAGAGCCCGAAACCTGAGAAGAATCAAACTGTTTGAAATCTGTGAAAGGCATTAGCAACCAATTATGGACGCTAATTTCACTGCGGTAAATGTAGGACGATTTTCGATGATAGTAGGGCCAATGATAGGTAAAATGTAGGGGGAAAGCTGGGATCTCAATAAAGGGTCCATCATACAGTTCTTAACTCCACTAGCACTTTCCGGTTCACAGAGCAGAAGGCCAGCTTTTGACTCTATACTCACGGCACTCGATTTTGTAACTGAGTTATTGTCGAGATTCACGCTTGGATTTTGATGCAGGGCAGGCCCTTCCCGGCACTGGTCATCATTGTGAATATTCCCAGGCTGCACAGTATATTCTTTCTGTAGAAATTCTCCCTGTAGCAAGCCAAGCTCTGCGCTGTTTCCACCTGGATAGGAACCACCTGCGTACGCTGATCGGGAATCTGACCCGTTAATCTGCATATTTTCGAATCTTTCAATTCTTATGATATCTAGCTTATGGGCCATTCCTTCAGCTTTCAGGCCTTTCAACCATTCTTCCTGGGCTCTCATATCCTTTGCTTCTTGATATCTTTCGAGCATGTCTTGAATATCAGCATTCCAAAATATTCTCGTTAGACCGATATTTGGCTGGTAATGTGTCGAGTTGGAGATCCAGTTATTGCGCAAGTCAACGATTCCAAATGGTAAAGGGGTCAATAAAACGTCAGGGAATGACTTAGATGAGTGAAGCAAAAATTCCTGAAGAAGTACAACGATCAACACTGAACGCTTGTAGGGGCGTGGTAATCTTGCCCTCACCTTTGTAGTATTTTCCTCCAAACACACTTTACAGCATCTCACCCGGAAAGGCCAATAAATCACTGCCTTTCTAACTTTGACGTTTGGTGGGCTGCTACTATGTTCTCTTCTGGACGCACCTTTTTCACAAAGCATGCACCCAGTTCCCAGAATAAGACTTAACATCTCCCATTCAGCCAATCCAAACACGGGTTTTGGGTGGTCTGGGAGAAATCTTTTTCTGCTCCTTTGCCAGATATTTTCATTATCCAAATAGCACTTAAATAACTTGCAGGTACGACGCTGGCGGCCCAACTCGGCCGGGGGTAGCAGGGAAAATATATTGGCCCATATAGCTTCTGGAAGTATAAAACAAATGGGCTGTTCAAGGGGCGTTTTCGGGTTGAGAGAGGTAGTAGCCCTTGCTCGCTTGAACTCTGCGGGGCTCCTATTATATTCGCAGTCGGAAACAGCACGTTTTCGACTCATAGCTTCAAGATTGAGAGCTTCCGACGTATCAGGGCTGAAAGCAGAAGAAGAGCTCGACTGTGAGTTACCAGTATATATATCCTCTTCGGAGCGGTAATCATCCCCTTCTTCGACGCTCTCGTAAAACCTCTGATGGACAGTAGTGCAATTGGGACTAATGTGAATCTTGCGGAAGGCTGTCATATCCAGAGTTTTCTCTAGGGGAGTGCCTTAAACTGTGGACTGCTGGCTTGGTAGAGGAATACGAGAGGAACTATAGAGGATGAAAGAAACCTCTTAGAGAGTCGAGAAATGAATTTGACAAACCAAAGCTTCAACCACCGAAAAAGTACGTACAGTCAACACAAGAAAGCTCAAGGAGTTGGCAGGGTATTTGTATTGTAGGCGCCGTTTGTAGGCGGGAAAATTGTAGATACCTGTGCCAGTATGGGGCTACGAATTGATGTAAAGGGTGAGTAGGACCAAGAAATGTGTAAGGATATGTACAGCTTACAGCTAGCTAGGTCTGGGTGGCCTGTACCTTCATACGTCAGAGCTCATAGCTAGTGAATCATGGTAGGGTAACAACTATAGTCCTTTCCGGGTCAGTGGCGAACCTGGTTCAATGGCGAGTTGCACTTATTGGAAGGACCTCACTCAGTATACGCGCAAGAGTCTATCTTCAACGCATTGTAGGATTATAATATTGGGTATATAATTAATCTGTCCTTAATTGGGTCATGCAATATCTCTACTATTCTATATATGTTCAATACAAACAAACGTACAGGTAGAGAGAATCATGACTTAGATCCCAAGAAACTTTAGACACATGTAATAAGGAAGTAACTAGCCATTTTGCATGGCTATTATTCGCATGAGACAGCATGATCTTGCATTACCCGGCTGGCTGAGTCATTTCACTCAACCAGTTTCGCCATTGTCCCGGAAAATACTGTAGCCACTTCACGGTAGTTTCCGTCTTGGCATTAAACTTTCGACTGAGCCTCAATCTAACCTTCAATACCGTCATCGCGATAAATCAATTAACCTGACCAGAATGCTCCGACGACTGGTCATACCATAGCTACAACACCGTACACACAGCTAGTAGCTATGTTTATACTTGTGCGACTTCTCCAGGCCCAATCCCTAGAACAGGAGCAGCACTGACGGAGAAAATTGTAGTCCAGCTTCACTGACCTAGTCATAATCGATCCCCAGGACTTCTCAAAGCCGACTGTCGATGCCCTTGAGGACCAGATCAACACCAAATATGCGAACAAGGTTCATTTCTACCGGGTTATGTAGCCTTGTACTAAGCTAGTTGGCTAATAGGTGTGGGATGTGTACAGGTCGTCTACAACATTGGGCTCTGTATCTGCCTATGGGACATCCTCAAAGTCAGCGAGGGCATGGTAGGGCACGGGAGTGGTTCTGCCCACGTCAACGGTATGCTAACACCACTCAATCTCTGGCTTCTCTTCGATACTGATATTGGGGTGTAGTTGAGTTCCGACTGGTCGTTTTCCGCCCGTTTAAAGGCGAAGTTCTCACAGGCCGTATTTCCTCCTCCACAGCACACGGGATCAAAGTACGAACAGATTTCTTCGACGAGATTTTTGTTCCTCACCGCTTATTATTTGAGGGCACGACCTTCGATGGTAAGGAGCAGGTTTGGATATGGAATAACGACGGGCAAGAGTTCTACATGGACAAGAACGAACTCATCCGGTTTAGGATTGAAGAGGAACAATTTGTTGACCAGCTGCCGATTCCACCCCATCTAAAAAACGATGAGGCGAGCTTGCATAAGAAGCCACCATATTCGCTTACGGCTTCTTGTCAACAGGCTGGGATGGGGCTTTTGCAATGGTGGTTGGATGATGAGGGTGAGGGCGAGGAGCAGGAATAATGTTTTGGAGTTGTATGTAACAAGATAATATAAGCCTGTATTTTTACTTACAGGTTCTTATAAGCCAAATTTTCTGGACTTTGCGTTCCCTCTCAAATTACATATGTCGTGATATTGATGTCCATCACGAAGACTATCCTACGAAATTAAAAGATTGGTTCGGAAAATAGTTGCCAGAAAAAACTCCCCAAGGAAATATAACTAACTCGGATTTTGTATTATCACTAGGGTTTGAGACTATTGAGTCAAAACACGCATGCTGAGTATAATATCATAAAGAACAAAAGAAAGCTCGACGTTTTCAAAACTAATATCACAATTCGAATTGAAACAAGTCAATGGTTCTTGACAACCATACCTAATCCCATGCACAAAAGGCTAACATGCAAATCACATCATTCGTTTCTCAAAGCTCATCATCATCATCACTTCCCAACAGCTCGCCTTCATCGTTGTTGACAATCGAGTAATCTGCCCCTCTCGTAAATGACTGTCTGCTAGTGTACCGCCTCGTCCTGGTAAACTTCCCACCAACCCAAGTGCCAATTGCCTGCAATATTGTGGGAATCGACACAACAACCGCTACGAGAGCTGCAATGACGATGATAGGATATCTAATAAAAGGGCTCTGTCCGCTTGAGTCTTCCCCAAGCCTAATAGCACCAAACCGACCATCCAATATTTTTGTCCAGACGAACCAACCGATTCCAAACGCGGCCGCAATAGGTGTAACCACAGCGAGGAAGAGCATAAATCCCTTAGCGCCGCGCCCCCGTTTTTTCTCGAAATCTTGTTCGTGTCCAGGACAGGGTTTTGGTGTGGTTTTCTCGAGTTCATGGCCACCCTCGCAGGTGGAATAAGGAATGCGGCGGTAGCCAGTGGGTTCAAAATACTCTATCGCGTTTTTGTCCTGTGTACAGATGGCCTTGTGATCTGGAGGACTGTAGCCCTTGACCAAACCACAAGTTCCATCATTTTGTCGTTCATAATTGAAATCACTATGCAGTAGCACAAGTCAGCAATCAAGCCAAGCCAACACAACCTAGCAAAGACACTCGGATCACAGACCATTCAAAATCTCGCTTCTCGCACGGGCAATTCTTTACAAATTTATGCGAATTTTCGAGTGACCTCCCAATATAACAGTTGTGTGATGGGATTTTACGGGCGTACTCTATTACGCGCCCAAATAGACAACCGGGAAGGCCTGCAGGGTGCTTCGGCGACCAAACTTCGAAATCGTCACTATTCGCTTCATCACCCTCCTTTAATTCACCTGTATAACATGGTTAGATATCAATATCTAGGGTTAATTAATTTCCGCAGAAGACTTACATTGAACATCCGTGATTCCAGTAAAATCAAGTTGAATTGTCAAAAACTCGTCGCCGCCACCCTCTTGTCTACCCCAAAGGATAAACTTTCTACTCGTATCAGTCGGCAGCGTTGAGATATCTTTGACAACAACCTTCTCGTCCTTGTCCGCAAATATGTACTCATGCCAGTTTTCACCCTCGTCAAGGGTATACACTACACGGTCTGTCGCAGCCATCACATCTACGATGACAATGATGGAACCTTGGTCACCATACTCCCACATATGCTGTCCCTTTCTAACCTCCTTCCATGTGATGCCGCCGTCCCTGGTCATAAAGGTATCGCCGTCTCTATAACCTGCAAGTTCTCTTCCGACGTTCCCAACACCCAACATTAAACCAACAGCAGAGCCAGATGCGAATGTGTCCCTAGGATCAATTCGCTCGGTGTAGTGGTGTAGATTTAGATGGCAATCATCTACATTTTTGGGATTGCAGGAGTAGTCCTTGTTCTCAGAGTCTTTCCCCTCGACTTGAATGTATTCCCATGTTGCTCCATCATTATGGGTAATCAAACTTTCCAGCTTCTTTCTCTCCCCATCTAAAGCTTTCTCCGCATTAGTAACACGGTTTGCGATGGCAACTCCCTCAAGACTGTGCATTTTCTCGAAATCGACGAAACCAAGTTCGTTTCTATTCACGGCATCAAGAGAGAGGACATAGTTTGTGCCGTTGGAATTTGACTTCAGAAGACTTCCGTATTCGAATCCTTTCTTCGGGTTGACAGTTACATGCAAGAAAACGGAATGTGTATTCGAGTCCAAGACTGTATATGCCGTTTGGTGGGGAACATTGAAGTTATGTGGGAACTTAGCTTCGGCGAAGTTATAACCATCGACCGATGCCGACGCCTTTAGAGAGGTTTCATCCTCATTGATACTTGCAACAACAATAAATTCGGCCATTGTCGCATAACCGATAATGTCATCGAAGTGCTTTTTTTCATCATCGAAAAAGTTGTCACTAGCAACAAGTTCAATGTTGCCAGAGCCATTCTCCTTCGCGTCATGTTGACAGAAAATCAACTTCTCGGATTGGACCTTTTGCTTCTCGCCACGAACCCACTTGCAAGCTCCAACGTATTCAAGTAATTTATGCCACTCAAAACCGTTGTCTTTGGTATAATAAGCAACTGCATGACAAGTTTCTGATTTGTCGCAATCTGCCTGGCCGGTCCAGATGAGCCAATTCTTTTTTGTTGGGTGAAAATCCATTACTTGAAGGTTCCGCCTGTTAGGTTTTGAAGGGACTTTGTCCATTTTCTTAAAATTGCGGCCGCGATCTTGGGTGTACCAAACTTCGGCATCTGGCGTAATAAAATAGACAGAATCGTAAAAGTAGGTGTTGGGGTAGATCGACACAACCTCGACATCTTCGAGAATTCGCTCCCATTTTTCACCATGATCATGGGTGAGCCAAATCTCTTGCTTCTCTGTTCTCATTATAATAGTCTAGCAAGGTCAGATAGGGTTAGTTGTATTCGACCCGCAATAGCTAAGATGCCCTACCTCATCCTGGTTACTAGAGCTATCTGATTTCTCAAGATAGTAATACTCTGCAACTTGAGAGCCCGGGAACGATTTCTTTCTATTAACGATATCACCGTTGGACGGAGGCGCAGTAGCAGCTAGTTATGTCTGGTCAGCCTTTGCACAGGAACAATTCTGAGAGATTTTTACCATCTTTACAACTTGTCTCCACCTTCTTATCCAAATCTTTCCCACCCTCACAATTATTGCCTGGAATTTTACGGTAACCACTAGATCCCATGAATGTGTCTTCAGGCTTCTTGCATTCCCCGGCGGGTGTGGAAAATTTTGCGCCCTTCGCCTTAACACACTTATCCTTTCTCTTTCCATTTTCCCTGACATAATTGAAGTCACACTCAAAGTCTTCTTCTGTGCACTTGCAAACATCTTCTTGAGGTTCGGGATCCTTATAAAGATCGTCAATATAGCACTTCGCGTTTTTCTTCCGCCTCCAGAAAAACTGTTTGTGACCCATCAGGCAGTCTGGCTCGCCATCCTCATCAAGTCGAGCGTACCACTTTTCGAGGTCGTCATTTTTGTCGCTCTTATCAGACTTACACTTACGATCAAATACGTTAGAAAAGTCAATAGAGAAAGCAATAGTTTTTCGGTCTCTATTAGTTCCAATAAGTGTGAAGAACAGAGATGTTGAGTCCGGCGTCGTTGTAAGCAACCTTGCACGGACTTTTTCATCCAGCTTGACTGAATCCCAATCATCGCCGTGGTTAATTGAGTAGAAAACCTCGTCGGTCATCTCTTCATCGTTGATAGCGACAATAATTGAGCCAGAGCCTCCAAACTCATACTTGTGGGCTTCCTTACGCACACGGTTCCATGTGAGACCCGCGTCATCTGAAAGATATAAATCACAATCCGTATAGCTTTCGAGGTATTTGCCAGTATTTCCAACCCCCATCAGAATTCCGGGGGCTGGGCTGGAGAAAATTCGCCCCCCATTTGCTAATGCGGTGACTGAAAAAAGGTGAAGATCATCACCACCCTTCGTCTTAAGAGGCTTCCAGGTATCAAACTTTCCGTCATCGAAAGAAATCCTTGAAATGACTTTTTTCTGCGCGGAGCTACTCTTGGCAACTTCATCGGCGTTATCCACTACGTTTGCTAGGATAATACCCTGGATATTCTGTACTTGTTCAAAGTCCACATAGCCCTCAGGAGCACGGTTGGTATACTCAAGGTTTTTGGTGAAATATGTTCCGTTAGAATTGCTGGTGAACAGGGAGCCCATGGGGTTCATAGGCTTCGTCGTGAGAACGTCTACCTGGATGCTATATGGTGTTGATTCCAAAATGGTATAAGCATCCTCTTTAAGCCCGCCATGGTCATGGGGGAACTCTGCACGGTCCCAGTTAATTGTGTCATCAGTAACATAGCTGCATAGCACTTGTCAGCGTCATAATATATACCACTGAGACTCAAGGAGATGTGACATACAGTGCCATCTCATCTGTGCCTTTGCTCTTGACAGCGGCAACAATAAATTTCTGTACTCCTGCGATACCAGCCAACCCATCAACAGTGCTATAGCCATTTAATTTGGGCTCAACCTCAGTATCAAAGAAGTTATCCGAAACTACTAGTTTGCGATGTTCTGCGAAGCTATCTTTGCCATTAACAATACAAACTATCGTGTAGTCCTTCGCTTCACTGAAGATTTCGGTTCCGCGAGCAAAGATACAGCTATGGGTGTCATCTCTAAGCTGCTTCATATCGCTGTCGAAACCATCCTTTGTATAGTATGTCTGCAAGCCGACATACATCAGCACCATTTATGCCGAGAGAGCCCTAGGAATGAACTAACTCACCACTTCCTTGCAATTGAGTCCGAAGAAATCATCATCTTCGCAGATTCTGCCAGCGTAAAGTATCAAGTTCGGTTTTTCCGCATGAAATGAGAAGGCTGGCTGAGTATAAGACGCTGGGTATTTGGCCTTGAACTTCTGCCAGCTCTTGCCCTGGTTTTTGGTGTACCAGTGCTCGGTATCTTGTCCCAGAATGAAGGCCCGCTTCTTATCGAACGGATGCTCGATCAGATCCCATGCATCACCCTCTGGGATATCCTGTACTTTTTGCCATTTCTTCCCATCATTATCTGATCGCCAGATGTTTCCCGCTTTCGCATCTAATGTTAATATAACCTGCATCACAATCAGCTTATAATCCGGCAGAACACAGAATAATATCTCTAATGAGTAATACCGAACTATCATCGAAGTAAAAGAAGATTGCGGGTATGTTCTCAAATTCCTTTGAATTCACTTCCGGACCTTTTGCATAAGCAGCCTAAAAGCGTGACATATTCTGTCAGCTATCACAACGATATATTCAATCCATTATCAAATTCTTACAGTAGATAGTAACGCAGCTGCGAGCGACCAAACCCTCAGCAGTTGCATATTGGGCGATATGAATGGAGGAGAAGAGACGTTTTTAGGCCGCCGATCACAGAGGTGACGCTGTTGGTCCGAGCACAGATATCGATAAGTTTGAAATGGTGGCGAGGTTCACTCCGAGATGAGGACACGGTTTGATAAAAAGCTTGATAAACTCTTTTTAAAACAAGCAGATAGAAACGAACCTCACACACAAAGCATGGGGAGGTCGCAGTGGATACAATGATGAGGATGAAGATACGTTGCTGGAGGTGGGGGGTCTACTGATAGAAGGGGGGCGGTGGGTTCGAAGTTGCTTGAGTCTTACCTAGCCTGCGGCTGAGACCATTGGTGGGACGCGTGTATTGCGACTTTGACTAATAACAGCTTAGGTGGCCGCATCTAGCGATCTGCAGCAACAGTCCTCTCATGTTCATGCCATAGATCCTGGCCCTGACATCGCCAGTGCACATATCTAGGGTAAGCCGTCAGAAACTCGTGTTTCGTTATTTCCCTTTACCTTGCTTTTATTTTAGGCCAGGCGCTGTTTCAACAGTACATGTATGTACCTGCATGATATTGGAGCGCTTACATACAAGCATCAAACGTTACACTTAGTACTGCCATTGTAGTAAAACAGTTGAATTGATTGCAGTGACTCATCACTTGAGGCTGTTGATACTGTTCTACTGTTCTACTTAGAGCTTTGCTTTCCCCGATATGTATATGTATATTAGATTTTTTAATAGCTATGCATACTTTGCATAAGCAACAAATTACGAAGGCAAACATTGAAAGATTGATTTAATTGTGATACAAAGATTTACTTTAACCACTAATATTTGAAGCGATTAATGTAAGGGATGAGAGCGAAATTCTAAAAGCTACGAAGATAGCTACCCGGAATGAAACACAACGCCTACTGAAATGCCCCCCCAGCATGCGCCATAAAAAAACAAACAGTGAATATTTAAAAGACCCAGAAGGACCAGGCAGGTATAAGAAGGAACCAAAGGCTTATAGTTCACGAGAAGCTCCCTCCGAGAGAAATTTAGCTTCTGAGGTAGATGATTGACCACCATATACCCCTTGTATCGTAGTAGGTTCTTTGGAGGCCTCATGGGCCCGGGGCAGTTCTACCTCATTTCCAGCTGTAGCCAAAAGCCATAGTATCACTAGTATAGATATGAAGCCCCACAACAATCGTATCCTCCCTAGGGCAACATTAGCGACATTTCAAACAACCCACAAGGCTATTTGGAGTAAAATCACATACGAGAAGCCCTCTGCTTCCACACAAGCTCCATCTCCTGCTGCTTATCGATTTTACTTTGTACATTCTCTAATCTCTTCCTGTAAGCCTGTACCTTCATTTTCTCTGCTCCGAGCCGTTCCTGAAGCTTTTGAATCGAAACCAGTTCTTCTTGGAACCTTTCGATCCCTTTTATCTGAGCCGCAAATTCTTTCCGGCAGCCAATATCGCCGTTATCGAATTCCCGGAGGACATCCTCTGCTGCACTTCCAAGATGCTTAAGCTGTTCGCCCATCGAGCGGATCTCCTGCAGTTTCCGCGACACCGCGGAGTACGTGGTCTCTAAACGTTGCATCTGCCGCTTACTTGTTTCCTGAAGGTCGCGAACGGCAGTGGAAACCTCTCTGGCTAGAAGATTAGAGTGCGAACCAACGAGGCAAACAGACATCACGGAGACCTACAACTGCTGCTCCGACTGTAACTGTAGTGAAGGACCCCTATCTCTTTCCCAGTCTCGTTCCCTTTCCTGCTTCTCCGCCATATCGGCTTGCAACGAGTCTTTCCAGCTCATAGGCTGTGAGCTTGTATCTCTATGATCCTCCATTTCTAGTTCCGCCGCTACTCTGACACGTTCATCGTGGTTTCTGTGATGGTGGCGTTTGAAGTTGAGTGTGCCTGCGTGAGTGTTGGAGCGTATCAGAGGTGCAGGGGGCTTGATCTTGAAGTCCCCCATGTTCGTTGGCTATGGTTTGTTTGTAGGTGTTGCGAGAAACGACAGGCTGTTATTCAACTCCAGGGGTGCCAGGCACATGCTCTTTCGGTGCAGTCCCACAGTCTCGGTAACTAAGCCTTTGCAGGTTGAGAGCTGGCCACTAAAGGCCCGTAAGGGGAAGTAATGCAGGTCCGGCCGTGAAGAGGCTCCTGCCGATGCTAGTGAAATCCGGGGTACCAGATGCAACCTAACATTTCGGATCTCAAGCACAATACTGCGCACAGTGGTACCATAGCCACTTTAATGTTGCAAAAATAGCTTAGATGTTCTCTAGAATAAATTACAGCTGTATCTCGCGAGTTCCAAGAACTACGTGCATACACCTAAGAAGCATTCCGAAAACATTGATGTCTCACAACGATTTTGACACAGGGATACATGTTTTAATAATGCCCAATATTGATTGCGAATCTTGTTATGTACATCTTCCTATATCTAGCCTAGCTACACATATATATACAAGTAGGTACAATTAAAGGCAACACAATGTCTCTAGACACACATATTAAGCCACTGTTCAAATTCTCGATCACATACATACATGTAGTTATGCTGAAATTTGAAAGTGGATTTGCGCGAGTTTACGCCTGCTTATAGTTCTGACTAGTCATTTTTCTGGGCCACATATAAACCCAAGATATAGCTTCGACCGAGTATTTTTCAACGTAATGTGTTCTCACATAATTTGATAGGTCCACCAACGACGTATACTGAAATTAGGGATTTAATTTGCATAGCGTATTAGAGATTTGTCTCCAGTTATGGCGATGTGGACGAAACCGTGAAGGTAGACCACTGGGGATCGTCTAGGGCCACTAAACAATCACTCTCTTCTTTCACTAGAATTCTTATTTCACAGATTTATATCTCAACCAAACGAGAGTAGTTTTCAGTAAATTTTCCTGGTAAATTATCCTGTTCCGCAACAGGAGATCATACAACTTTTCGGCATATCGTACAAAGGCAGAGAGACAACGACGCGCAAGGATCTAAAGACCAAGTAAAAGAAAATAGAAAAGGAATGATGAAGGATGGTATACGATCACCTCTCCTTCAATGCCTTGTTTCTCTTCTCACGCCTCTTCAACCTCTCTACTCTCTTGGCATGCATCTTCTCCGCAAGCTTCTCATATCTCTCCTTCTCCGCCTTTGCTTCCCTCTTTGTCTTCAAGGCTGCTATCCGTACCTATATACATTTTTACTCGTAAGCTTTCATGTCCTTAGCCTGGGATAACTGATACGCACCACTCTAGCAGCTTCCTTCTCTTCCTTGAGTTCCTTCTCCCTGGACTTCATTGCGGCCAGGGCCTTTCGCTCTTCAAGGCGGGCTTCCCACGTCTTGCTTGTGCCAGCTTTAGGCCGGAAGGCTTGCTTGGCGGGTTTCCATTGCTTTCCTAGTTGATTGATAATATCTTAGTATTGTCATATTTCTGTGTGAAGAAAAATAATTTATCTCCGAATGCGCGATGAGAAAATGGAGGGGAATAAGAGGGGCATGATGATATTCATTAGCATAGAGAGGTGAAATACCATTCTTTCGGGCACCGGCGATGGGCGCAATGGAAGCACCGACGATATCCTGCGCTGCGGGGGCAGCAGTTCCTACTGTCTCAGCCATAATTCGTTTTCTTCAGTTGTAGTCCTCGTCTAATTTCTTCTCGGTAGCGATCGGAAAGTGAATTGGAGGGCCTGGTGGGTTGTAGTGGTAGTGGTCCTGGTGGGGGGGCAGTGGAGAAAGCTTGCAAGCTCGATAACTTTGTGTGAGGTAGAAATTATTTTAGAGATGTTGCTAATAGAATCTCATCAGATGATCAGATTTGATATGATTAACCAGGATCTGTGCCGTGTTATCTGATTGCATGCATCGTAGCCTTTCCATTTGTGGGTGGGGGGAAACAACAACTGCCAGGAACTGAGAAAATTTGCAAAGTGGCTTACAGAAGTGGGACTTTCTTCTCCATTCACTTCCCCGATGAGTACTGAAAAAGTTTGGGGGTCTCCCTAGTTCTGCTCTATATATTACGGATATTCATATGCTTAACTAAACTCGCACAATCCTCCGTTTTTGACAGCTGCTGGTCTAACAGAGGCAAGGTCAGGGTTTATTTTCCTGCACAAATAATCCCTCGAACTTGTCGTCAGCACCGTCACTCATCAGAGCGACATTTCGCTGCCAAAGCGTCCCTTCTCCTCCTCCAGCTCATCAAAACAAAAAGGAGAGGGCTTCTCCTTTTCCTGCTCCCATTGCATCTATTCTTTCTTTCTTTCTTTCTACTTTCTACTTCTGTTCCGTTACATCAATATTACTATGACATCCGCTCGATAGCTTTCTTTATTCTCTTTTTGTTGTGGTAAAATTATTACCAGCTCTTTCAGTCCAAATTTCCTATACCCTATCTGCAAGATAACTGGACTCCCGTAAAGTACCGTACCAATGTCTCAGGAACCCATTCTTCTCGATGTCGCAGCGGCGACCAGTATTCATTCAGAGGCTGCAGCCCTTACCGGCTTCAAGGACCTATTGTTCGGCTCGGTGAGTTTGCTGGTACTACAAATTCAAGTACTTTTGAAGCTCATAGGAACTGCGCTCAGATTGCTGGAATGATTGGCAAGACCATTGAATACCCATTCGATACTGTCAAGGTATACCTGCTGTCAAAAATTCAGATCACAGTATGACATATTACTCACCTCCGGCCTGCAGGTACGGTTGCAATCGCAACGCGACGACGCCCCACTGCGATACCGTGGACCACTCGACTGCTTCCGGCAAACAGTAGCGCAGGACGGAATCCGAGGCCTCTATCGTGGAATCTCGTCGCCTCTGGTAGGAGCTGCTGTTGAGAACTCGGCACTGTTCTTTAGCGTAGGTGGACTCTTTGCGCCCAGAGGTTGGTTGCGTCATAACTAATCATATGAGACTTTTAGTACAACATCGCGCAAAGCTTCGTCAAAAAGACCCTCTACCCGGCGATCCCAGAGAACGAAAAACTCCCGCTAAATGCGCTAGTCTTCTGCGGTGCCGCCTCAGGCGCCTTCGCCTCCTTCATCCTCACCCCGATTGAGCTTATTAAATGCAAAATGCAAGTGCAGACGATTGGGTTACAGCGCCCTATCTCCTCCGGAGCCATTCCTAGTGCAACAGCAGGAATCCATACTGCAGCGGTCCGCCATGCGGGGCCTATTGCGCTTATTGGAGAGGTGTACCGCGTGTATGGGGTTCGCGGGTTCTGGCATGGTCAGTTTGGAACCTTCCTTCGGGAAACCGGAGGTAGCGCAGCGTGGTTCGGAAGTTATGAATATATGAGCGGGATGCTGCGTGGGTTGAGTGGGAAGAAGACGAACTCTGCTGGGGAGCAGATGATTGCCGGTGCTACGGGTTTGTCATCTCCGTTTTTATTTTCCCACCCATATGTCACGATGATGCTGACGGTATACTAGCGGGTGTAAGCTACAACTTTATGTTCTACCCTGCAGACTCAGTTAAGTCTCGTATGCAGACCGAAGCCATCGGCGCCAAGGGTGATAAGATGGAATCCTTCTTCACGGTCGCAAAGAAGATGTACCAGGCCGGCGGCATCAAGCCTATGTATAGAGGCTGTGGCATCACATGCATGAGAAGTGCGCCCTCTTCAGCAATTATTTTCTTGGTCTATGAGAGCTTGAAGTCGTATTTCGCTTAATAGACTTTAAAATTTTGATGGTTTCATTGGAGCATGGGCCGGTTACTTGATCTTATTTTTCATGCGAGCTGGCTGGCTGGTTGGTTGGTGCATATCATTTTATATTTATTCTGTTGTTTGCAGTACTGGTTTTGGCGTTAAAAAGGCACCATGGGAGTGGAGCACAGATGTATCAAGGTTTTTAGTTAGGAATAGACAAAATTTGGCTTCTAGAGTATTCTTCCAAAGGTTCTTCATATTGCATGTGACAGAGGCAGCCGAGTGATCGCCTATGATCGTAAACTCTTAGCATAGTCTCTATTAATAAGATAATCGTATATCAATATGGTGTGCTTCTTATGAGTATAGTAGCACTTCGCACAGTTTAGACGTCGGGAAAAATAGGGACCCTCGGATGGTCATGCAGCGTTACTATTGGCAGGAGGTACGCAAACCAGAAAACTAGTGTGGTCCATGAGCCGATCCGGCTCGAGCTTTCGGCTCGAACTTTCGGCTCGAGCTCAGCGAGCCTCACCCTCCAGCGAGCCTGAGCCGGCTTGAGCCGTTTTCTTTAAGGCTCGAGCTTGATCTCAAGCTCAGTTTACTCGCTCTGAACTAGGCTCTAGAAGCCATCAAGGAAGCCAGTAGGAGATTTATGCCTACTAGAATGCTGAGTTAAATAATAAATCCTTTCTCACGGTATTACCCCATGAAATGAAGCCTATATCTGCCATTTTACTACACCTAGTGTAAGAATAACCTGTTTTTTTCATCATTGACCACCGGCTTGAGCCAATTTATGAGCCTGTCACCAAATCTCGAGCCTTGCGAACCTCTGTCTCACGAGCCGAGCCAGCTCGAGCTTATATGCCGGCTCGGCTCGGGCCGGCTCATGGACCACACTACAGAAAACCCATTAACAGAGGGAGGTATATATAGCAAATATATCGTAAGTGATCAATTCTAAACATGCATATTAAAACCGAGTCCTTCGTTGATTGAAGAATTCTTAGGCGGAAGGAAAGACATATGGGGTTCTGGTGGGCTCAATTCTAGTCCCTAGGCCTACTGATGGTGACCCCTTGTGGTAGAGATCCACGCTGGTACCATCCATAGATCCCTAGACCCCTAGCTCCCCACCACTTGACCGTTAGTCCCGATGTTTGCAGTGGCCGTTTCGATAGCCTTAGCTAACCTTTGGTTTCTAATCTAAGCTGGCAACGCATGATGGCCCGTAACGAGCGGCTCAGTTCAATGTTAAAGATTAATCTTAGGGTATTTCGTGCCATATATATTCAAATAATCGAGTTATCACATTGCTCTCCATTAGCGTGGTACACCCATCAGCATCGCATATTGTAGCTATAGTCCGTAGGATGTACTGGCTCAAGCTTTGACTCCACTAGCTGAATTGAATCTTCTCACCTAGTGAGTTGACTCAACTTTAGTCTTTTCCCTCAATGCCGGGTACGTCTACACTCGAGCTGTCTGCATGCGAGTATGAATTAAACAAAAAAAAAATACACTCGAGCTGTGAGTGCAAAAGCGAGTGATATACTATGATTAACCTTTGTCAGTGGCAGTGATTTTCTTATAAGATCTGGCGTAAACATCAAGGGTTTAAAGAATGGGGAGCCCTGGTACGGCCCGATAAAACTGGCCAAAGATTGATATGTCTCTATAAACGGCAGGCCCCGGCCGGCCCCGAGTTCGTTATCCTGAGAAGAGAACATGTAGAGACCGTCATATTTGAATCCGTCATCTCTAGTCATACATTGTTACTTAGGCTTGATATTGTTAAATCATAATCAAATCTACCGTCCTAATTCCCGAATAAGACCGTCACTACTAAAATACACTCTAATCTTGCTAGTTGCTAATATAAAAGTCTCGAAGCTTTACGCGCTTTAGCGTACACCGAGCCGAAGGACTCAGGCCTATGCCCTGAATCACCGGTGGAATGACTTTTTTACACAGCTTTTGAGTGTTATTCCGGATCATCCTATATATATTCCCTATCTAACCATATTGTACAGCGGTGGGTATTAAGTCATCGGACGGCCTAGCCACAATTTTGCCTGCAAACGCGTATTTTGATGGCGTTCTGTCTGATCACTTATTACCCACCGCTGTACCTGTATATATTAATACTGGTAACCTTCACTACACGTAAATCCTTCCACTTAATGTCAATTGACATAAAAGTTTATAGATAGATTTTCAGGTCAAGGAGAAACTGTGATATCTCGATTGAAAAGAGATTCTAGCTCTCGGCTTGATCAATGGTTTAAAGCATAAGGGTAGCAAGGATAACGCGGGGCCGGGGTCACTTTCAACTAGATTGTTGCATGCTGGACTACGTTTTTAAGTATTAAAGTGCTCTTTTGATTACACCTTTGCTAAAAACATTGGCGGAGGTGATCCGCCCTGTCCAGGCTGAGCTATAGAATATACATATACTTATACCCTAAGGTAAGGGATATACATAACAGTCATCAACAATCTATATACACAATCTCCCTGTCCCACCAGCGAAGCTAGGCAATTCGGAGAGAGACACCTTGTTCTAGAAGTAGCTGCTTTATATTAACAGGGCGGCATTGCAATTTAACAATTTAACTTTTCTTGAAGGTGGCACGCCAGCTGGACCCTGGTGGGTGACACCATCCGTAAAAATATCTCTAAAATAAAGGAATAAAATCGTTCTTATAAGATTATAGAGATTTAGTATAATGCAATTGGTTCAGGGTTGATTTAGCTCTGACAAAATAAATTGCACAATCATTTGAATCATGAAATGTCACGCGGATTAATCTCTCGAGGCTTTTTCGTATCATCTTAACCGCCATACCATTCCAACCTCAACAGACACAAACGGACCATGAATTTGCGGTTTATCGAACCCCAAGCCTTTATAGAGAAGCTCTAGACGACATATATGGTCATATCGATAGCTCCCTACCAGTCTTAGTGAGCGAATTGACAATCTGTAGGAGGCCCCTGTACTGGCCTCGTCAATTCTTAGAGAAATACACGGGGTCCCAGAGCTGCACGCGAGAGGCATGGGCAGCCTACCAGTGAATGAACCCGCGCGCAGAGCCCCTTCTCACAAGGTAGGTATTCATAATAGAGCAGGTGATCATATCCTCTCGACTGTTCACAGGTTATGCTGTGGGATGTATTCTTATGAGCTCCAGCCTAACTCCGACTCGCGGTGCAGGGAATAACCTCTGCTCAATTTTGTGGCTAGAATGAGGCTTGCACTTACTTCATATCCCAGATCTCTACCTGCGCCGGCCCTAAAGTCCCAGAAACCTGGCCCAGACTTAGCTAATAAAGGTGGGCTATATCCCATCCTGACTCAAGAAAAAAGGTCCAGACCGCCACCGCGCCCCCATATAACTCTAGGACCACATACTAGTCAAGATCACGACTCCATAGATATAGTAGGGATATCAGTACATGTAGCTACCTAATATGCCGCTCTAACGAGGCATTGCAACGGCGACACTGTGGCAAAAGAGTGTTCGCAAAGCGGCTATATACCTCCCAGTCTCTCATATGATCATGATATTCTGGATACGGCACAGGCAACAGCGGGGATCAAGTTGAAGTTAAGATGAGAGTTTAAGACCGAATTGCAAACGGACCTAGGCCGGATGCGCAGCTAGCCGTTGGAGGAAATCAGTACTGCTTGCATCGCTCAACTTGTGTCGGATTTACATACCACTGGGCTGGCATATATCACTTAGCTCCGACTTCAGATAAAATCAATTGATCCACTTAATGTTTGGGCTTACATGTATCTAGATGTAGTACACGTACATGTAGCTTACTGCATGTGTATAAGGCCATACATTACCTTCAGTGTACAATGTACATGTACCTACCATAAGGCGATGACGCAAATTTCCACTTCCTGGTAGCTCGACGGAGGATGCCTACAGCGAATCTGTATAGCCAGATCTCAGATCCGCACTTTTTTCATTATAGGTGTTAAACTGGTACTGTTTGACAAGCATTTTACAACATCTTTGGGGTCTTGATCTCCATTTCTATTTTTCACTTACATACGTACACTCTTACCTCATCATCAACAGAAACAGCACCGTTATTCATGTCGTCGTCGTCATATATCACCTCTTGGCCATCATCATCTAAAACGGATGCCTCTTTCCTACTCCCCACTTTTCCTACATACGCGCTCTTTGAAGAGAAATACACGGCTAAAGCTACTCAAACGTCCCCCGCTGCGTAAGATTAGGAGTTGTATCGGTTCTGCAATTAACTGGTCTGCTGCTGTTACGCTTCACGGCTTATCACTCGTTTAACATGAATATCAAAATTGAGGTAGCTCATGATCAGGGAATGAGGTTCACAGTTCACAAAATCTTCTTGCTTCTTACAACTCCTGATCCCTGATTCTTAGTCTTACAAACTTCCAAAGAGAGTACAATGAGCTGATCCCGATATAATGGACTAAAGAATGGCGTTACTCTACCTAAGGGTATCCCTTAGAGGCAGCCATCTCTAGGTTTGCTATCTAAATTGGGACGTATGTTCATGCGGAGAGCCCCAACGCCTAGGCGTCGACTCAATCGACAATCCCGCCCTCAAGACCCTCAGAAGGCATTAATAAACTATCCGATATGTTACCGACGGCTCGCTTACTTATAGTCTTGGATACATGCGGTTGCTCAGGGCAAGGATAGTTTGTATGGAGTGGCGCCGTTCTCTCATACAAATAATCCTGTTTCCATCACTTGCATTTTCTGGTTCTTTTGCTGGTAAGCAAGTAGTTGCGCATGGGTCAATCTCGGTGGCTGGGAGATTTGAAAAACACAGGCACTATATTCGGGATTCAGTAGGTGCTTTATTCGCAGAGCCGCTACTCTGCCTTCTCTAACCTCAGGGCAGGGCAGAATAGGCGGTGAGGTTCCGTGAGATGATTCGGATGGAGTTCAGGGATGAAGTAGCTCAGACTCCAGAGTATTACACCATATGTATGCTCTACCCCTTCT